TTCTTCTACCGAACGGCCTAGCGATATTTTCGTCGGTAAAATGCATTGAAATTTTAGTTGTATTAAAATAAATTGTGTATTAATTCGTAATATTTCATTATAGTTTTTGTTCAGGGCCTTGATTTCACCCTCAGTCCTATTGGTCCTGATCCCGCTATGAAGAATTTTATAGGAATGCTTTACAGCTTTGACTTAAATAATCCTGATCACTCGCCTCAACCATTAAAATTTGATAATTTTCATTCTAAATTTACACCTCATGGTATCGATTTATATATTGATCCACAAAGTGGGGAAGTGAGTTTGTTTGTAGTAAACCATGGAAATGATAATCAAACCATAGAAATTTTTATGTTGGATATGACAAATATGGTTTTGAAACATAAAAGAACCGTGTTTGATGAAAAAATATATTCTCCCAATGATCTTGTTGCAGTTGGTAAGTCAATATGTGTTATGTTTTGTTATATATATATATTTTATTTTTCAAAGCAATATGTTGTTTCTTTAGGACCAGAAAGTTTTTATGTGACAAATGATCGCTATTTTATTAATACTTGGCTTTTGGTTGTCGAAACAACTTATCCATTGAAGCTTTGTAGTGTTGTTTACTATGATGGAAAACAATCAAAATTTGTTGCCAGCAATTTAAATTTCGCCAATGGGATCAATATGGATTTAAGTGAAAAGTAAGGATGTAAAGAGAATGAAAGCTTGATAAATATGTATAATTTGTTTTACTACTGTCAATAATCTTTAGATATATATTTGTGGCAAGTGGATCTGATGGTGAGGTGATTGTGTTTGAAAGAGACATCAATAACAATCTTCTAAAACGTCAGGTTGTAATATTTTGCTTTCTGCCCAATTATAAACTTTAAATAACTTTTCTATGTAAATCTCTATTTTTAGCATATCCAAGTTGGTGCTCTTTTAGATAATATAAATGTTGATGAAGAGGGCCATTTATGGCTTGGTGTTGCTCATTTTGACGTTGTTGCATATAGTTCAAATTTCACCCGACCATGTCCTGGTGCTGTACTTCAAGTTAGACTTAGTAAATCTGGCAATCCTGAAGTTCCATTTAATGTTGATGATATTCGTGAAGTTTTTGGTAATGATGGTAAAGGCCAGGTTAAATGTGTTTCTAGTGGTTTGTTTTATCGTGGTAAAATGCTTGTTGGCAATCCATTCTCGAGTTTTGTGTATTGTAAAGTAAATGAATTTTAGAATCAATGAATAGGAATTACTTTAAGTTAGAATTACATTTTGGGTAGAATTAGCACCATTTAAAAATGAATTTTTCATTATTTAAAAGGATATTTAACAAATTATATATTACCAGGGACACCGGAACTGGGGGGGGCAAGGGGGGCAACGGCCCCCCTTGCCTTTTCTGGAGAGGGGCAGGGGGGGCAAAAGTGCCCTACAGGTTGAAAATTTATTGTTTTTAATTCAAGATAAAGACTAATTAACCGTTGTGGGATATTGCATTCTTTTTAGCTTAGCCATAAAATTGTCGTAACTATGTTAGTTTTTCTTTAACTTTTCTTTGTTTTAAGTACGTTTTGTAAGTTCTTTGTTTGTTTAGTTAGTTCTTCTTTTTTGTTGCAACGCGCGAGAACTTGAAACGCAATGAAAGAGTGAGTACTGCTAATGACGTAAAGGAAAGCTCGACTTATGTAATTACCGTTAGTATAAATAACATGTAAATAATTAACTCTAATAGATCGCGTAAGAATACTCCAGTGATGTACTTGTAGATTGTTTGGCTTGAACTCACTTAAGGTTCAAAACGAAGAGTGTTAGTGAACCAGCTGAGGAGCGAATTCCTCGACAACCGTGAAACGTCATTTTTTAAATGTAAACAACTAAAAATCACAATACCTTTGTAAATTCCTTTCATTTTTATTAAATCCAAAAAAGTACCAGGAACATGACGTATAGCAAAGATATTTTTAATGGTAAACATCTGCTGGCATAAATGGCTCAGTCATCTAAACACTGATGACTTTGAAAGGGATATTTTTTGCATCTTATCGCTTTTTCTGCAATGCCAAGAGCAGAAAGATATAAAAAAGATTCAGCAAAAGCATTAGCGAAAGTAGCTGCTAAACCGGGTCAATCAAAAATAACATCGCTGTTTGCAAAAGGAAACACAGGCCATGATTTTGATTCTGCTTCAACAAGCGGAATTGACACTGCAATAACTGTCTATACTGAAAAAGCCTCAGACTGGGAGTTACAAAAATGGTCCAAACCGAAAAGTCTGATTGGTGAAACAGAAAAGATATGCATGAAAACAACATGGGTAAAACATGAGAAAGACTTTACAAGTGAAGACAAGGAAAGTAGTGTGAAGCATGGTCGATATTTCCAAGGTCAGTGGTTACGAAATTATGAGTGGCTAGTGTACACTCGAGAAAAAAATAAGGCTTTTTGCGAAATTTGTTCTACTCACTTTAAGATAAAGGGAGTGTTTGGCAGTTATGAAGTTGGATTTGATAACTGGAAAAAAGGCTGTGAGAAATTCAACGAACATGAAAACAGTTACGCTCATAAAGAAGCTTGTGCCACATCAGACAAAGGGCAATTGTCTATTAGCATAGCCTGCAGTTCACTTGCTCTTGAAACGCAGCAGTTAAGGCGGAAAGGGTTAATTTCGCATCTTCAAACATTAAAAACACTCTTACGCCAAGGTATAGCGATTAGAGGTAGAACGGATTTTGAATCTAATATTCATCAGTTCAATCTTGATAAAGCTATCAACGACAAGGCACTAAAACTTTTACTGGACGAGAACCGATACGTAACTGCACGACATCCTGGACGAGCAGAAACAGATGATTGTATTAAATGCTCGAAGACATTTGATTGTTAAAATTCTAGTGAGAGAATCATTTTCAATTCTAGCTGACGAATCATCAGACGTATCTAAGAAGGAACAGTTGTCTTTTTCTGTAAGGACCTGTGATGATAATTACGAAGTATCGGAAGATTTTGTTGGAATTTATGAATGTTTGCAAGGGCTTTCATCTGATGCATTACTGTACTACACCAAAGATATCCTTCTCAGATGTGGTATGGAAGGTCACAAAATGGCAGCTATGGGCTTTGATGGGGCTTCAGCAATGAAATCCCTCGCAAGAAAGCTCAAGGAAGATGTTGCACCAAACGCAATTCATGTTCATTGTTTCAGTTTCTGCAATGAACTTATTATGCAGGATGCAGCTAAGCAATCTAATTAATTGTCTACGTCACTGGATTTATGCCAATCCCTGTATGCAATCGTAGGTGCCATCCAAAACGTATTTTATTGTTCGAAAAAATACAGGCAGATTTTAGAAATGAAACAGGAACAAACGATTACAAAGTTCTACGACTCCAAAGTCTTTCTACAACGAGATGGACAACAAGAGTAAAGGCTGCTGACGCCATCTTCGAGAAATCGGCTGAACTACATGCAACCCTTGAAAAATTGCAGGAAGATCCTAGTATTTCGGCAGACACAAAAGTAAAGATTAGAGGAATATTAAGGCGACAACTGTCTTCCTTAATCGTCATCTTTAATTTAAACGCGACAAGAAAGCTATTGGCTTTACTCGAGAAGCTTTCTAAAGAGCTCCAAGCGGTTGATATTTCAGCTGTGTACGCTCTATTTTCAATTAGACATGTCCTGCAACGTCTTCATGAGATGAGAAGCGAAGAAGAGTTTGAGCGTACACTTGATGACGCTTAGAAAGTTTTTCGTGTTATGATGTCGTTTCCATTGGAATTTAGTGAAAATTTTGGCTCTGGCACTAGACTAAGAAAAGTTCCAAGATGGATGAATAATGAAGAATTTTAATAACAGAAAACCTTCACGTCAAAGATGCCTCAGTTTACAACAGTGCGAATATAACACCAATGCAAAGCTCGTACTACCAAGCCATTGATGCAATCATCTCAGGTCTAGGATCGCGATTTGAACAAGACGATCTTTTCCAGATCAAATCTATCGAGGAACTGTTACTTAACTCTATGAAAGAAAGAGGAGTATCTTTAGATGGATTAAGCAATTTTTTGATTGATAAAGATGTTCTAAGAATGCAGCTTGATGATCTTCCTACCATTCTTGGGCTTTACAACGCGGATCAGAAGAAAAAAATAACAGAAGTCACGCGTATTTCAACAATAGCAGAGATATTCAATGCCATGCCGTCAGCAAAGAAAAGGTGCTCAGAGATCCACAAACTAATTATACTATACTACACAGTGCCACTCTCATCTGCCTCGTGCGAACGCACATTCAGCGTAATGCGTCGTCTCAAAACATGGCTGCGGTCAAACACTGAAGAAAATCATCTGAATGATATTATGTTCTCCAACATTCAGAAGCAACACATGGATATGGTTGAAATAGACGTAATTGCCAAAGAGTTTTCACAGAGAAATGAAAGAAGAATTAAATATTTTGGAAAATACAATACATGACAAATTGTAAATTAGTGACGTTACATCGTTTGATAGTTATATTATCGTTAATATTCATCGACCAACACTGCAGACATGTGCTTCTGTACAGTGTATTGCATGTAGCACATCTCTTTGCTGTTTATCACTATTAGATTATTTCTAGTATGTTTCACTAATGTGCCCTTCCACAAAGGCTTGCCCTCCTGCCCTTTTGCCGTTCCGGCGTCCTGTATATTACATAGTTTTCAATAACTATTTACGATTTACAATTTCTATTGAATGAAAATAAATGTAGGTATGATTGTTTGTAATAATATTTTTGTTTCCATGTTTTGTCATGTTATGCTAAGCCAAACATTTCCAACTTCATCAGTTTATATGGATACAAATCATTGATAGATCTTTAAAGATTTGATCTACTTTATACCAAGGGCAGATCACTATCATCTTGCAACTCTCTGATATCTTGTTAAAATCTACGCGAGTCTATGTGTATGTTTCATATATTTATTTTACAACAACTTTCTAAGATATGCAGGGTAGTAGAAATATTTTTTTATTTTTAGGCCTCCCATTGTAATAGATCCAGCAAATCCAACCATAAATCTTTGCAGGGATTGTAATGCATGGAGTGAAATTACTCGGGGTGCTGATCAAACTCTCAAAACACCTTTGCTCAAAAACATTGCTTCACCTAAAAGTGTCTGGAATTGAAAGGATTTTTTAATAAAAGCGTTTTGTTTGTGTCTCAATTTTTCTTCATTCTCTCTTTATCCTGCATGTGGCGACATGGACAATTCACTTCATGAAAATTTTCTTGAATCATTGTGAATATAGACATTATTGGTGGTTTGCATGTTACGTCACGGCCGCCATCTTAGTAGTGAAATAAAAACAATATTTTATAAATGCCTTTGTGGGCACCAACCGTCGTGAACAAGCCATATTTTTGATAATTTCGCGGAGACTAGTTGCAATTAAAGAATTTGTCCGGTTTTCCACGTTGAAAACAAACTGTATTACAATGTGCACAATTATCAATTACTACAGTGACGTCACACTGTTGGTACAACATTGTTGTCCACAATATCACCATATATATAATTACATATTTTATATTAATGACATAAATTTTATTAAATTACGCCATATTAATCTGTACTTCAGTTCTAGTTAAAAATGGGTGTTATCAAGCAAGTTCTGGTTATTGCATTTTCTGCCTGGCTTTTGTTGAGAATTATTGCACTCAATAGATCATTGTAGGTATCTTTTTTATCACAGCATGTCATTCTTTTTCTGGCCTTTAGTTTGCTCTGTCTGATAGTAGTTGATTTACTCTTTGATATCCTAATGCTAGACGCATAGGGAGATTTGGTCTATCTTTTTACAATCATAATCCTGGACCATGTAAAATATTTCACGGTAAATAAAACTAATTTAAGATTTGTTGTGCACTAAATTGCGTTATGCATGTTGACTAATAATGTAAATATTTTTAGTTAATGGCTCAGAAGACATAGTTCTTCTACCGAACGGCCTAGCGATATTTTCGTCGGTAAAATGCATTGAAATTTTAGTTGTATTAAAATAAATTGTTTATTCGTAATATTTCATTATAGTTTTTGTTCAGGGCCTTGATTTCACCCTCAGTCCTATTGGTCCTGACCCCGCTATGAAGAATTTTGTAGGAATGCTTTACAGCTTTGATATAAATAATCCTGATCACTCGCCTCAACCATTAAAATTTGATAATTTTCATTCTAAATTTGCACCTCATGGTATCGATTTATATATTGATCCACAAAGTGGGGAAGTGAGTTTGTTTGTAGTAAACCATGGAAATGATAATCAAACCATAGAAATTTTTATGTTGGATATGACAAATATGGTTTTGAAACATAAAAGAACCGTGTTTGATGAAAAAATATATTCTCCCAATGATCTTGTTGCAGTTGGTAAGTCAATATGTGTTATGTTTTGTTATATATATATATTTTATTTTTCAAAGCAATATGTTGTTTCTTTAGGACCAGAAAGTTTTTATGTGACAAATGATCGCTATTTTATTAATACTTGGCTTTTGGTTGTTGAAACAACTTATCCATTGAAGCTTTGTAGTGTTGTTTACTATGATGGAAAACAATCAAAATTTGTTGCCAGCAATTTAAATTTCGCCAATGGGATCAATATGGATTTAAGTGAAAAGTAAGGATGTAAAGAGAATGAAAGCTTGATAGATATGTATAATTTGTTTTATTACTGTCAATAATCTTTAGATATATATTTGTGGCAAGTGGATCTGATGGTGAGGTGATTGTGTTTGAAAGAGACATCAATAACAATCTTCTAAAACGTCAGGTTGTAATATTTTGCTTTCTGCCCAATTATGAACTTTAAATAACTTTTCTATGTAAATCTCTATTTTTAGCATATCCAAGTTGGTGCTCTTTTAGATAATATAAATGTTGATGAAGAGGGCCATTTATGGCTTGGTGTTGCTCATTTTGACGTTGTTGCATATAGTTCAAATTTCACCCGACCATGTCCTGGTGCTGTACTTCAAGTTAGACTAAGTAAATCTGGCAATCCTGAAGTTCCATTTAATGTTGATGATATTCGTGAAGTTTTTGGTAATGATGGTAAAGGCCAGGTTAAATGTGTTTCTAGTGGTTTGTTTTATCGTGGTAAAATGCTTGTTGGCAATCCATTCTCGAATGTTATGTATTGTAAAGTAAATGAATTTTAGAATCAATGAATAGGAATTACTTTAAGTTAGAATTACATTTTGGGTAGAATTAGCACCATTTAAAAATGAATTTTTCATTATTTAAAAGGATATTTAACAAATTATGTATTACATAGTTTTCAACAACTATTTACAATTTCCATTGAATGAAAATAAATGTACGTATGATTGTTTGTAATAATATTTTTTTGTTTCCATGTTGTTGTCATGTTATGCTAAGCCAAACATTTCCAACTTCATCAGTTTATATGGATACAAATCATTGATAGATTTTAAAGATTTGATCTACTTTATACCAAGGGCAGATCACTATCATCTTGCAACTCTCTGATATCTTGTTCATTATCATCATAGACATAAACTGGAACAATGTTGTATTGTTGACTTTTATTCTGAGTACAAAACTTGCACATTAGCTTCAGACATTTTTGTCTTGTTTCTTTTTTATGAAATGTAATCAGACATATCGACAAAAATAGCATTCCCAATAAAACGCCAACAATCAGAGCAATTTTTGTTTGTAGGGTTGTTTTCTTGTATTGCTTTGGGTTGGTTTTCTGGTGGGAGTAGTGAGGAATATTGATGTTGAATTAGGAGTATAAGATGTCAGCGTAAGGGTAACAATTGGAGAAATTTGGTTGGTTGTCAAAATGATATCATTTAAAGTCGACGATTTCAAAATACTGTAGCTGCTGTTTAAAACCATCCTCTTATGATTGTCACCATATGTGAAACTTGTCAATGAAATTACATTTGTGGATGAAACAGTTCGAAATACAAATGACGGTGATAAATAAAGCACAGTGCTTGTATTCTGGTACTTTGAACTACCAGTCGGCAGGGTTGCAGTTACAAAACAGCTCCAAACAAAATTATATTGACAAAATTCTTTCTTTCCCCATCTACGTGAATAGTGAATAGTGAGTCTTCACAAATCCTGCGAAAGAATAAACAGTTTGATAATAATTTCTTTTATTTAGAATTATAATTATCAACTCACCTTGACGGCTTGTGATTAAAACAAACCAATTTCCCTTTCGGTGGCTTTCTTTACCAAGAAGCGAAACTAACATTGTTTGAGTTCAAACATTTGAATCCATAATTGGTAAGTGGCTAGCTTACCTCCCCCCCTCTTTGCTTAGAGAGGAAATGGATTAAGAATATTTAATTTACCAGAAACTTCGAAATTAATGCAAAATGTCAGGGGGGTGTCAAAAATACAAAATAAATATGTCATTTGTTGAAACATGGCGAACAAATTACAGAGTTGTCATCTGAATAAAACGTAGCTTGACTTGCTTCTCCTGTTTTCTCGCCTATTTTTATAACTTAAATATTTTGAAACAGTCAAAATTTATATACTTTAAAAATGAAGGCACTAAAAAAAGTTAGAAGTTAATAGAGAAGTTTTACTTCTTGTTTCACTTTAAAAATGGTCGAGATATATTCTTGGGGGAAAGCTACTTCAGGACAACTAGCTTTGGGTGAAACTGACGATGAATTGGTTGACGCGCCAAAGTTGGTGCCATTTTATGATGGCTTTACCATGAAAGTTGTAGATATTGCCTGTGGTGCAGAACATTCTGTGTTTCTAACAAATGATGGAATGGTTTATACCTGTGGTAGCAATGATTTTGGTCAACTTGGTCACGGAAGGGCTTGTCGTAGACCAGGTCATTTAAATATGTATTCAACTTAAAAACTGCAGAAACATGAAAAGAACTTCATTAAATAATTAAATAAATATCTTAGGCAGATATTTTCATATTATTTATGATAAACTGATTCATTATTATTATTTTTCTAGAAAGAATTGTCTCCATTGAGACAATGACAATCAAACAAGTTGCTTGCGGTTTAGACTTTACTTTGGCTGTCAATGATAAAGGAAAAGTACTTAGCTGGGGAAATAACTGTCATGGACAGTTGGCTCATCCAACTCTTGAAATTATCCATAGACCAAGGTATTTTTTTGTCAAATCTTGTATTTTGCTGACTGTAAAGATATAACATATTGTTGGGTTGAAATTTGTCTTACCTTGTATAGAAGTATCAAACATTTCAATGACATTTGTGTTACTCAAGTCAGCTGTGGGATGCATCATTCTATGGCATTGACATTTGGTAAACTGCTTTGATTTTCTTTGTTTTAATTAATAATACTTAGCTTGCATTTTACTTAAGTTCTGTAATGGACAAACCTACTTATGGATGCTATTCATAATACCTTCTTAGATGGTTTTCTGTTGACTTGGGGTGATAATTCTCATGGTCAACTGGGGATAGGTCAGATGGCATACTCTAAAGGTTTACCTTATAAGGTCAAAAGTCTTTGGGTTTACCATTGGTTGAAATATCAGCTGGTGGATATCATTGTATGATATTGACAATGTCTGGTGCAGTATTTGGTTGGGGAAAGAACAGGTTGATTATTGTATCATTTATTTTTGTATTATAATATTGCACTATAATAATAATATAATAATACACATGTTTCATTCTAATTACCAGCTTTGGTCAGCTTGGTTTGGAACATGGTCTAGGTTTGTAACATATCATATACCTTTATAAAGAAATGTGTTTGTGCATTTGCAATCATTGTCTACTTATACCTTCATAAAGAAATGTGTTTGTGCATTTGCAATCATTGTCTACTTATACCTTTATAAAGAAATGTGTTTGTGCATTTGCAATCATTATCTATTATTTAGTTCAATGGACTCCCATTCAAAATGAATCATTAAGATCATTGAGAATACGACATATTTCTTGTGGTGAAGAACATACAGTATTGTTGACAGAGGTCTATTATTTACTTTCCATACAATTATTATTTTTTAAATTTTTATATTAAAATTTTGTATTAATTCACCAGGATGGTGGTGTATTTACATATGGTGCATCAACTAAAGGTCAACTTGGTCATAATTCAAATCATCATGAATATCAACCTCGTAAAGTTTGTGTTTTTTATTTTATTGAGGCATTTTATTTCATTTCTTGAGATATTTAATTTTTTTAAAAACTTTTGCCAGGTTCTTGAGCTCATGGGAACAAAAATCACACAGATTGACTGTGGTTGGTAAGTTGATGAGGTTGAAGAAAAGATTTCTGCCATTTTATATGATACATAGTAAACAAATTTTTCATTCTTCTTGAGGACACACAATTGCTTTTGCCATTTTATATGATACATAGTAAACAAATTTTCATTCTTCTTGAGGCTGACACACAATTGCTTTTGCTCCCCAGTTAAATCGGCTTTATGCATTTGGTCTTGGTGCATATGGTCAACTTGGTCATGGCAGGACAGACAGTTGTAATAGTCCTGTTGTTACCATGGGACAATGGATGAAATCATCATTAAGTAACAAGACATCAGCTATAAAGATTGTTGCTGGTGGCAACCATTGTTTTGTTTTATCAAGCAAGTCAAGTGTAAGTTTGATGTATTTTTAAACATTTTTTTCAGTTATTTTTCTTAAATTATTACTTTACCAGCATAAAGCGGTGGATATGCGATGTATCACTCCTGCTTTAACAATCATAGAAAGTTCTTCTGTGGTCGAATGGGAGCAAAGAATAAGCAGTTGCTGTACAATATCCCCTGACATAGTAAGGTTGGTATGATGATTTTATGAAATGTTTCATAACGAATATTTTTTATCTATTCATGTTACATTTTTATAGAAAACTTGGTGCAGTGTTTAGCAGTCAACAATGTGTCAATGCTTGCTTTTTTAATTTGTAAGTAGTCAAAAAATTTCCCACCTTTTTAATCTTTGAAATTCACCATCATAAGTCTGGAGTGTTGTTTCAATCATATTTATTCAGGAAGAAAAATCCATTAATTCATTCTCATCATCATGGTGTTGACCTGAGTAGTTTGCGGAGATTTTTTCAAGCTATAGCAAAACATTCCCTCTTGAATAAAACGGTATTTAAAACAATCCTTTTTCATCAGTTTCAAAAAAGTTCCATGCTTCATTTCTTTTTTTTTTCAGATACAGAACTCCATCGAAATGCGTCTTCTCCCTTCACTTATAGAATGCCCTTTAGACATCGATGGCCTGAGATTATACGTTATATTGACAGAATTTGAAATGTTTAGAGTTGGAGAAAGATACAAAACTTTAGCTGTACCATTAGCAAAGAAACTTCTTCAATTACGTGAGAATTGTAAAGTTGTTATAGGTTTGTACTTCGTAGCTATGTCTGTCTGTCAACATTTAAATACCAATTTTTAACGAGATATTTGGTTCATTTTTTTTATGTTTTTAATAAAAAATGTACTTGGGCAAAACGTATCATGAAATTTTTGAGTTTCGTCATAACGTATTTCTATTGAATGTCTTTCAGCAAATTGGTGGTCTTCATTGCCTTCGACATACTTAGAAAACATAATTAAGGTCCATTTTTGTAATATTCTTTTAATGGTTTACGTAAAAAAATTTATGAATAAAGTTAATATTATTTTTACTCTAAGCACTTACTGTTGTATATTTTTTCTTCTTTATCTTTACGTTTTTGCTTTAGATCTTTCAGCAAAGTGTTAAATTTATACTTGAACAAACAATTGATCTTCGCGACAATCTTGAGGTGATGTATTCGTTCTGATTTTAATGGTCTTATCTCAACTCTTCTAAAATTCCTAGTTATTCAAACAAATTCATTCATCGTCATTAATTTTTTCTTTCTTACTTTTAGTTTTCTGTTAGAGAAGAATGTTTAAGATGTAGTCTTCAAGTTCTTGATGGCATTCATAAGGTGAGTTAAATTATTGCTACTTACTACTGTACAGTTTAGCAGACGTAAACAACAATCATTGTGATTTATTGTACAGTATAGTTGACTTACGTAAGGTATTGTACAGTAAAGTTGACCTACGTAAGGTATAGTACAGTAAAGTTGACCTACGTAAGGTATTGTACAGTAAAGTTGACCTACGTAAGGTATTGTACAGTGTAGTTGACCTACGTAAGGTATTGTACAGTAAAGTTGACCTACGTAAGGTATTGTACAGTAAAGTTGACCTACGTAAGGTATTGTACAGTATAGTTGACCTACGTAAGGTATTGTACAGTAAAGTTGACCTACGTAAGGTATTGTACAGTTTAGTTGACCTACGTAAGGTATTGTACAGTGTAGTTGACCTACGTAAGGTATTGTACAGTAAAGTTGACCTACGTAAGGTATAGTACAGTAAAGTTGACCTACGTAAGGTATTGTACAGTAAAGTTGACCTACGTAAGGTATTGTACAGTGTAGTTGACCTACGTAAGGTATTGTACAGTAAAGTTGACCTACGTAAGGTATTGTACAGTAAAGTTGACCTACGTAAGGTATTGTACAGTAAAGTTGACCTACGTAAGGTATTGTACAGTAAAGTTGACCTACGTAAGGTATTGTACAGTGTAGTTGACCTACGTAAGGTATTGTACAGTAAAGTTGACCTACGTAAGGTATTGTACAGTAAAGTTGACCTACGTAAGGTATTGTACAGTAAAGTTGACCTACGTAAGGTATTGTACAGTGTAGTTGACCTACGTAAGGTATTGTACAGTAAAGTTGACCTACGTAAGGTATTGTACAGTGTAGTTGACCTACGTAAGGTATTGTACAGTGTAGTTGACCTACGTAAGGTATTGTACAGTAAAGTTGACCTACGTAAAGTATTGTACAGTAAAGTTGACCTACGTAAGGTATTGTACAGTAAAGTTGACCTACGTAAGGTATTGTACAGTAAAGTTGACCTACGTAAGGTATTGTACAGTAAAGTTGACCTACGTAAGGTATTGTACAGTAAAGTTGACCTACGTAAGGTATTGCACAGTGTAGTTGACCTACGTAAGGTATTGTACAGTAAAGTTGACCAACGTAAGATATTGTACAGTAAAGTTGACCTACGTAAGGTATTGTACAGTGTAGTTGACCTACGTAAGGTATTGTACAGTAAAGTTGACCTACGTAAGGTATTGTACAGTAAAGTTGACCTACGTAAGGTATAGTTTATATCAACTAATGTCCAGTAATGATAAATAAAGATCAAACATACGTAAATTGTCGTGGCTTTATTTTCATTTCCACTATGGGTAATATAATCATAATATATCTTCTTTGGTTGGCTGTTTTCGCCATCAGTTAAAATCAGTGAACTTGTTAAAATACACGACATATTTCGACGTTTAATCACCCCCATGATCGTCTAATTGGTCAATTATGAGTTTTATAAATAACAGGTGAACGAACGTGCAGAATATGCTGTTCCTTATTCAACATTTTATATCCCTGAGCTAACAGAATGTCTTGATCTTAAACATGATTATCTACGTTGGCTAGATATGGAGGTTTGTCTTATATAAAATATTAAATTGTTTCTTTCATTTCGTCAATCTTTGACCATCACTGATTAAAAATCTTATTCTATTTCAGAGGGTATCTGACAACAGAATAAACCAGACGGTATCTTTGCACATCCTCCAAAACATTTGCGGCTTCATTACGCTTTTGTAGCGAGCTTTTGATGTCTGCATTTGGTAGAAAAGGCAACAATTTTAGCAGACCAACTATTTTCGTTTTTTATTAATTTCTGAACTCATCTTTTATCTATATTTGAAACAAGTTATGGAGGGTTGGAAGCCTACCACTGTGCAGCTTTGCTTCTATAGAGACATGTTGCTCCAGCATTGTAATATAATTCGGCAAATTTTTTTTTCAGATGACTCTTTCCTTTTGTAAATATCCTTTTGTATTTGACTCAAAAGCAAAGTATCTTCTCTTGCAAACAGATGCAACTCTACAAATGCAGGTCTGTAATAGGTGGACATAAGGAGTGTGGGTAAACTAGGAGTGTGGGGACACTTGGAGTGTGAGGGGACACGGTCAGGAGTGTGGGGACACTTGGAGTGTGAAGGGACACTGGTGAGAAGTGTGGGGACACTTGGAGTGTGAGGGGACACGGTCAGGAGTGAGGGACACTTGGAGTGTGAGGGACACGGTCAGGAGTGTGGGGACACTTGGAGTGTGAGGGGACACGGTCAGGAGTGTGGGGACACTTGGAGTGTGAGAGGACACGGTCAGGAGTGTGGTGACAGCTCCTTTCCCAATATTTCATTAAGTGTTTGCCTTTTGTGTATGTTAAACATTACAATATTAAATAACGTTATCTTTATTTTTAATCATTTTAACAGACAGCATTTCGTGATGCACATCACGCCAATCTTGGTAATTTTTTTATTCGTGGTGGTTTGGATCCGAATGAGATCATCAATCCTTTCCTTGAACTTTCTGTAAGAAGACAAAGTATTGTCCAAGATACAATACGTCAGGTGAACAAACTGGGACAATTGGATTATAAAAAACCATTAAAGGTTTGTGTTAATAAACCGTGACACCTTTGAACTATGACCCTACGAAGTCCTGTTTACAAATCTACCCGAACAGGAAATATGATTTTAGCGTCCTAAATAATATGAACATTTGTGGTATTTGATGGAATTTTGTTTTTCTTTAAGGTTGTTTTTGAAGGTGAACAAGCAGTGGATGCAGGTGGTGTAAAAAAGGTTTATTTTTTGATTTAACTACATGTGCCCGTTTTCTTTTCCAAAACTTTATACTGTTATTGTAAAAAATTTGTTAACATCTTGTAAAGTTTTATTGAGAGATAATAGCCATCGTCAAAATATAATGATATGTTTTTATAGGAATATTTTCTTCTCCTTATGAGGGAAATCCTTGATCCAAAATATGGAATGTTTAAAATTATTGAAGAAAGTCATTTGATTTGGTTTAACAAACAGGTAAAAAATAACACTGAGACAGACTACAATAATCCCTCCATGATGGTTTGAAAATAACTCTGTTTCTTTTCCCTTCAGTCTTTTGAAGATGACGTAATGTTCTTACTTATTGGTGTAATATGTGGTCTGGCGATATATAATTCCATCATTATTGATTTACCATTTCCTTCACTTCTTTACAACAAACTTTTGAAGAGGTTTATTATTTATTTTACTATGTTTTTAAGGACCTCATGGATAATTTGGTACATAGGGATACTTTAAGTGTTTTGCTAAATCAATTTCATAACTAGCGTCGACTATAGAATATTTTGGGATGTCATATGGATGTATTCAATTATTTTGGATAAATAGACGTTTGGTAAAAAGAAATTCATTTGACAGTCTCAACTTGTCTCGAAGACATTAAAGAGTGTTTTTTCTTTCTGTACAAGACATTGATTTGTAATTAATGTCAATAATTAATGATTTGTAATCAACAATAAATGTGAAATTATTTTTTTATTTGTTAGACAAATAACTCTTGATGATTTTCGTTCCTTTCAACCATCTGTGGCTAGGTAAGCTTGCTGTTGATGTCTTAAAATTTTCCATACTGATACTTACCTATATAATTGTGACATGGTCGATGATAATTTTCTTGGTTTTGTTAATATTTTGGTCGTAGTGTATGGTGGTGTTAGTATTTTAATCATATCGTAATGTAACAATGTTTCATTCTTAGAAATCTTCAGCAGCTACTTGACCACCCTGAAGAGGATGTCGAAAATGATTTATGTTTGAATTTTCAAGTAAGTGACGTTTGCCATTTAAAAACTGATGCACCTATGCATAAATACATTTTGTAACTTGTACAGGTATATGAAGACAATTATGGGGTTACGACAACTGTTGATTTAATTCCTAATGGAGGAAACATTAATGTCACAGGCATAAACAGGTGAAGAATTGAACGCATATTTCAAGATTGTGTGAAACTATATGGATATTTTTCTGACGTAATCATCAACAGCTAATCATTATACGATGTTTTTGAGAGCACAAATTCATTTTTGTAATCCCTGAGTATGACGGGTAAAATTGTTTGTTTACTTGTTCGTAATATTTATGTGATTTTAGAAAACGTTACGTTGATTTGTTTATCGACTATGAAGTAAATAAATCCGTTGAAAAATATTTCTCTGCGTTTTCAAACGGTTTTCATCGTGTTTGTGGTGGACGTGTTTTGGTGAGTATGGAAATTGTTTATGTTTACATGAACTTGTTTGCTAGTTACAACTGTTTTTACCCATCAATGTCACTTCTTTCTCGAAAGGAATTTTTTCATCCTCAAGAACTTATGGAAATGGTCGTCGGAATTCAAGAATATGATTTTAAAGAATTAAAAATGGTTTGTTCTTTTAAAGGGATTTAGTCTATTTTTAGTGGAGATAGTTTGTATTTACGAAGAGATTTAGTTTTCTCTTTAGAAAGATATAGTTTGTATTTTATGAAGAAAGTTGTTTGCTCTTTATGAAAATGGTTAGTTTGTATACCTTACGAAGACTTGCACACCCACACATTTTCTCTACAAACATCACCATGACGTAAGAACCAGATAACAACTACGGCTAACCTGACGTTTACTCCTCATTTCACTCTGAAGATGACTACCGCTAAGGTTGTCAAAACGTCAGTCAACAACAACAAAAACAATCCTTCTTGGGACTTTACTAACCAGGATGATCTACATCACAAGCATTTATTGAGAGTTTTTTTGCTCCTAATGATGACAATTTTGTCTTTAAATGAAAGAAGTTGATAAGTTTAAATTTTATTTTAACACAGGGGGCTCAATACCTTGGAGATTATTTTGTTAACCATCCTGTCATACGAAATTTCTGGAATGTCTTTGATGAATTCAATACCGTCAATAAAAAAAGATTTCTTGGTGAATAGTTTTATTTTATTTTCTTCTGGTTTTACTTCACTTTTCTTTGCTCATGTGTTTATTATTCATCGTGTGCTTTAGTATTTCTTACGGGAACTGATCGAGTGCCTCTTACAGGAATAAAAAGTTTGGAGGTAATTCTTCATGGAAGTATACCAATTTCAATTAATTACTTTATAAAATCTTTAAATAAACCTGAAGTGTAGAACAGATAAATATGTTTTGTCTTGCTGATATTTTCTTTTCAAATACTTGTATTTGTATTTCCTTAAATAAGCAGTTTTTAATTGTTTGGTTTTGATATAATTTAGATAAAGATTCAACCAGTATCTGGGGGAAATAATTATGAACATTTACCTGTTGCACATACTTGTTTCAATCTGTTGGACTTACCTCGTTATCCTACCAGAGAAATGATGAAACTCAAATTAGAACAGGCGATCTCCTTTTCTTCAGGATTTGGTTTGGCATAATATTGAACGAATTCACCAACGTTGCTGTGCTGTAGTACAATGACTACGGTTTATATTGTAAGTAACATATGCACACCTAAAGGTCTTCTTTTTAAAAATTGGGAGAAGTTTTTCTTTCAACCACGGTATATTTTTTTTTGTACATTTTGTGTAATTAAATTAAATAATGTCCAAGTTAGATCTGTATTAATTTGATAAAACGGGATGAGTGGAATATACATCACTATACCGAGCACTTTATTTGTAATGAAGACTTTTTTTTATCCCCACACAAAAAAAGAAAAATTAAAATACACAATTATATTAATATTATTCATGTACCTGCCTGCCTGCATCATCAGCCTGCATCATCTTAATAACGAGAATATTATTCTTGTATTTCACGATCTCATAATATAATTCATTCAACGATATATGAAGTGAGATTGTGTGTTTTGCTCGGGGATTTGGGTTTTAGATTGTGTAACCTACTTACAGTAACCTAGTTGTCATTTCAATGTGAGAGGTCATTGATATGAGTCGTTCTTTCGTACGATTTTTTGGAAATGACGTCTGTTATGAAAAATGATTGTTTCAAATGTAGACACAAAAGTAGACATAACGGTAGACACAAATGTAGACATAAAGATAGATACAAAGTTAGACATAAAGGGAGACATAAAGGTAGACTTTTAAAGGTAAACATAAAGGTAGACATAAAGTTAGACATAAAGTTGGACATAAAGGTAGACATAAGCATCATATTTTCGTATGTGCGTTATTTTTGTGTGTTTTCAACACAAACACTTTATTTCATCATATTGATTTTTGTTACAGAACTTTGCGATAAACGCGAAAGATTATTGGAAGCTACCCCCCGTTTTTCACCAAATAGTTTGTTCGGTAATTATCAAACGGTTTTCATGAGCCCCATTACCTGACAATATAAACTGTTCAACCAATAGGTTTATCGACCTGATTTCTGAAGATTAAATTTCACAATAATGCCATCATTGGCACGTATTAACGATTTGTGTGAGTTTGTTAAGGAAACGTTTGCAATCATCAAGAAGTAGAAGTTTTTTTCTAGGAAATTTGAGGTTTGTTTAGTATTTTACCGTAAGTTAACACATCAGTTAAATATATATATAGGAATCATGGAAACTCGACACGGATTATCATTGTGACGAGATGATAGCAATGTATTTTATTTCATTGCGATGAATCATTTTGCTTGTACCTATTTTCCCCTTTATAGTTCAATTGATGAATACATTTTATAAAAGATGCATTATATGCTAAATGTATAAAGGTTATACTCTTGACTGATTTTACTACAATATTTATTTAACAGAGTGAAAAACCAAGAATTTAAAGTGACAAATATTTGAGGAATATCCTGTGGTGCAAAAGATGAAGAAAATATTTCATAAAATGCTTTTCCTGCCATTACTTCACATTACTATTGTCGTCGCCGTTGTCCAATGTGCAAGTATTGCATCAAAATCTACTGTAACTGTGAAGAGACCAAAAGGATTTGGGAGTGCAAAGCGAGCGATTATCATTGGCGAGTTGATATTTATGTAACTCTGCAATAAAGTGTAGGAAAAACCACAACCCTTTAAAATCACACAAACTGTATAACTTGAATGATTCAGCAGTTACTGATTTCCAATGAGAAGGCGGAAGCATGTGACCACGTTTGTCGGAGGATTATATCATTAAATGCATTGTAAAACTCATGTATAATTTGTAAAACAAAGCGAGATTTAGCACGTAGAAGCTGTTTGCTTTGATATATTCTCATGACAAATGTTTTTCTTTAAGGAGTGGACGGTTTAGGAGGGGTACATCTGAGAAATGTAACAAACAAGTATTCATCTTTCAAATCATTCTTTAACTTTGGATCATTCACAACTCGTGCGAGAGGTGTTTACCCAACTGTAAGAAAAAAATACATAAATTTTTAAGATAAACCGTTTTGTACAGTTACACGAATTCTCATGATATTAACGTAATCTGTACTCCTTGCTCAGTTCAAGTAACTCAAACATACTCTGTTACGATTTAATTCTACTTTAATCTAACTTTTTTTTTAACTTATATTCTCCAGTCTAGTGGCCCAAACTGGAGTTCATTTGTCACAGGTCTTGATGTCTTCGGTCACGGTGTGCTTTCTAATGATTGGATGGAAGAAAATGGTGATCCACTTGATGACGTAAGCTACAGTATTCCTCCTGTGACGGGCCGAGGTCGACCTTCGACGATTTTTACTCAGGTTAAGAGAAAGGACTCTCGATTGAAGGTGAGTTGTTCCTGTTACAAAACTTATTGCTTGAGAAAGACATAAACGACGACTGTGTTTTGTTCAACATAAAAAATGACCAATGGTATTAACTATATTACAGATAAAGATGAACAATAAAATTAGTTTACAATTGAAAATTGTATTTATTAGTGATATTTCTGAGCCTTTTATTTTGTTTAAATTGTTTAGACAGCCATGATGTTCACGTGGTCGTGGCTAAGAAACTACGCCATAAATAACTCAGACATTGATGCTTGGCATTGGGGAGGAGAAGGAATCACGTGTGCACCTAATGACGTTGTCGACTGCTACGATCGTAAGGACTGGTACACAATGCTTGCAGTGACAAAAAACTTGGCAAAAGATCCCGTTCTCACATTAATACATTTAGGTTATTTATTTTGCATTTATGTCACAAAAACTTTAGAATAAACCCCATTCTTCTCATGGCTGCGTCTCTCCCTTCCCTCCCGTCCATCTCTATTGTCAAAGAGGATGAACTATAGTAACCCCCGTCCATCTCTATTGTCAAAGGGATGAACTATAGTAACCCCGTCCATCTCTATTGTCAAAGGGATGAACTATAGTAACCCCCGTCCATCTCTATTGTCAAAGGGATGAACTATAGTAACCCCCGTCCATCTCTATTGTCAAAGGGATGAACTATAGTAACCCCCGTCCATGTCTATTGTCAAAGGGATGAACTATAGTAACCCCCGTCCATCTCTATTGTCAAAGGGATGAACTATAGTAACCCCCGTCCATCTCTATTGTCAAACGGGATGAACTATAGTAACCCCCCGTCCATCTCTATTGCCAAAAGGGATCAATTATAATAATCTTCCGTCCCTCAATAAATTCACGAAGAAGTACCATCGTCTCTCTCTCTTGTCACGAGAGATAAACTAGCTATTTAATTAATAGAATGATTTAGTACTTGATAAACATATAATTTGTACACTTTTGTAAGTAATTCACGAAATGTGTTGCTTTTGTTCTTTCTAACTTACGAATTTAACAGATGCCGTAGATTTGGCTGGTCATAGATCTTGCTGGGGATGCCCGTTGTATTATAAAGCTATGAGAACTGTGAATAACAAAATTCTTTTCTTGTTGAATGCATTGAAAAGAATGAAAGATTCTTCTGGTAAATATTTAAGTATTAGCATTGTAATTGAAAGTTAAGTTTTGACTTATTTTTGTTTTAATATAGGAAAGATAATGTTGGACGATACTTTAATTGTGATTGTTTCTGATCATGGAGGATGGAGAAACAGTCATTCTTATTCTAAACCAATTATTGCCAATGTTGATATTCCTATTCTATTTAGAGGTAATGATGTACTTATAAGTGTACTGAAATGAAATTTTAATGAAGATAACGTATGTCGTGTAGGTAGAATGAATGAACATCAAAGAAAGTAAACAGTCTTTACACTACCTAAAATATAAACTAAGATAACGTGTGTCAGTGTAGGTAGTGATGAACGAACAACATAGAATGGAACAGTCTTTACACTACCTAAAATATAAATCAAAGAAATGAGAAAAGTCACAATATTAAAGGAAACTTATGTTTTACCTAGGTCCAGGCGTTCTTAAAAATAATAGTTTGGAAAATATTTATGTGTCGAACGTTGATGTAGCCGCAACAGTTCTCAATGCTATCGCTGTGGAGAAAAGTGAATTTATGCCAGGAAAAGTTTTGGAGCAGATTTATCAATAACATGGATTACAATGAATTACAATAAGTAAGCATTCAATTATTTTGTTGGTGTACTATCTTATTGACCAAAATAACTCAATATACACAAAAGTTTAAAAATACAAATATGAAAATAAAATTAATGTTATGCTACATTGTATACAAAAGTTACAAGCTATCTATTTCTACATGAAATGTTATTTTTTATCCTCCACGTCTTGTTTTGGTATAACTTCTTCGTACAGCGGGGATTCGTCGTGCGAATAATTTTTCTCTTGAGAGAAATTCCTGTTTTCAGGTGCGTTTTCTTGGGAGAGACCTTCGTTTCCGTTTTCAGGTGCATTTTCTTGGGAGAAATGTTCGTTTTCGTTTTCAGGTGCATTTTCTTGGGAGAAATGTTCGTTTTCGTTTTCAGGTGCATTTTCTTGGGAGAAATGTTCGTTTTCGTTTTCAGGTGCATTTTCTTGGGAGAAATGTTCGTTTTCGTTTTCAGGTACATTTTCTTTGAAGAAAGCTTCGTTTTCGTTTTTAGGTGCGTTTTCTTGGAAGAAAGATTCGTTTCCGTTTTTAGGTGCGATTTCATGAGAGAGACTGTCGTTTTTGATTTCGTGTGCACTTTCTTGAGAGGAATCTTTGCTTTTGTTTTCAGTTACATTTGCTAATGCTTGTTGGTCTTTGCTCACTGAAGAAAAGAAAAAAAGTCAACAATCGTAAGGTAAAGTTACTTTCATAATACTCATTCTCAATGGTAGACAGAACAGTTAAATATTATGAAAGTGCTACTGCTTAAAATGTATGACTGATATTCAACCAAAAATCATAATTTTTCTGCTCTAGTCTTTCACTTTATAATATTTACTCATTCAATATATCGTATTCCCATTACCTTCTAAAGACAGTGTTTTTTCAAAGGTACGATCATTATTTTCTTCCTCTTCATTTCTTTTTGTTAGTTGTGCCTCTTCTCGGTCCCTCTTCTTTTTCTTCATATCAACTTTTGTGTAAAGTTGCTCAATTTCTTCTGGACTTAACTTTCTATTTGACACATTTCTATCTGGCTTTGTTTGGGTAGATGTGCTGACTTCCTGAATGATAAGATCACCTTTCTTAAATGATGTAGTGTATGGCTGTATATCATTATCGTCATAATCGTTGTTTACTATGTGATGATTTTCATAAGGTGGTAGTTTTGATGCACTGTTTTGGGGGCTATGCAGTGTGACTGATTTTGTTTCAGTAGTAACTAATCTTGGAGTGGAAGATTTAGGAAGGTCTGAAAAACTTCGATTTCTAAAGATGTTAGGTTCTTCGTACTCAGAGATGTCCACACTTTCATAGGGAGTAGTGTTGGGCTTTATTGCGACACCTTGAGTTACAAGTACTTCCTTGGGAGTTACACTTTCATAAGCATTATATCCTTCTTCATAATTGTCATCTCTCACTTTTAATGAATCATCAACAGAATCATAATGACCAGAATCATTGTCATCCCCAACAGGCACATTAAGCCTTGTCATTTTTTTACCTAAATCACTTGAATGTTCATGAGATGGTGTCTTGGGTAGTTCACGATTAACAATACTATGACGATTATCATGAGATGTTATTGAACTATTTGAAGCATTTTTCTCTTTTGGCTGGTAGACTTTTGTTCCTTGTTTTTTCTTTAATGATGGACGGATTCGTTGAGAGAATGTCTTTGGCAAAACAGTCTTGTTTGAATGATCATTATTTTTGTGTTGATGATGTATCCTTCTCACTATTTTTCTTTTAGAATTCTCTGTCTCACTGTCATTATTACTTCTACCTTGATCAATGCTAATGCTCACGTGTTTGCTCTTCATTATCTGGTGATCTTCTTCTTTATTCTCCATCACATTTTCTTGAGTTTTTTCCACCACAGAACCATCAACTTTACTAGTATCAGCAGCATCTGAATTGGGTAGAGGTGCTATGGTTTGGTTGGAATTTGTATCTGTGGATGTCTAAATTTTTAAACAAGAACAATTTCATTTTTTGTACAATTTAAGCTATATGATATTAAAACTTTAATACTTACAACTATTTGTGATGATAATATTGTCACATTTCCATCATGTGAATTATAAGCCACATTTCCTTTACTATTCCTGAAATAAAAATATTTAGTTAGTATTTAAACTTTGGACATCACAGGAATGTTATCATAGAACAAAGGTGTTATGCAGTACATCATAGTACAAATAGGTACATACTTTCTACTTTTTGCACACAATACAATGAGAATGATGAATATGCAAAAAGTAGCAATGCAAAGGAATGTCCAATAAAGTTGAGGGTCCACATTATAATCAGCAGAATCTGTCTGCAATGTTAGCAATTTTCTTGTCAACTGTTGCCTTGGGGCATCTAGGTAAAATATTTATTAACAAAATATGTCAAAAATGCTTTGTCTATGAAAATTGTTTGGTGAAATGATGCATGCTAAGAATTTTAAGTATGACTTCACTTTGTTATTTACAAAACTAAATGGGTTAGAAATAATGTTTAAAGTTGCTGTCATTTCATATGAAGAATCATCTTTATCAAAACTGATCATAAATATAATGACCCAAACTATACGTTTTTTATAACTCTCTTGAAACAAGAGTCATATACACATATCAATACAAAAAATACCTTGAAAGCCACGATTTATACCAGCACATATTATTGAATCATTGCATTTAATCAACATTGCTAAACAATTCCAAAATCATCACCATTCTTTATCAATACCTAAAATACATATCAATATATTAATGTAAAATGATGAAATGAAAACTTATACATCCTTAGTAAATCGAACAAATAATACATATTATACAACACTAATAACCTGTGAAAATCCATAAAGATGGTGAAATCCAGGATAACCATTATATTTTCGTAATATTAGATTGTTTTTCTCTTCAAATTTGCAATATTTTGGTAAAGAGACAAGAAATCTCCGTTGAGCTTTCCCAGACAAGAGGTTTTGATTTAATGGATATATCTCTTCATAAAACAGTCCATTTAAAGCTTTGTATTTTTTTTCAGGGAGCCAATACTTCACTGAATTGCAATTACAATTTTCAGAAGCTAAAGGGCTTCCGTATACTCCAAAGATCAAATTGAAAGATATCGACAATGACAGAAACATATTGAACAACAAAAGATGCCTGAGTAAAACGTTAAATTCCATAATGTGCAATCTTTCATTTCAAATGCCACTTTTTTCGTGATTCCTTTTGACTGTTTTAGTCCGTCACAATGCTGTTAAAATGCATATAAGAAGAAGGTGAAACAAAACTATTAGTCGTGGGTGGAAGCTGGATGCATAAATAATAATTGGGTGTAATCACTTCTCCGACCGGATGTTGATGAAAATACCAAAACAAAATTGATTGATTGATAAATTTCCCATATCATTTATCTCTCATGTATATATTTCTTCAACTTTTACAAATAATTTCCTACGTATTTTGAAAGAAATCCGTATTACGAGACACTAAATATACCGCAAAAGATTTTATGTCTCCAAGATTTGCAGGAAAAGATTTTAAGTCTCCACTTTTAGACGACCTGTGACATGACGTAGCGACGGTATTGATTATGATGCCGCTGACATTTCATCATTGTACTGTACACTCGTGTAACAAAATAATCATTTATATATGTCAATGTCCATATTCCATGTGGTTGTGAAAAATTTGTACTTCATAGTTTGTCAATAATGTCTAGTGCTCCAACTTCGGCTGAACTTATAAGCGTTGGTGGTGAACGAACTACTGGAGCGTCTGTAAGGACGCAAAATGGTACACTTTTTGATTGTGCATGTTTTTTGTCGTTCTTTTTGTTTAAACTAAAGCTTTTCTGTTCTGTTTTTTTGTGTAGTTATGGCTGTGTCAGCTATTGCAAACATTGTCAAAAGTTCTCTTGGTCCTGTTGGCTTAGATAAAATGCTTGTTGATGATGTTGGGGTGGGTTTTTATTGAAGCATAAAGTTTAACTTTTTATGTAATTAAAATTTAATTTATTAATAGTAGGAATATTTTGTTGGTAAGCAGATTATTGCTGATACTGTTAATTTAATTATGGTTAATCAAAGACTTTGTTTGTTTTAATTTTATTTTAAAACAAATATTTTTAATTCAAACCTTCAGGATGTCACCGTAACTAATGATGGTGCAACAATATTGAAATTACTTGAAGTAGAGCATCCTGCAGCCAAGGTTCTTTGTGAACTTGCTGACCTTCAAGATCAAGAGGTTGGTGATGGTACAACATCTGTCGTCATTTTAGCTGCTGAACTTTTAAAGAATGCTGAGGATCTTGTGAAGTCAAAAATTCATCCAACGTCAATTATTAGTGGTTATCGTCTAGCTTGCAAGTTAGTATTATATGTTGTGGTTGCTGTGAATAAATTGTTGTATTCGATTGTTAAAAGTCACTTCTCTAACTCAATGCTTGTATTTATAGACATGTTAATGTGACATAGTGATATTTATAGAATGATTGAGAAGAAAAAGTTCATGAGCTTTTAACCCAATTAGTCGTGAGACTTGAAAGTTAATATGCATATTTTATAGAGAAGCATGCAAGTACATCAATGAACATATGACTATTGGCGTGGATGAATTGGGTGGAGATTGTATTATAAATGTTGCTAAGACTGCCATGTCATCCAAACTCATTGGTGCTGATAGTGATTTCTTTGGAAAGATGGTTGTTGATGCTGTCATGGCTGTGAAACGAGAAGTCAAAGGTGATAGCAAGTATCCAATCAAGTCAATCAATGTCCTTAAAGCGCATGGTGCAAGTGCTCGTGAGAGTGTATTGGTGAATGGCTATGCACTAAATTGTACAATAGCATCACAAGGTATATTTTTTTAATTTCAACATGTTTCAATCATGATTTTTATGACAGAATTAAATCTTTGTTACTTTTTGATAGCTATGCCAAAGAAAATTAAAAATGCAAAAATTGCATGCCTTGACTTCAGTTTACAAAAGGCAAAGATGCATTTGGGTGTGAGTGTAGTTGTTGAAGATCCTGATAAACTAGAAGCTATTAGAAAAAGGTAGGAATTGCTGTAATGATGAGAATGATTACTGATTATCCTGAGTGCGTAGCTATTTTTTTATTTTCCTGATTATTTAGAGAGTCTGATATTACAAAGAAAGAATTGAGAAAATTCTTGCAGCTGGTGCGAATGTTGTTCTTGTAAGTGGAGGCATTGATGATTTGTGTTTGAAATATTTTGTTGAATCTGGAGTAATGGCAATCAGACGTTGTAAGAAACAAGATCTCAAAAGGATTGCTCGATCAACTGGAGGTTTGAATTACATGTTTCTTAATACAGATACCAAAGTACATGTTTTAGTGTAATTTAAAAGTAGTAAAAAGTCTATTTGGATTATTTATTGTTGATCATTGATAACAGTTGTTCTTCATTATATTATAGCAACAATGTTATTGACTTTGACAAATTTGGAAGGTGAAGAAAGCTTTGATGCAACAATGTTGGGTCACGCTGAAGAAATAGTTCAGGAAAGGATTTCTGATGATGAACTGGTTATTATTAAAGAGTCAGTCTGAGTTGGCATTTTGCTTTCATACTTTTGTGTTGCTTAGTGTTATTGATGTCATTAATTGCAGGCCTAAAGCTCGAACAGCTGCATCTATAATCCTTCGAGGAGCAAATGATTTTATGTTAGATGAAATGGAAAGATCCTTTCATGATGCTTTATGTGTGGTAAAAAGAGTTTTGGATTCAAAGAAGGTGGTGCCAGGTGGAGGAGCTGTTGAGGCTGCATTATCTATTTACTTGGAGAATTTTGCTACCTCTTTAGTAAGTGGTTCAACTTTGAATATTTATGAGTAATTTAGTTAGCATGACTTCTTTTTCTAGGGTTCAAGAGAACAACTAGCTATTGCAGAATTTGCTAATTCTCTTTTGGTCATTCCTAAGACATTAGCAGTGAATGCTGCTAAGGATTCAACTGAATTGATTGCTAAACTTCGTGCTTATCACAACACATCACAAACAAACAATGATAAAGTGCATTTTAAATGGTCAGTATCGCTCTCATCCCTTGTGTTCAACATCATATAAATCCACTTCATGATAGTCTGTATATATTTTTGTGTAGGATGGGCTTAAATCTTGTTGAAGGTGTAATTCGTGATAGCAAAAAGGCAGGTGTACTTGAACCAGTTGTTTGTAAAGTAAAATGTTTGAAGTTTGCCACAGAGGCAGCTATAACTATTCTTCGAATTGATGACATGATTAAATTGGAGAAAAAACAAGAAGACCCACATGGAAGATCATATCAAGATGCTGTTAGAGGTGGACATCTTTAAAGTAAACATCCATAAAAAAACTGCGATCAAAGATAATAGATGTTACAATGTTCACATCTCAAATACATGGATCAAAGTTAGTATGCATTGAAACTGGTGGTTCTCAAAAAATAGGTTTGTCATGTGTAATGATTGATAATTGCTTGTTTTATTATCTATTCTTCATGGGTCCACAAAGGTTTTCGTTTATTGAGGAAGGCTTCAATTCCTTCATTTCCATCTTTCAATTTAAGATTATCCACCATTACTTGACCAGCAATTCTTTGAAAAAAATGAAAAAAAATGTTACTAAGTTCACTTAGCAACAAGATAATGTAGAGTGGAGGGCTTTTTAAAAGACAAGGAAAGGGGGAAACATGATCACATGAATATCACATGCCCCTAGAGTGAACAGATCTCACACACATCAGGTTATATGAAGTTTTGCTATTGGTGGTAAACAATTGTTTTTGTGAATGAAAGCTACAAAAAATTGCACAACATGTTTACACTTTATCATTTGTATCGCATTCATTTATTGTTTATAATAAACATTTTGTAGGTTTCATGTAGTTTAAAAACCCAAAGTAATAATGTTAAACAAACCTGTACGCATCATTTCTATTCTGAGTAATCTGTTGATAATAACATTTCTTGCCCATTGCAACCACAGGTTGGCTAGTTTTGCATATTTGCTGAGCAAGGTTCAAGGTCTACAAAATTGAATAAAGTCAGAGCAAGTATTTATTATCACACGACAAGAAATGACAGTTGGTAAATAAACCTACAACTTCTTCAAGTTTTTCTTCAGGAACAACTTTGTTCACTAAACCATATTGCAATGCATCTAAAATTACATAAATAATTAAGGTTTCAAGCTTAACATAATTTAAACAGTAAAACTATGTTTAACTATACCCTTAGCAAAGATGGGCTGTCCAGTGAATAACATCTCCATTGCAATTTTATGTGGAACTGCTCTACTGACAGCAACTGCTGGTGTAGAGCAAAACAGACCAATATTCACTCTAGTAAAAAGATCATTTTCATGCAAAAATAGTTCAAGTTATGTTTTTTTTGTAACAACCATACCCTGGAGTGGCAAACATTGCATTTGTTGCAGCTACAGCCATATCACAGCTTGCAACTAATTGACATCCAGCTGCAGTTGCCAATCCTACATCATAAGAATGTTATAAGTGGAAAAATTTGTTGCAAAATCAAAATGTAAAAATCTAAGATTAAGTAAAAAGACAATTATCATCACCTTTAACCTGGGCAATGACTGGTATTGGTATATCCTGAAAAATACATTTAAATTTAGTAAATGCCAAATTTCAACAAAAAGATGGTTATTTTTCATTACCTGGATTAATGACATTACTTCACTACATTTATCAAATATTTCTTTATGATGAGAACTGTCAGCAGTGTTTATCTTAACAATTGACAAGTATGACATCATCTTAACATTTGACTTTGGTAAAGTTTAATATATTTCTTACCAGTTCCTTAAGATCATGACCAGATGAGAATACTGTTCCATTAGCTGATATGATCACAACATGAGACTTTTTAACAACATTTTCCATCAAGCCATTTTCAATTGACTTGAGCATTGCCAAACTTAGAGCATTTCTACATTAAACATTATATATAAATGAAAAATTCTAACTTGTGAAAAAATTTATCATTGTTACCTTTTCAGTGGGTTGTTTAGAACTATTTTTCCTATACCATTGACGACATTACACAAAGTCAAATGAGATTGTTGCACATTCTCTGAGTTTTTACTTGAAAAACGAGTAAATACCTATTATTGTGTAATGACAAAAACACATCAATTTTAGTTCATTTTTTTTTTGAAATGGCTTTTTTTTATTACCTTTTCTTTTGTTGAAGTCTTCAAAAAGTTGTAAATAGTTCGAGAAATCATTATTCCAAAATTTTAGAATAAATTAATAATTAATAATAATTGGAAATTTGAGCTAATTCACACTGGAGGTGGTGGAAGTTGGTCACACATGATCAAAGCTTATGTTTCTATCCTTTGACAATGGATTCTGTTCTGTGGACATTTCAGAATCCAGTATTTGCTTTTTACTCATTGTGTTCGACAATATTATTGTTGAAAATGTTAATGATGCCAATTTGGACGGGATATCAGAGAGTAAAAAATAAGGTTAGTTTATTTCATACGCCGTTTTAACGTAAGTTTAATTCTAATCAGTTTTGATTAAAATATTTCAGAATTTTTCTTGGCCAGAAGATTATCGATCAAAGGAGAAAAGGTGTGAAACCTGTACATCCTGACGTTGAACGCATTCGACGGTATGTTGAAAAATTACTACAGTGTTCATTACAGAAATTCAAATTATAAAACTTGCTGCTGTATTCATGACTTACTAGGGACAGTTTTTACAAATATTCCCAATGTCAATTGTCTTGTTTTAGATGCCATCAAAATGATTTGGAAAATATCCTACCATTCTTTGTGCTTGGTCTCTTCTACACATTAACTAACCCCTCACTGATTTCAGCTCAATTTCTATTTGGAGGATTTACAGTAGCTCGTATTATCCATACAATTGTGTTTGCAAATGCAGTCCCACAACCAACTCGTATTTTGGTATTCAGTTTTGGTGTGACCATCAATTTCATCATGGCTCTTTTAGTCTTAAAGAATTTGATAATTTTGTAAATTGCAACCTTATGAAAACTATTTTCAATAATTAATTTTAACTGTATACGACACAATCAAATACAATGAAACACAAAGATTGCAACACTTGTTTTATTTATGCATTTATTTTTCATTATTATTTGCTCTTTTTGGCCCTAATTTTCTTTCCATAAAACTCGAGCTCCTTTCCTTCTAAAATGTAACCATCACATCTTCCACTTTGTCCAGGACGTGATGAGATACAGGCTACAAGAAAATAACATGTAGATGTTATTTCAGTTTTTTAAAGATTTGTTTTGTCCATTTAAATTAAACTAACCATAGAGTCGTCCAGTTACAAACTGTTCTTCAAGACCAGGAGTTACTTTAGCCATTGCCTTTCTTGCTTCCATTTTTTTCTCCTGATGTCGAGACCTTTTTTTCTGTAGTTCTGCTTCTTCAGCTTCGGTCTTATAAATAAAAAACAGATTATTATATTTTGCAGTTTGAAGTATTTGCATTAACTATTCTAACCAATTTAGCACCCTTTTTCGACCAATTGGTGTGGCATAATGTGCTTACCTGGGAATATGAATAAAGCATTAGTGCAATTCAAATAAAACAATTCAACTACAAACTAAAAATTAATCTCACCATTGTCTAAACGGATTGCTATCAACTGTAACAATACAATTTTTCACAAGAGTTTTTGTTCTAACAAGTTCATTGTTGCTGGCATTATATACAACATCCATAACTCTTGTCTTTCTTGTTATACCTATGTTTAAAGACATTTTCATTAACTGAAATATCAAATCAATAATAATAGTGCAACATACAAAACATGACAAGTACAATCAGAGTAACTATGACATTCAAACAGAATCATGCTTAAAGTTTCTTGACTATAACAGTTATAAAAACTTTATCATTGTATAGAAATAATTCATCATTTTGTACCACGACATTCCACTTAATGATTTAGTAGGCTTCAGAACTTACTTTCAGAGCCCCATGAAAAATTACCATGGTCAAGACGCAATGCTCGAAACTTTCTATTACCACCCCTGGTACGAACTGTATGGATTCGTTTTTGTCCAAGCTAAAGAAAAGAATGACATTATTTATAGAATTGATACGATTGCTAATTCTGTTGTACGACTACCTTTGTGTTTGCTGGTGGACGACCAAGCTCAAATTTGCGTTTCTTTCTTAATGGTTTCTTCTTTCCTCCAGTGGCACGACGTTTATGCCAACTGTCACGTGAGATACCTAAAAATAAAACATGTAAGCCAATGATTTCCTATAATTACTCATGCAGTTTTGGTCAATATACATGGTGTAGATACCATAAAATTAGTAAATGGAAAAACACACAATTATTATCATGAAATATATCATGTGACAATGATATAGAAGATTTGGTGGTGTCGTTGATGTATAATTCTCAAGCAATTGCTTTTTGGGAAGATGTGCTCTCATGGCATGGGTTTATAGCATTCAATGTTGGTATGTATGTAATATTGTAATATTGTAAATTGGACTGAAGACAAAGTTTCCGTCCAAACATCGTATTTGGAACGTCTTTGTTTTCCGAGTTTACATCAAAAATTACGTGTGCTTCAAAAAATTGCTCGTAAAACATCATTATAAGTGTGCAGAAATTGTAAAAACTTTAAATAAAGGGAGAAAAAGTGAATATTCCCAAGAGATTCAAACGGATTCTTTCTACTATCACTTATCTGATCACTCACCCATCTTTATTGATTTGAAAAGACCACATTCATGAAGCGCGAGTAGATTTGTAACCTGGGCACTAGAACATGTGTGGATATGTTTGTACAGCGGTATTGACCATTGAGTTCTATAATAACTGGAGGGGAAACGTCAACAAAATTAGTATAAATTATTAGCGCGCGGCCGCGTGGTCAAAAACATGGCGGATTTTGGTTGTCAAAGTCAGCGGAAAGACGCGGGCTCATAAAATGAAATTTTTTTCGCCCACCCGGATTTGACAACCACAATAGCGATTATATAAAATATCAATGCTAAACACAAAAACTTTTAGAAATTTTATCTTTAAAACATGTTGCAAACTTGTTTGGTAGACGGATGCTGAAGTAATGCCAGAAAAGGAAACATTTCATGATACCGGTAAGCAACGTAAGATTGTTTACCATTTAAAGTGTTCAGTGTTTTGTTTTAAGTCAATACTTGAAGTGTGATGGTATATATTTTGTGAATGTTTTTACTTCTAACTTATAATTTAAGTTATGTATATCCAGTCTTATTTGTTATTTACTTAATCGCTTGCTGGACGAGGCAAAGCAACCAGTTCTTATCGAGATATGCATATCTTAAAACTCCTTGTTTCAACTGAGTTGAAATGGAGGATTTTTTCATGATATTTTCTGAAAATATGAAGCAAATATTGACAGAGCTGTATTGAAATCAAATGCAGTGCAAGATTAATTAATGAGCTCTTTGGTACATGTCGTACAATAAAAATACCTGTATTAAACAGCTAGCCTGGACAATTTGACAGATTATGGACAATCATGATGATGGTGTGTAATGGTTTGCTTTATGCTAAAAGTTTTATGAATGCCATCTGGTGTTTCTGTAAATGAATTGTTTGTTACACAGTGTAGTGAACAGGTTAATACATCAAAATCAAGATAAAACTACTTTGTTCAATAATGTGCCAAATTTTGCTCTACCTTGAAATATTTGCTCAAGCAAAGCTTATCATGACATGCATGAAACATTAAATACAGTACTGCATCATCTGACAAAGTCCATATGTTTTCAATTCCAGGTGATTAAAAATTCACATAAGATGCATTGGTTTGCCATGAAGTTGAATGTGGAAGAAGCAAAATTGATGACAAAGAACTTTTATGTCTTTGAAGAATTACGATATCATTTAAAAGAATAAGAGTAGCAATCTAGTAAAAGAAGCCACATCGGCCTTCAACATGAGACTTTTCCAATTATGTATAGTTATTTTGTACAAAATACTATTTTAGATAAACTTGATTTTTAAGTCATTTACTGATATTTTACCAAAAGACAAAACAAAAATTCCAAGGCATAATGTAAAATTCAAAAATTTGTCAAGTTGTTTGAACCTAGAAAAAATTAGTATAGGTAACTGTAATTTGTAAGGACACAAGAGAAAAGTAGTGCAAGAAGGTTAGCATTTTGAGAGTTAATAAGTTCTTGACATACATTACACAAGGCCATAATATTATAAATAATGTCTGTATAATAACAATTATACAACATGCTAAATATCTTCACCTACATTATAATTATTTAAACAGGTTTGCCTTCATGCAGCAATAAGAAAAGTGTTGTGTCAGAGAAACCAATGCACTTTAATTTAAAAATCGTATTTTCAATGGGAAATTAATGTAGTTCTGTTCAATAGTAGATCCATGGTTGTCAATGACAATCCAGTTACTAATATCTTGGCTCAAAACAGAACCAGCAACATGATTATAGAATTTCTGAATTTCGTTCTTTGCTCTCCTAGTTCGAGATATTTTCTTCATAAGTTCTCAGTAGATTTATCAGAATATCATAATACCTTATAAGACACCCAGAATCAATCCTACCAAAAACTCAAAAAAATACATACCTACTTATAATATATTTCCAGTCGACTTAAGTCGTAAGCTAACTTTTCTAACTCCTTTTGGACATTTTAACTAATATTTACCCATCTATTCAAGAAAGACAGTTGCACGAAGCTGTTAAAATAGTCAAAACACAAGTATTGCGCATGGGATTATGCATTAAAGCTTAACGACACATTGACAATGTAAAGAATGCCGTTTGATATTTATTTCTAACATAGCTAAAGCATTACTTGACAAAACATACGTTATTTTACAGTAGATTTCTGTTCTGTTCTGTTCAGGTGCCATGCATGATGCATGCAAATGTTAAAGATTTCTCAATAATTTCACAACTCTGCCTTAATGGTTAAGATCACGATACAAGATGGATGCAAAACTCGATAAAATTGACAGCTTCGCCACGTCTGGCGAGCGATTAACTGAAGAACAAACAAGACTGGACCAAAATAACTTTAAATTAAAACTTAGTAGTAGAAACAAGCTTCAAGTATCGTGTTAAAAACAAAATAGTAAAGGAGAGTCAAGAAATCTGTCGTTATTTCAGCATCCGCAAACCACTTGGCAGTTTAATCATAAAGTTTTAAAAAGTGTTTATGTTGGAAAATAAATAGTTTTGATTATACTCGCAATCGTGGTGGTCAAATCAGGGTGGGCGACAAAATTTCATTTCATGACAGCCAAAATCCGCCATGTTTTTGACCACGAGGCCCAGGCCCCTTTGCCCCTCCAGGTCTTATAGAGCTCAATGGTATTGACCTATTGAACGTAAGAAGCCTTGTGCAATCACTAAAAAAATTAAAATCGAAAGTTTCTCACTATGCACCACTGAGAGCCTGTCAAACGGCGTGGGCTCGTTTTGAACATCAATCTAGAATATGAGAAAATTTCCCGTAACTTTAACATTAGCAAAGTGAGAAGTCCAATGTGCAGAATATGAAAGGAGAAAATACTGATTGACAAAAGAAAACCCTGCTGTTGATGGCCTCCAAGGAAAAAATACTTGAAGAAACACATGCCATGTTAAGAGCAGTTTTAATAAGTAGTCCCAATGGAGTGGTTTTACAGCAATTGCAATCAGATTATCGATTAATCACGGGGAAAAATATTCCTTTCAAGGAACTGGGTTACAGCAACCTTGAGAAATTTCTTGGAAATATTCCTTCAGTGGCTACCACATTAATGGGTCCTGATGGTCGTTTGATTGTGAAAGGTGTCGCTTCTAATGCTGATAAACATGTTGCAAAGTTAATTGCTAAGCAAAAAAAACCAAAAGTTAGAAAATCAGCAAAATTATTAATGGCTAAGAAATCTCAAGAAATAAAGGCTTCCAATCTAAAAAGAAAACCTTCAACTTGGTCAAGGGCTTCAATACCAAGACCTCCAAAATCTTTTCCACCAAGAATGAAAAGGTCGGTGGGACTTAATAGTAACCCTAAAGTATCATCACCAACAGCTCTGTCTGTCCAAAAAAGAAAAGGTAACTATGATTTCTTTACAGGAGTTTCCATTCTGTTTTCGTTTTCATTAAATGTTTTTTTTGTTTTAATCAGAAAATAAACAGCTTTCTGTATGCATATCACAGAAGAACAAGAATAGGGCTGTTTTCACAGCAAATGATGTTAAAGTTTCAAATCATTCCAACTCAATACCTATCCTTCAGGATGCTAATGTAGTAAAGTGGGTTGAAAATGCAATTTCCAAAGCCCCCAATGGACTGTGGGAAACACGGTTGTCTGTTTTATTTAAAGAAAAGTTCAACAATCTCTCACCAGATGAGCTAATTGAAGAACTGAAATTTCGTCCAGATATAGCTCGTATTGAGGAACCTATTCCAGGCAGACGCCTATTGTATCCTTTGAAGAATAATGTAAGGCAAATTTTATAGCTTTGTTTCTTTAATAAATGCAAATTAAGTGTTTTTAATTTTGAGTAATTTCTTAGGTATCAAGGAAAGCAAGCACAGATGACAAAGAGTTTGAATTGTTGTATAAACCTCCTAATACCGGGTAGTGTTTCATATTGGCATATTCTCTTTTTATACTCCTCCTCTATATTAAACCTTCCCTTTCCAATTCTCTAGTTAAACCTCTCAAAATGGTCTGTTTATACATCTGTTGTTGAAATAGTTCCTTTCTTTGTTTATGTAGGAGCACGGTGGCTGTCTTTGTTACACATATAAACACGCCAAATTCTTTTTATGTAAGTCAAACAGATTTGATCACGGAGAGTTTGAATAATGACATTCAAGAACAATACACAGTGAGTCAGTTCTTATCAAAGCCTTTCAATAGTTTCCTTTATAATATCCAGCATTCTATAAACCTGTTTTATAGTCAACATTTTTCAGCATGGATGCAACACATTCTATTTCACCTGGGGATGTTTATTGTGCACAGTTTACTGAAGACAAGAACTTCTATCGAGCATGTGTTCTTGATGTTGTTGATAATGAGAATGTCAAAGTTTTATATGTTGACTTTGGAAATACTGAAATTCTTCCTGTTGTTAAATTAAGAGTTTTAATTGATCAGTTTAAAGTCCCTCCCATACAAGCTTATGAATGTTGTCTTGATGGAGTACAACCTCATGATAAGGTATGGATAACATGGGACTTTTTACAAAGTTAACAAACAAACAAACAACATTTGTATACCGGCCAGTATTAATCCCAGAGGGTTGACCGTCCATAAATTTTCCACGCCAAATCTATCTCTCGCCATATCTCTCGTTATACCCATCGCCTTCATATCACTGTTCACAGCATCCATCCATCTCTTTCGGTCTACCTCGTTTGCGGACTCCATCAACATTCATATGCAACGTTCTAATTTCAGCACTTTCTTCCCTCCTTTCCACATGCCCAAACCACCTCAAACGCGCCTTACCCAATTCTCGATACACTCGACACCAACTCTTTCTCTAATCTCTTCACCAATCCTATCCATCAACGTTACACCACACATCATCCTAAGCATTCTCCTTTCCGTCGACGCCAATCTTCTCAGGTCCTCTGCTTTCGGCGCAAAAGCAGAATATGCTTTTTGTCATATTTTTACAAAGTTAAATGTACATGATATTTGTTTGTGTTTTAATAGACTGATCAATGGAATGATGAAGCCATTAATATGTTTGAAAAACTGACTTGATCAAAAGTTAAATATGACTATTCATAACATTGATGGTAATACACCAGATGATACTAAATCTTACCATGCAATTTAAGTTCATTTGTTATAAATGCTGTCAGTGTAGTGAATTAAAACCTTTTTTGTATTGTTCAAAATCACTGAAGTAAATTATTTAAAACTCAAGCATAGACCTCACCTGTGACATAAGCCTAAGAACAAGATTATCAAAGCTTTTTGTTCATTTGTTTATTGCAAGTGAGGACACTTATGCCTATTTTTATGTGAAAAGTGAGGACCAGGTTTTTACTTGTCTAATTTTAAGCATTGCTTTGCAAGCATGGAGCTGATAACAACAAGCTTATAGTAAAGAATTCCCGTCAAATATTTATAAAAACGATGTGGTCACTGTCGAGATTAATTAAGATTTTGACGTTAAGAATTAAAAGACGATATTTTGATATTTTTAATGCTAAGGAATACATGTTTTATTTTTCATTTTAAGGTAAAGTTCTTACTGTAACGTTAACTGATGTCTTAACACAGAAAAATGTTGGCGAAGAAATGAAGAAATGTGGCGTTGCTGTTTCTAACAAAAACTCAGAGATAACATCATCGTCATCTTCGTCGTCTTTGTCATCTTCGTCGGGGTACAAAACTATTTATCTAAAGTGGTCTTTGCAAATGAACTCTAGCTTACTACATTTTAGATTTGGTTCAGAAACACTCTCGATTCATAAAATGATGGCTTTCCCAATCGCTTACGACTTATGAAATCGTCAAAATCGCCCGGTAAGAAAATGCTTTTGTTCCCATCAGAATTCAATGGTAAAGAAATTTTGTTGTAATGTTTACTCTATTTCGTTCAAGGTATTGTTGATCTACCTAAAGAGAGCTTTGTTGACGTGTTTGTCTGTAACATAACAGGAACATATAGTGTATTCCTTCGTTTAATTGGTGATGAATATTCTGTAAGAGCAATTGAACTAGTGAAAGCTTGTGAAAGGCTGTTGTTGTTAACATATTTACATTTAAACTTTTAGGAGAAGTTAGATAGATTACATGAAAGTATGATGTCTTACTATAGCGATAGCGATATCAAAGGTAAATTGAATCGATGATTTTACTGAGTTGTCAAAAATTATGTTTCACTTTATTGTTTTTTCTTTCTCTCCCGTTTTCAGAGAAAATCACATCGGATCCAATGGTTGGCGATCTATTTGCGATGTTTTCTGAGTTTCAATGGTGTCGAGTGAAAGTTCTCAATATAAAAAATGACAAAATTTCAGTTTATTTTGTTGATCACGGTGAAACAATCGTAACGAAAAAGGACGAATTGAGACTTTTACCATCTCAGTTTACTAAGCTGCCATTTCAGGTACAATTTGTGTTTTTAAATAATTTCTTTATTTCGTTTTGTTAATTGTGTAATTTCTTCCATCTCTCAAGGCCTTTCAGTGTGCCTTGAATGGACTTCCAAAGACCAAGAATCCCGACGTTGTTGATAAGTTGAAGAATTTAATTTTGTATGAGGAGGCTGTTGCAGAAATCATTGAAAGGTATAAATGGCGTATTCATCTCCATAGTTGATTGTGGAGCTTTTTTATGGTTTTATACGAGTAACGATGATCATTCTCCGTCATAGCCTTACGACTGTCTTAAATTTATCCTTTTGATTTTTCGACTAAAATATTTTAGATAAACGACGCGTTTATCTAAAATATTTTGGATAAACGACACGTTGTAATCTCAGACATCTAGATCTTTGCCTACTCAAATATGTGTCCGTTTTTCAACCCTTTTTAGAACAAAAGATCTTGTATTTATCGAGTTAGTCGACACAAGAAGCGATGCTAATATTGTCATTAATCAGATTGTAGGGAAACTTGTTATTCCAGATGAAGAGTTGAAGCCTGTTTTACCAAAAGTATGATTTTATAAAAAGATTGTAGATACTGACTTGTTTTACAACGACATCTCGCACGTTAAAATATTACATCAGCGGACAAATTAAATTAAAAAATGACCGAAACTAACGTTCAAAATTTTTTAAGATATCAGAGTGAATGAAAAATCAACGATATTAGTTTTCTCTTATACTTAAAAAGCGATGGCAATTTTCTTACAGGTTGGTCTAACAACAGATGTTGATATTACTTATATCTCACCAGAAGGATTTGTTTTCGTACATGTTTCAATGGCTGGAAGTAAACGATTGGAAGAAGTAAACAATGACCTCAATGAATATTATACATCCAAGGTAATGTTGAAATGGCATTCTTTAAAATCCTATTGCCTTTGTATTAAATCATCTTATTTACATGCAGCGCTCGAAAGCTAACGAATTTGTTTCCAAGCCTTCTATTGGCAAAATATGTTGCGCCAAGTGTCAAGAAGATGGAAACTGGTACCGAGCTACGATTCTTGCTATCAACGATAAAATGTTCGTAAGGAACTAGTTTATAGTGTGCCCTCATTTTATTAGTTTTCAGTATAATACGTAGGAAGATTCCCTTTTTTTGTCATCTGTGTGATTGTCTATATCTATATTGCTACCTCTACTTTTTTTAATCTCCTGATTTTTATCAAATTATCCAGTAGTTTATTTACTTTTTAGGAAGTTGAAGTATTATACGCCGACTATGGAAACACTGAGACAATGTCTGTGACCAATTTACGTGAACCAATGCAGGACAATCCCCATGTACTCAGTCTACCATTTCAGGTAATATTGTACTTTATTGTTGATAAAGTCATGGGGAATTTTTGTTTAACGAAATTTTATAAAATATAAAACAGTTTTAAACGTTCTCCGTTTTATCGTCTTAATTTTCAGGCTTTGGAATGTCAACTGTACGATGTTCCCAAGGTATCAAAATAGTTTCAGCATTATTTTATATTTATCATTGAATGTCTCATTTCGTAAAGTGTTTTTTTGTTCAGGAATGCTGGAATGACGATATCATAGACAAAATATTAGGATATGCTCAACAAAACAAGCTATGCGCCGAGGTATTTCTTCGTACAATAACATTCCTTTCCTCCCGCTTCTTGAATATATTGCATTTTTGCATCATAAATTGGTCACGTGAACATTTGTCGGATTTATTTGGAGTACAATAATAGTTAACTTCACTCTAGGCTGTTAAATGTTATTTTAGTAAACAGAATAATCGACAACACGAATCCTATCTTTTTGCAACACATTTCTTCCTTGACTAATTATTGTAAAAGAGTCCCTTATTCTAAGATGCATTATTAATTTTCTGTTAAACAAAGGCATACAGTAGTTTGCTTGAGATTTGTAATTTTGACTGTGAAGCTTACAAGTCTTATGTTTTCAGTGGTTTCGAAAATTTTTGATGTGATGATTATGTCATTTACACTTTTGTTGACCTTCTAAACTTTTGTTTCTCGTAGGTTTTATCAGATGAAGACAAGCCTGTATTAAGCCTTATGGTTCAGGAGGAGAATTCAAATGGTCAGCACAACACTCATCGCTTGGCATCGTTACTCGGTCTTACTGCAGACTCTCAAGAGTCTGAAGGTTCAAAAGAATCTTTGAGTAATTTAAAGAGTAACAGCAATGATAAAAACAATCAAGATCAAATGAACGAGGAAGCTCTCATAACCGTCATGGATGAAAAAGCAAATTCTCTTCAGGAGTATCAAAAGACTGTGACCGTTGAAAATCAAGCTGTACAGGTTACTCCTTCTGTATTGGCTGCTCAAAATTTGTTGTGCAAAGTTTTGAAATTAAATAAAGGATGGTTTGATGTCTTTGTCTCTTACGTTGAAAATCCAGACAAATTTACGGTTGGTCAGGAAAAGTGTTTGGCTTTCTTTCTTCTTTCAATCAATCTCTCTTTACTTTGTCTTGTTTTGTCGTTGTTTTAGATACAACTGTTGGAAAACGATGCAGAAATTTCGGCCTTGTCTATAAATATGAACGAATTTTATGAGGTAGTGCTGTATGAAATAATTTATTAATTTTTTTTCAATACCTAATGTAAAAGTAGAGACTTATTTTCACTGGTCTTAAATATTTCTTTTTAGAATGAGTTAGGTGACAATGATTTGACTGTTGAACAAGGTGGTGTATATGCAGTGTTAAATGACGATGATGGATGGTATCGTGCCGTAGTGGAGCATATTTTACCTCATAGAAAAGTACTTTTGCTTACTTATAAATGTTTAATTAAGAAGTTGATTAAGTTTTCTTGTCGATTTTACTAGTTTGCCTAAACGTACCCTGTTTTATTATTTATAATCCATGTTTGTACATAGATTTTGTCAATTTTTTATGATTTTAAGGCTTACATTCTATTCTTGGACTATGGTGATCATGCTGCGGTTGATTGGGACGATATACGAGATTTGGATGAAAAATTTCTTCAACTGCCGATACAAGGTGTTACGTGCAAACTTGAAGGTGAAACACTCAATTTTTAAACATGAAAAGTTTTGTTGATTTTTCTCGATGAGTTTTTCTGTTTTTGAAGGTGTCGCAGCGACGAAGAAAAAATGGTCAAAATCAGCTCTAAAAAACTTTAGATATTTAATTTTTGAGCGTTACATTGTTGCTCGAATCACCAGCACACACAGAGATTATCATTATGATGAAGTTGTTTCTCTAGAACTTTGTGATACAGAGGATCCTACCCAGGACGTGTTTATTGCACCAAAATTCATCGAAAATAACTCAGATGTTGTTGAGAAGAAGAAAAACAATGAACTTACGTGATCCATTGTTGAATAAAAATTATATCATGGTATCGTCCCAGATCTATTGAACCTGGGCTTATGTTGACGTAGTAAAAGAGCGCCATTGACACAATGTAATGTTATTTTGAGCGACATCTTTTGGTATAGTATTAAATTTAGAAATTCCTTTTTTATTCACAAGACGCTTGAGAGACTTTAAACAGTCTGTCCAAATTGTTAAAGAATGGAAACAACTTTTTATTGCGAAGATAATATTAATGTCATTAGTTCATATCTTGATGGATTGGAGGAAACATTGTGAAAGATTGAAGAACGCGCTTAAAACACTGGGTTTTACCTTTGATGTTGTCTTGAGCAAGGTCGCTTTGGATTGACGAAGAACCATCACTAATATTGAAGCATCACATGAGTTATAATATTTGATAAGATTTTATTTTTGTAATGATCATGTTTGTAAGTATGACGAATATATGTTTTGGAGAATTTTAGTTAAATATGTTGAAATTTCCACTTTGGTTAGCTGTAACAGTGTTTTGAATACATGAGCCATCAGTGTATATGGTCAGTGGTACTATGCACTTTTACCAAGATGGCATCTTGTTTCATGTCGAATAGTTTAATTTTTTATTCGTTTTTACCTAGAATATATTGCGAAAGATTGGCGAATCTGACTTTCTGCAAATATATACATACTTCAGGTTAATATTTCTTCAGATATACTAGTGTAAATATAGTAAATTCACAGCACTTACTGAGTTTATTCTGTCTTGTCCAATTTATGACATAGATTTCATTTCAGTGACAAACTGTGGAGGAAAATTGAAGAGTGAATGGAGAAGAAAAAGCTCCTGCTTTAACTAAGGTTGATTGATTATCTGTTGTCCTTTGTTACATATTCTTGCATATTTAATTTTTTTGCGTAGCTCTGTTCAGATAAACCTGAAAAGACGAAAACACGAAAGGCATTTGGAGGAAACAGGAAGACAAAAATAACGAGAGCAAAAGAGGGTTCTTACATATTGAAGTCTTTAGGTTAGTGTTTACTGTAGCTTATAGGAAGTTTTGGTCCTATAAAGATAATTTTCTTTTAAACCTATCTTTATTATGTAGATGTTGAGCATAAGACAGGGATTCTTGACGTTGTCTACAATGCAGCACATAAGGATTTTACATCAAGAAAAATCATAGTCCGAGGAACTGTTATAGAAATTGATGGCACACCATTCATTATGTAAGAAAAACATGTTGATAATATATTGTCATTCTATTAGTAATTTATTACAGATGTTTTTTAACCTTTTGTCTAAAGGAAAGAATAAGTGTTGAAAAAATAAATCTTTAAAATTATCTTTTCAGGCATAAAAGAAATAACAAAGATTACATTCAGGTATATCACCAATGAATAATATACATACATACCTTTGAACTAATGTGTATAGATGGTTACCTACATGTTACTTGTCCACGTTTTTTTTTTTTGATAATAAGTTCTTATGACCTGTCCAATGCTCAATGATAAATAGAATGACAGAATGACTTTTGTTATAAAAGATTTTGCTTTCATCAAAAAGACATGTTGCAATTTTGTAGAATGATGACAAATCATTGGTTGATGAAAGAGTTAATGAACAGCTAAAAGAAGGAAAGGTTTTAGGTATCAAGTCATTTCCATATTTCATTATTTACCATAGGATGAACCCAATTTCAAGTAATTTTTTGATAGCAATGTGGAAAGCAAGTTTCTTTAAATTCAGTTTGTTTATATACGTGATCTCTCTTTGGAATAAAGATGGTTAGAAGAAAAAATCTATCCCTTATTTAAGATGATTTGATTTACATAGTGCTGAAAACGACTTCAGAAATTTTTTAAAGACTTAATGCTTTCAAATACGATGTAATGGTCAATTTTCAAACCATCACACCATATTAGCTTTGATGTTTTAAGAAATGAATTTTAATATTGTCTTTATGATCATTTAAAAATTCTAACTACATAGTATCCAAAAAATAATAATTAAATGTTACTGAAATAATCATAAATTTTATGTAATGTTATCAATATCAGGATAATTCTGGAGAATATGAATACTTTATTTATGTTGTTATTTAATGCAATGTATGTTTCTAAACAGCAAAAGTATCCACTGTCCTGGGCAAGATGGTTGTGTAAATGGTTACATCTTGGAAGGGCAGGAGCTTACTGACTTTTTGAAAATGATAAAACCTTTGTGAATGAGAGCAAAGTTTTAAACAAACTAACTACATACTAATTGGTGGCTCTTTTCCTGCATTGCATTTTCTTTAATTCATACATGAGGAGATTGCTAAGGTAGGTTTGACAGAAGCCAAAATTTGAGTACAATGTGCTGTTAAGGTCAGTTACAATGAATCTAATAAATACCTTTTAGTCTATTTTCAGCATTGTAATTACTGTAATATAAATATATATATATATAAACAATATGTAATATTTAAAACATTGTTTGGTAAAGTTTGAGTATAGCATGTACTAGATTACTTATTTTTCTGAATCTTTCCACTTCTTCTTAACCAAACAAACTTGTAAATCCTTTTAACAAAATGAATAACACCAAAAAAAACTGCTTTCCCACTTTGCATAATTATTGACCTAATCAGAAGAAACTGAGCTTTTAGTGGGTCTAAGTTACTTTTTCCCAAGCCACTTAATGTTGTTGATAATGCTTGGCAAACTACTTGCAAGTATTTTGTAAATAGAGAAAAAATAAAGTTGTCACAAAGTACAAGGCATATCTGAGAGCTAGCTATTTTGATAACTTTTAAGACCTGTACGAATGGTGAAATAATTGGCCAAAGTATCCAATAAGATGTGGCAACAGTTTGCAATAATGGATTAGTCATTGATGATGTCAGTGTGTAAAGTGGCTTTATGACACAGAGCCATTGGATGGTATATTTTTCAAACAAAGTGTTAAATAAATGAGCAATGTTGTCTACAAGCTGGTACTGGTATTGAACAAATTCCACTAATGGTTTGACAAATTCTCGAACAAAATCCACGTGCCGATGAAGTTGCCAAATGGCCCAAAGAAAAGAAAATATGAAGTAAAGAGATATAACACAGTCAATAAATTGCCTTGTACGTCTTGAATAAACACAATGGGGAATGTATATGACCCAATCTGGGAGACCTTCTCTTACTTTTCTTTGAGCTATACCTAAAGTATTTTCTAAATTTGTAGACTGTGTTCGCAGCATTTGCAGCATATCCCGTACAGCTCCTGTGTGATCAACGTGAAATTTAACTTGAACCAAGCTGCTTTCTTCATGGTAACCGCGCAGACTATTTACCGATGCTGAATTTCTCTCTAGATTCTCATTTGTTTCTAGCACTGAACACTCGATTAAAAGAAATCCTGCCAATTCATCGATGGAACCAAACTTTGCTTCAACTTTCAAATCTATTGCAGAAATATTCTTGCATTGTAACTTATTTAATTCGTCTTTTCCATCACTGAAGAACAAATCTAAACTGGACAAGGTATTTTTTCTTAAAACAAGATAACATTTACGTTCTTTCACAATTCTTCCACATTTAATTGAAATCAGAGGAATCGTGGACATATTCAGCTTCTCTCATAAAATTTTTATCAACGAAATCAACTTGTTTTAACCTCCTCATAAACAATTTATATTTGAAAATGCCAGTAAAGCCTAAAGACATTTATGGTTAAAAAGACGTGACCTAAAATGGCCTGTGCTCTGGCATGATTAACATGATGGATATGTTTGTTTCGTGAAACCCTTAGCTGCTTATATTCATCATAACCGTAGGTGAATGAAAAGGCAAGCTAATGAAGGCATTAGGAATAAACATAAGTTAATAAGCTATGAACATAAGCTATAGAAATCTTTTTGTCCATTTTTTTAGTTTTTTATGATATTGTTACATGAAGTGAAAGAAGAAACATGTCCCATCCGCTGTTTGGAGTACCCGCAGGCTCATAAACATGTCAAGCTATCTTTTCAAAATTAAAAAAACTTCATTACTTTTAATTTTCTGTTCATTGGTATCCGTTAATTTCCTTATTTTTTTACATTGCTTTTTCAGTTATAGTATTGTAGAATTTATGATATGAGTGAGGTATGTATTTTCAAGTTTGTTGTTTGATTTTTATAGTTCTTATGTTGTGTGATTGTTTAGTTTCTTCAGTACACTACAGGTTTTGACTTTTGAACAGTTCAGTCTGTTTCTATTAAAGGTAATTGTCAATGTCAAGGTGCTTCTATGACTATTAAAGCACGAAAGTTCATTTTTCAGAATCTTAGAGAGAGAGTTCTTGCGATAAAATCAGAAGGAAATGATTATTTCAAAAAGAGAAATTATGAATTGGCAGTTGCAACATACGAAAATGCATTGAATTTGTGCAAAGGTTATAGTGAACTTAAAGTGGAACATGGAACAATCTTGAAAAATAAAGCTGCTTGTCAATTAAAGCTAGTGAGAAAAAATTGACTTTTGTGATGTCAGTAAATAATAATAAAGGATAAAACAGCATGTCTTTTACAGGGAAACTATAACGAAGCTCTTAAAGATTGTGAGGAAGGTGATATGAAAATGACTATATGTTTACCGCCATAAATGAGAGTTGCAGAAGTTAAACAGCAACAACTTGATTTTAGTCTTTAGGTTGCTCTAATTTTTTTTGTATAGTTGTATAGAGTCAATTTGCTGTAATCTTTAAATAATTTCTATTTATGGTTTTTAGCACTTCAATATTTACCCAAAGACTCAAAAGCTTTATTTCGTAAATGTCAAGCACTGGAAAAGTTGGATCGTCTAGAAGAAGCATTCAAAATAGCAAGAACTTTGATACAAATTGCTCCAAAGGCATAATTGACTTCAACGTTGACTAAAATTTTGCAGGAGTATCAATTTTCATTTTACTTATGTATTTCTCTTTCAAAGGATGCTACAGTTCAGGAATTTCTTCATAATGTGAGCCAACAAATTCAACAAAAGGTAATATTTGTTGAAGTGTTGAATTTAATCATTTAGCTTAAAGAATCATACCACTCTTTAAATGATACAACTTTGTAGACTGATAAACAGGGTACAACTGATGGTATGGTGGATGTAATGTTTACAGCAGTTTTTGATGAACATGAATCAAATGAACGTAAAGTTCAGGTAAAGAAAATAATTATAGATGCAATTGATAGAAGTTAAGGCTGAATAGATTACCATCCTTTTATGATGGTAACATTGTATCATTTTGTTATCAGGCAATGAAGAATTTGATCATTTTGACCAATAAAGACTCTGGTGCTGATATAATATGCAATGCAGGTTAAATTGAATTTTTGTTTACATTGCCATTTTTATGATTTTTCTTTATTTCTCATTCCATATTTTTACAGGTGGTGTTGAAAAACTGTCCAAAATAATCACAGTTGGCAATGAAGAACTATGCCACCTGGCCATTAAAGTTTTTGCTGTTCTTTGCAAAGGCAGTGCTGCAAGGGTATTTTGAACATAATAAAATAAAGGCTTTTCTATGATTTCTCTTGACCTTTTCTTCTGCCATTGGGTTTCTAGGCTGCTAAAGTATTTGAAAGCTTACAATCTCATCTTTCTATTTGTATAAAATCGGTAAAAACTAGTTTTTAATTTTTATCTTGATTAGCGTTAGAGAATTGCTATATAGAGAAACTTTATTATGATCAAATCAATCATGAAAAAGTGTTTGCTTTACTGTAATGAACTATAAAAACTATGAAAAACATATTCATTGAAATGTTTTCTTTGTAGTTTATCACAATTGATATTTTCTCATTCTTTGTTGTGATTATTGCTTTTATTTTCCTCATAGAAATCCCCTGAGTTATGTAACAGTGCTTTGAGTCTTGTGAGTCAATTTATACAAGCAACTGTTAGACAGCCAACTACTAAGGAAAAACAGAAAGATGAGCAACCTCCATTGGGTTTGTATATAGCAACATCTTTGCCATAATTACTTGTTGGTATTAGATTACTACAGTCAATATTAGAAAGTTGTGAAGATTTCTTGTTTGTTCTTATTTTAAACAAATAAATGAAATTATGTACATTTTCTCTTTTAGTTTATAAAGAGCAATTGAAATTTGCATGTTCAGTTTTGTTGGATTACTTACTTGACATAGAGTAAGAAAATGTTTAGTTTTTCTTCTTTTTTCAATTGAGTTACAAATTTCTGTGGAAATGCAATCACATGGTTATTTATGTCTTGTTATATAGAGTCAATGCTCGTAACAGAAGTTCAATTATTGAATGCATTATTACTGCTTTGCCAGGAAATAAAAACATGGCTTTATTGTTTATTGAAATGAAAGGTCAAATATTAAATCTATACAATGCTTGATATTTAAGATGTAAAGTCTATATTCCTCATGTAAGCAATGATAGCCAGCTGTGATTTGTTTTTTTTTTGCAGGAGTTCAAAAATTATTACAAGTTTCTGCAGAATCGTCATGTTTTTGGTTGAAAATTCAAACATCGTCTATCTCAATTGAGAAGACAGTTAGAATGCATGTATCTGTGGCATTGTCGAAAATCTACGACAGTCTTGGGTGAGTATGAACATTTTCTTTTTATTTTCTTTATATTTATTTTCCACTGAATGTTTTCATGTTTATTAAAACATTTTATGTTTGTTTACTTTAGATGTAAAGATGAAGATAAGGAGAAATTCTTTCAAGATTGTGATATCTTTGTTTGGTGAGTTTTTGTAGCATCGTATGTCTACTGTATTGTACATGATATAATTTATAACTATCTTTATTAGTAAATACATTCAGAGTTCTGAAAGATCTTTACAGATAAAAGGTCTTGCTGCATTGTGTACAATCTTACAGGTAGACAGGTATACGTGTATAATTATGCATTCTTCAACACAATTATCCTTAGATTACTTGTTGAATTGTTTTTACAGGGGCCCCAAGATGCTGTAACGTCAATCTTAAATAAAACAGAGATCACTGAAGTTGTGTTTACTATCGCCCAGTCTGAGGAAGTCCATGATCAGGTAGAACATCATACTTTGAATGTTATGAATGAACTTATAAGTAAATGTTAAATGCCAAAGAATTAAATAATGACTTTTGGTGATTAGGATAGTGAATTATATTTTCACGACATCATATTTATTGTTAAAAATTGTAAAAATGAAGATTCAATATTTATGAGTAGTGCACACAAAAATTGTACCGAAAGTCGTTTGTTTCTTTGTGTGGTTTAACTTCACAGAGAAGAAAAATTGGAGAATTTTTTATTCTTTATCAGATCGCTGCTGCTGAAGTTATTGCCCTCGCAGCTTCCAATAAACAAAGATGTAGTGAGATTCATAATAAGGTACACTACGTAGTTTACCACTCTTAATATATGCTTCTACCTTTGTGTACTCTAGTATCCCTCTATGTACAATTTGTGGATATCATGTATTGACAGGAAAAAAGTAAAATTATATTATTTAGGGAATGAGTGTTTTAAAAAGTCTATATAAATCAACAAACGAGGAACTACAAGTCAGAGCACTAGTGGTGAGTTCTAAAAAACGTGCTGTTGCAACAGCGATGATACATTTTAATTAAAGTTGATTTTTTGTTGTTACAATTTTTTTAAAAGCAATATTTTTATCAGGGTATGTGTAAAGTTGGTTCAACTGGTGCAGGAGATATTAATGCAAAAGTTTATAAGAAAGAAACTATATTAAAACTTTATAAATCCACACGAAGGTTTTTATTTAAAGAAATTTTCACGATTGACCGCGATAAGATTCTTTTTTAGATGACTTTTTTTTCAGTTTTTTAGTTCGATCACAGGAAGAAATAGAGATAAGAAAATGGGCTTCAGAGGCACTATCATTTATTACGTTAGACGCTGATGTTAAAGTATATTTTATTTTTTTATTTAAAACTTTGTGCCACGAGTTTTTGATAAGTCACGCTTATTTTAGGAAGAATTGATTGAAGATATCACTGCTTTAAGATCTCTATTGGATCTTGCGAAGGTTTGTTCATGTCTTAGCTACTGTTCCTCTTTAATTAAACGTAAATTTGTTTGTTTTTGTATTGTGTAGCTAAATGACAGCTCTTTGCTTTATGGCGTCTGTCAAACACTGGTAAACCTTACGAATAGTTATGATAAACCTGTACAAAACGAAAACACAGAAAAAATGAAAGAACTTGGGAAATTTGCTAAAGTCAATATTCCAGAATTTGACGAGAAGGTTCGTGGCTCGTTATAACGTCCTTATTTTTCAATATGTTGTTTTTTTTGATACTTCTTGAGTAAAGAAATCAGAAAAAATATTTTATCGTCAATTTTTTTTTAGGATAACGAGGAACATGTAGAAAGAAGGATTAGTATTTTAGTGAAGGTTTGTCCTCATTAACAGAATTAAGTTTAACAGTGAAATGAAGAAAAATATGGCTTGTTATACATAAGCTGTTTACAGTTGTGTATTAATGTTATTTTATCAACAGGAAGGTGTGATCAATGCTTTAGTGAACTTAGCAAAGCCTGAAAGTAAACAATGTCGTGAAATGATTGCAAGGTACCTATTTTGAAAATTTGCAATGTCTTCATACTTTTCTTTCTTTTTATTGTTGAATTCTTATTATAGAGTGTTTCATGGCATCGCTACTGTACAAGAATATCGTGGGCTCATTGTACAACAGGGTGGAGCTAGAGTGAGTTAATATAGATCTCATGCAAACATTCCAAGTGAATGTTGAGATTATTTTTTCAAATTTTCAGTTCAATGAACAGCGTGCCTTTTACAGTTATTGTTGACATTGTGAAAATAACTTTAACTACATCGTAATTATTCTATAGGCTTTACTGCAACTAACGAAATAACTTTAACTACATCGTAATTATTCTATAGGCTTTACTGCCACTTTAACTATTATTCTATTGGCCATCGTAATTATTCTATAGGCTTTACTGCCACTAACGAAATAACTTTAACTACATCGTAATTATTCTATAGGCTTTACTGCCACTAACGACTGTGAATACTGAAAGGGGAAAAGATATTGCATCTCACGCTTTAGCTAAAGTTGCCATCACGATGAACCCAGAGTTTGCTTTTCCTGGACAAAAGGTATTCACGTATATAAAACAATATAAAACAATCATAGAGATTTGTGTTATGTAACAAGTTTTCTGTCGCCTTTTATTTTTTAGAGTTTTGAATTAGTTCGTCCTTTTTTGTCCTTACTCCATCCTGACAAGAAGGTGTTACACCTGTGTTTGTATTTCACTTTGTAGCTTCGAAAATGATAAAATGAAGTATGGCAATGAATATCACTGATTATTATCTATTTTAATATAGTTTGTTTTGGTTTGTAGGGTTTGGAACAGTTTGAATCACTGATGGCTTTAACAAATCTTGCAGGAATGAACAATGACGTCAGGTATGTTGATTTTAGGGATCTTCATTGATATTAAACTACGTCAGGGACCTTCATTGACATCAAACTACCTCAAGGATCTTCATTGACATTAAACTCCATTAGTTGGTAGACAACGCAAGTTTTCAATCATATATTTTTGTCATGTTTTCTGTTCATCAGCTTGTTTTAACATATTCACTTTCAAACTCCATTACCATTTCTGGTTTTGCCGTGTACAAACACACCTGCAATAAAATGCGCAATTTGCCGTGCAGAAAATGAACGAAAGAACCGATTATTTGGCTAACCGCACAGCTCTAAACATTTTATGTCGTGATATTTACTATTTGCTTTCACTTTGATTTGTGATATTTTAAAAGCGTATATTTGCCTTCAATATAAATTTGAAAACTTCGAGAATGTTCATTTATATTACCTTACGTGATCCAAATGTTCCTGGAAATCCCCGAGCTTCTTGTGAACCCCATGTTTTTCCTCATAGGAAACACATATATCGTGAACGAGGTATTCCTGACATTGAAAGTTTATTGTTTGAAGATCATGAGATGATTCGACGAGCTGCAGCTGAATGTATGTGTAATCTCGTTTACTGTGACGAGGTAAACTTAACATGAAAAAGATGTTTACAGCAAATATAAAATTTTGATCAGTTATTGATCAAGTTTCTCGACTGTTGTTAGGTCGCGGAGCTATTTCTTCAAGAAAACACCACAGAACGAGTGAAGTTATTTACACTTTTTTCAGGAGAAGAAGATGAACTCCTTGCTAGGTAAATTATTTTTGACTCATCTCAATGATCTATGTGGCTAATTATTGACTTCATTAGTTGAAAACGTCTGTCTTTAAGGATAAGATAGGATGAGATCATAGTTTACTTTCTTTCTTTATAGAGCGTGTTCTGGTGCTTTGGCAATTCTTACAGACAATCCCAAAATCTGCAAGAAAGTGTCTGAGGTTTGTACGCACGAATCTTTTGTTGGTGTAAATATAGATAGCTTTGATAGCTGTTATTTTTCATAAATTGTAGGTGAGGCCATGGCTTGAAATATTTCAATCTTTATTACTGTCACCAAACAAGGAACTTCAACACAGGTTCATAATTATTTTACGTGATAAAACACGATTTCAGCATGTCTCGATGATTTAAATGTGTTCTTGAAACTTGAAATTGTGTTTTTCTTGTTCAAAAATACTCAAAGATTCATTTTCTATCTTCCAGGGGCTCCTATATTGTTAGGAATATGATGAATTCCAGCAAAGAAATAGCTGAAAAGGTTTTCGACCAAGTTGTGTTTGATAAAGTTTACATTTAACAAATGAAATGGTTCTTTTTGGCTTGTGTTTTAGCTTGTGGAGAGCAAGATATTTGAGATTCTTTTGGCGTTATCTCAGGATACAAAAATAGACGTTCCTGTGAAAGAAGCAGTGACAGAGAGCTTGAAGAAAGCAAAAGACTGGAAACTAATAATAGACGCTCCCAAAGAATAATGATGAAAGAATCACGAATAATCCATCTTGTCGATTAATGAGGTAGACTTTGACTAAATAAAGTGTATTAATGCGTTTTTCTGCATAAAATTTAACGTTCAACATGCGCTCACTGTTGCTTTAAACACAATATTAAATTATAATAACGTGATTTCGCTCATTCTGCTACCTACATCTTTGATATGATGCTTTAAACTTACATTATTAAATTTGTTATACAGTGCAGTCATGTCACGCATGTGACACAACACGCGTGTGTAACACAACACGCGTGTAACACAACACGCGTGTGACACAACACACATGTAACACAACACACATGTAACACAACACGCGTGTGACACAACACACATGTAACACAACACGCGTGTGAAACAACACGCGTGTGACACACACGAAGTACAAAAAACGTTTCAAAATCATCCAGTCATTGGATGTTATGTAAAAGCTAAGCTATCGTTCCACATATTTACAAGTCGTTTTATGCTTCATAGAATAAATGAATATAAATCAAAACTCACATATTCATATTTTCTGCTTATAAATTCATCCATATTCTTATGCGTTTGAGAAAGCGAAAGACATTGACATGTTTGAGAATTGAAAAATGCAATTGTTCTATTAGCTCAGTACAATTTTGTTGTACATTTCAGTCATAGTTCACATTGTGAACATAAACAGTAATGTCATTATATCATCTATATTACTAAGATATATCGACTTGTGGAGATTTTTATTTATCCACACAGTTGCAAACTACGTTCCTTTATTGGTCTAAATACGGTAAAACGGTGTTTCCATTTCATTAATTTATCATTTCTCCAATCATCGTAACTCTTTCGAACATTGTCTGTTCGTTAAATTCTTGTGGGAAATGTTTTTCTGAAAATGAGAAATGTTCTCTTTGCTCACTTTACGAACTTTCAACACTTTAAATTGATGTCTAAACAAGAATTTAAGTACAAAAATCAGTTAGTTTTTTCACTGTATTTATAATTTGGAACTATGAAACTCTCTCAAGATGAATCATTCGTTTATCATTAATACATATTTATGGTCACGAAATACAAAGATGTTGAAACGTGATTTACGTTTTATTAAACATTAAATATATTTTACGTATGTAAAGCACCATTCTTTATGGAAAGTATTTTATATAAAGATGATTCAAACAAAGATCTTTTTATTACCTCTCAGGGCGGGGACACTGGGTCGAGCCTCGCCTTGATGAAGAAGCGCTACTGTTAGTACTACATGTATCGTCTGATGAAGATGGTCTTCTGAAAATGGAATGGTCATAAAACTCGTGTTTTGTAGAAAATAATCGAAACTTTTATATCATTACTGTAGATGAACAATCCAAACAGAGTGAAACGGTTTTATGTATTGTTAGTTTAGGTATTCATCTAAAAATTCTCACCTTTTATCTCTAGTGATAACCAGCTGTTTCTGCAAGAAAAAGCAAATAATTTAAGAAAGGACATCACACATGTCGTAAGTTTTACTCAACTTATGTAAACATTTTTTGTTTTGCTTTATTTACTTATGTTTTTTAATTAGAAGAGATTATATGGGCGCATGTTATGCAAACGAGCTAAATATTGCAGTGACGTTACAAGAATTGCGCGATAACACTTTGAGTTCATTGATATAATGAACATCAAACAACAAAATGCAAATATCACGCAGCGTGTTGAAAGTTTTGGACATCTCACTCTGTTTTTCTACGCACTATATTGATTTTAACAAATTTTTACAATTTCCTATTGTGTATTTTCGTTGATTATCGGAGAGCAAAATCAAATTTCGAAATAATGCTGTCACCTATTGCCAATTTATATAATCATTTGTCCTGTATTTCCTTGACTGACATTATGTTGCCGTGCAACAAGCAATGAAACTATGTCAGGAATATTAGCATTTACAATTTCAATTGCAGATTAGCTTTAATTTTATTATTGTTTCTGTTTCTCTACCAAACACAAACATTTTGCTGTTTGTTTTATGAATATATTATGTGGCAAGCTTCTGGCAATTTTGATAGGCAAGAAAGCGCACAGGAAGTCGAACGAATTATTTTCACATGGTTTTATTTTAATAAGCTTTTGGCAATATAGATTTCAAAAATTGATTGACGCAATTGTAATCATACGATCGATTGGTAGTGGACATATGATGTTAATTTACTGTTGTATGAAAATGTACGAAACTCATAACTTCCGTAGCAAACTGATTTGCTCTGAAATAAAAATATTTTTGTATTGAATGAAAATATTTTTTCATGTGATTGTATTACATGAGAATTTGCTCACTTTGTTATAAAAGTTTTATTATTTGCATCTGTCTGGGTTATTCACATCATAATTTTTACTCATACATGGTGCAGATTTCGTTAAAGAAGTTAAAACTTAAACAAATTGTTCCATAGGATGTTTCACTTTACATTTGATCATAGAAACGTCGTTTCAGAAGTTAAGGTAAATTTGCAGTGACTAAAATGCATTTTCTTGCATGTTCTAGAACACTTAAAACTTAGACTGATGGAGGAAAAGCAATATTTTAACGATTATGATTTAAAGATTACCGACAGATTGAATGAAAGATGTTGCACATTTTTTAATCGGCTATAATAACAGATTCACACCATAAAGCATTGAATCACTTTTGATATTTCCGATGACCGACAAGATTTATCAGCATGAAAAATGTCGAGAATTGCTTAAAATTGATGTTGAAGGAAGGTGCTGAATTTGTGCGCAAAACCATGTCATTCTTTTATTAACTTCATTTCTGTAAATTATATTCAGACACTTAACTGCAACATACATTATCATTTCAAGATGTAAAGATTAGCTATATAATCTGTTCCCAGCAATATAAATACTCTTGCTGTTGACATACCTTTCTAGACGTTGTATCGCCAACTAAAACGTACTCTTCTTCACTTTCCAATTCATCACGGTCATCACTCTTATCACAGTTTAATTCAGATATATTTAAATCCTCAACATGGTCTTCGTTAAAAATGATACTTGATGGTGATTTTGGTATGCAGTCGTTTCTTGTTTCATGTACATGGTATCTTGAAGTTCATTAAACTTCTCTGGTTTCATTTCATTTTTCTGTGCATTCGTTGTATTATTTGAAAAGGCTTTCTTTAATTTTACTTTATCGTGTATGGGTCCCCTCGAGGTCTCGCTCTTTTTGCATTCATACTTTTCTTTTTCTGTTGATGTGAGGAGACATGAAGTAAGATTGACGCGTGTAAAATGGGGACATTGTTGGGATACTTTTTTGAAAACTTTCTTATCATATATCTTATTGGAAGAATTAATGCGTGAAGATTTTCCATTGCCAACATATCTACAAAAAGTTAACCTATAACAGGCGATGAAATTTATAAGATATGTTCTATTGTCTTACCATTAAATTTCATTCCTTTCTTTGTACGCTCGTCTTTGTGGTTCGCTTTATTTCTATGTCTTGTTAACTTAATGTGAGAATATCTGTACGATTGCTTTAGTTTTTCCTCGGCAAGAAACAATTTATCATCTGCTATTTTACATTGTTTTTCCAGTTCGTCATTCTTCTTGTAGCTAAAATCTAGTTTCTCTTGAAGTTCCACAATCTTCATTTGCAAAACATATGATGATTTTTGATCTTGTCGTTGCAGGTTTTCAGACTGTGATAAGCTTTCTTGCAGGCTTTTTTTTTCTCTTTCCAAGATACTCAACCTGGTTAAAGTTGAGTAAGTTTTGGTTATCGTAAAAATTATATGATATAGTTATTACAGTAAGCAGTTTCAACAACGTGTAGGAATGTCCCTTCGTATTAGCTCATAATACACTTTAATTTTCCAATTTTATTTCAAATCAAAATTTTTGTTTTAATTGCGATAGCAAGTTTTCATCAGTTTCAGTATCTTACCTTGTTTGGTGTAATTGAAGATCTTGCTTTAATTCTATGACCTGTCGACACATTTTCGAATTAAATTCATTGTCATTATTTTGCTTGGCTTCAAAATCCTGTTTCTGTTTTGTTACTCGCAACTTAACCTTACTAATGTCGCGTAATTTGCTATCTTTCATTTTCAACGATTTTTTCAGTTCTTCTATTTCTTTTTCATATTGTTGTTTTAACCATTGAACTTCTTCATCGCTTTTACACAGTTTCATTTCTAGGTCAGTCGTTTGAGCTCGTAAAATATCGATGCACTCTTTATCATTCTTTCGCAAATCTTCAAGTAGTCGCATTTTTTCCTCTGACGTCTTGTTCTCCTCTTCCTGTTTCTCGATTTGACGGATACAATTTTCCAGAGTTTTTCTAAGGTAAAATTTTGTCATATCTTGTGGCTGCTGATCGTGTTTCATTTGTTTATTTTTGCACTCTAAACGATCAACAGCCAGTTCTAATGCCTTTATCTTTTCGTCTTTGCTGTCAATAATAGATTGCATCGGTCCGTTTATTAGTGAAAGCATTACTTTATTTTCCCCAATCTTTGCGTTGGTTTCTCTTGAGTTTTGTGGCAGTGCTGTTAACATACTCTGTGTACTTGCTATGCTCTTATAGTGCTCAAACGATTTAAGACAAGAATGATTTAAATGCAAAGAATTATGTACATTAGAACTAGGCAAACATTCTTTATACATATCATTGTCTTCACAATTCAAGTAGTTAATGTTACCGCAAGACGTTGAACGGGTCAGAAACTTTTCACCATTTTTTTTTAAATCAGCTGAACTCTTTCCTGATGGTTTCCCTATAAAACGCGATGTTCCCTTTGGATGACACAAACTATTTGTATATTTTATACAAAAGCCTTGCCCATTTTTCTGAGTCGCATTTGAAAGTAATTTGGACATGTTTTCTTTCGAATATTCTGTCGTGTTGTTTAACACTTGTGATGAATGAGATAGATTGACCTCGTACTTCATCTTTGAACTATTCAATGTATTGAATACATCACTGTCGCTTGTTTTGCTTATTGATTTAACGCAATATATCTTGGACGATGTATCTGCCTTCGATTGCAGACAACTGATGTCTGGATACTTTCCTACTTTGAGCGATGGTGTTGGAATTTGTTCCATAGGTCAGATTTTCTTGTCAAATCTTTATCCTTTCGCAAAATATGGTCTCTACGAAATTACCAAACCCAGTTCAGGAAGTGCATACCGCAGTAATTAATCAAACTATTTGAAAATAAAAATTACCATATGTTGCGCATCGTGTGTACAATGCGCTGTTTCACAAGATGGTGAGTCGTTAGTCGTTAGTGATTCACGATAATAAATACTTTGTTTGGTTTGGTAATTGTATTAGCGTTAGATGATCACGTTATCTTCCTTCTACGTTCTTATTGGTTCAATTGACAAACGTAATTATTAAAAAGACAAAAGTTTGATATTTGATAAGCTTAGACATTAAGCTCTTTCCCGATGGAGGTTAAGAATGCGTTCTTTTTTATTTAGACAGTGTGTTGATGTTATTAATATACACCCAAATCACCATACGATTTGAACGCACCCTTAACCCGCCTTACCAACAATCCTATGTTTCTTTCCTTGCTCATGCGCTCCTTGTATTTCCGAAGTGTGTATTCAGCTATCGAGAGATGCAACATCAATAGATTTTTAATTGATTTTAGTAAATCGGCTTTTGAGATGTGTCACTTAAGTATTTTACTTTCACTGTATGAGCTTCTCTGTAGGTTGTCGTTAACATATCATCACTCATTTTTTACAACATATTTCTTGCCTTTTACACTTTACTGTGACGAATGATGATATGGGATTTTGAACAATCCAGACTGTGGATCTATGTTCATTTATTATATCGTTAATCACAAACATACGAACACAACTCTCACATCACAGAACATAATTATTCTTTACTTTACAAGTTCCAATAATCATCGTTACTAGGTTCTTTTCCTCAAAATTTTTACCGTCCAGTAATTAATTCCAAAATGAACGTAATTTGACGACTTAATAAGTATATTTCAATTGTCAGTGATGACTTACTAAAGGATTGCCATGTACAAGAAATAGATGTTAGGAAGTTTTAATATAGTATACTTTCTTTTGCTTGCCGTAATGTTTCATTTTACAGTCCAAATTTAAGCCGTCAGCTGTAAATTTTCAAGAAGATTTTCAACATTTGATAATGTAGAATTGTTCTCTTCATTTGCTGCCTGGATATAAAAACAAATAAATTATTTCAAGGTCGACTTTATTGAACAAAATTTATAGAAATAATTGTACATATTTTGATGTACGGGTATCAGGACACTCGTTAAATCAACTGTCGTCGTAATCAATGCCATTTATACCTGATATTTTTCCATAATTTTACTTGCAGCCCAATTTGCATACATAACATTTTCTTTCTTGGTTTTACTCTTAGGTATGTTGGCCAAATTTGATGCAGCCTTGTGAAAAATTATATAATAGCATCTTACCCTGTTAACATATATTTTAGGTTACATTTTGTCTTTTGTTCTTTCAATGAAGAAAGGCATCTTTTTGTACATTCTCCAATTTAACAAATAATTCATTATTGCCTAACCACAAGTAGTAGTAATCCATTATTTTATTTATACTTACCATAAAGAAACCGATAATGCTCTCATATTATTATTATCCAATCTTAAGGCCTGAGCAAAATTACTCCTTGCTTTTTCTAAGTTCTCAATGCCACCCATGGAATATAGGATCTGTATTGATGTGAAACATGCTTAGTAATTTTGCCAACTTTCATTAATCAAAAAAAAAACTACCTCAGCATATTTTTGATAGTAGAGATGATTATGAGGATTTGAAATGACTAACTCTTCCATACAATATGCTGCCTTTGGAAATCTAAAATTTTATCATTGCGTATTAATAGCTGTTCATGTTGTTTTATTCAGCATATTTATTGTTCAACTAAAAATAAAATAACATACTCTTGTTGCATGATGTATAAATCTGTAAGCTCTCCCCAGGCCTCATGATCACTCATAAATCTCAGAATATAAAAGAACAGAATATACAATATAAAGTTGATAATTATATCTTCAAAAACACAAATTTACTTTTTCAGATAATCTGTGAGTGATTTCACTGCTTCTGGTATCTTATTTTGTCCAATCAGTAGACTTATCTTTCGTTTGTATGCAATCTGAAAATTTGATGAAAGAAATATTATGATACCCATTTTATATTTTATTATTATCGCAACTTAACATAACCTACAGAATTAGCAGGATCATTTTTTATCATATCATTGTATATTTCAGTTGCTTTATCAAACCTGTAAAAATTTTGCAAACTCCATCATCCATCAAATAACATACATAATATTAATTCAATTATTACACTAACACAAATGAATGTTATACGAACTGGTTCATTGCCTCGTGCTTCATTGCAATCAATCGTTTCACCCTTAAACTTCCAGGAAATTGTGCGTTAAGAGCTTTCAAGCACATCTGGTAAAAAATAAATTTAACAAGTTGCCAATACAACTCGATAATTGAAATTAATTCTCGTGTCTTTTACTTACACTGGCGGTATCTGTTTTTCCTAGATCCAAGGCTGCAATTAAAACTTGCTCATATACACTCCACACTATGAACAACCGACAAAAATAACCAGGTTATTAACAGCTTTCACTATACCAGCATCATCCATGTAATTAAGGGGTCAGTTTTTAATCATTTTTTCGTTTAAATACCTACACTCATCACCCAGTTTATTGCTATGCTCAACAATAAGCGATTCCCCAAGTTCGATGACCTCTTCGCTGTTTCTTAGCGGCTCCTCCCGCCATTCTTTCATTTTAATTCTTGCTACTTCTAAATCAAGCACTTCGTCCGCCATTTTTTATTTTACTTCATTCCATCCTTCAAACGTTGATGGTATCGATCACATGGTATCGATATGGTGACGAAAGACATGGTTCTTAGATGGAAATTATTTGGGAATTTTCGTTACCTTATCGTTTGCTATCAAAAGAAGCGTATTCAATTCCAGAAGTAAATTTATTTAGAAGCAAAGATTATAACGCTTAGTAGAGAACTAATGAGCAATTTATGAACTTAACAAGTTGACGACCGACTTGCGATAACTTCCGAGGAGTTTGTTATTTGTCACACGTGTAACCTTAGTCTGCTTGGGAAGATGGACACTGGGAAGGTTGTATCGTTTCAGCCTGTTGCTTTCCACCAATTATGTCAAATTATGATGGGAAAAAATTATAAAAATAGACTAGAAGTCACATCTATCGTCAATGAAAAATGTCATCTCGAAGAACTATCAAAACCAAAAGAAAACAGATCTTACAGTCAGGTGAAGAGAAACCAAGATTTAGAAAGTGTGTAAAGACTGGATGTCCAGCTGATAAACCAGAATGTTTTGCAAATGGAGTGGAAAGGTGTAATAAAGGAAATTTTTTTTAAAATGTTACAAAATTTTATAACAATTGATATAAATCTTTTCCTACAGCTGTTGTGGTAAAGGTTATACATCCAGATGGTATCATTTATCTGATGGGGAACATTTCTGTAATGAATGTTTTGACCATTACTACAGAAGGTATTTAAATGCTGAATTTTTTTACTGTCAAATTTGCATGTTTGATTGCCAAAATAACAAATTACACAGATATTATAAGGTATGTACAATTGTTTTTTGAGAACAGTCATATCATTTCCCACACTTCATCGCCATTCTCTTTTGAGTGAATTTTAAAATTATATGAGTAGTTTTTGCAATTCACTTCTCGAACTCATTTTGTGTTATTAAGTCATAAAGATGGTTTTCAAGCTTACGACCAATGGAAAAAACATTGGAATGGTACGAGTCAGCAACAAGGTAATTTAAAGATGTTTATGGCTGAACGGATTCTACCTTATTGGGTTAAATGTTGTGACTGTGGAAAATGGCGTCAATATCCAATAACTGAAGGGGATTTAACCACTGATGTTGTTGAATCATGGACTTGTAGGAGTTATAAAAAACTTAAAAAGGTGATGAGCAAAACTGTTAATTTCCATTTCCTATATTGCAGTAGAATGTACTGGTATACAAAAAATTTATTATAGAAAAGCAATGAAGACAATATTGAAAGCAACTTATGCAACAGTGAAGAAGATGAGGTTTTCTGCAAATAAAATGAAGTTAATTATTATCAAACCATTGATATCATATAAAGATCTTGTAATTTGTATTTTATTTAGCGATGCATGCCATTGCACTACAGGACACTGGTTTGCAGGTCTTTCATACAGACCTCTTTTAAAGTTTAGTCCTACTGCCGTTGCTTTCTTCGTTTTTCTTGATGGTCTTGGATTAAGTCCAACTGACAACAACTGGGATGATAAAAGTGTTAAAGAAAAACTTGCTCAAGGTATGGTTTAGTCATTAGTTAGACTTGATAGTATAACATATTTGATTTATGGTATTATTGGCATATATTAATGGACAATGCTATAACATAGTACATGACACAACATAGTGTATAACAGTCAATTGTGCAACTAAAGTCAATGGTATAATCAATGGTGTATCATAATAAATAGTGTAACACAGCCATTAGTCAATGGTTTAACATAGTCATCACTACATGCCATAGTCCATGATATAAGGTAAATGTGATCTTTAGCAATTGCAATGTTAGAATTTGACGTCAATATGATGATTTTCAGCTGAAATAAGACCATTTTCTCAATCTGAGATGGATGGCTGTTATGCATTCTGTTTTCAACCGGACGTTATGGAGGAGAATGAATTGCAATATTTTTCCGAGTTTGCTAGGTATTTATACCTACATGTGCATTATTATCAAAAATATTATTTTCTCTTACCATTACAAGAGTATTTGTTTGTTTCAGAACACCTGGCATATATTTAGCAATGCGAAATCTTATTTTGACATTATGGTGTTTAAACTACAAGGTAATTTATTGTAAATGTTACTGCTATACTTTCATGCATCAGTAACTTTGAATACATTTGTATTTATAGGAAATCTTCATGTTATTATTGTACAGATTTTTACAGATTGTAATTATTTACACAACTTTTTACAGCAAATTCTAACGCTTGATAAATGTGTAAGTCATTTGATCATCCGTGGCTTGGTTCGTATCTCGTTAATTCAACATATGGAGAGAATTCTTAATTATCTAACTGTAAAAGGATTCATAAACTATGGAATACTTGAAAGTACTTCTCAAATTCAGTTTCCAATCACCTCTAAACCATTTTCCGTATGTAAACGTTATTATTTATTTAGCTGTACTATCTATTTTCCTGTTCAGAGATCATTTAAAGTGCAATTGTTTTACGTTTCTTACAAAATATCGTCATGTTTTTAGAGTTATCATGTCATTGTTATCGGTGCCGGAACGTCAGGGCTAGGTGCAGCGAAACAGTTGCATAATTTTGGAGTTAAGGTACACGATAAATTTGTCATTCATTTGTACGTGTAAATTGCGCAATGCTGAAAAATAATTTATTGTTGTATTTGTAACAAGTAGGTTACGATCTTGGAGGCTCAAGGTCGCATTGGTGGTCGTGTTCAAGATGAGAATATTGGAAATGTCATTGTTGGTAAAGGTGCACAGATAATGAATGGTTGTATCAATAATCCAATGGCAATAATTGCTAAACAAGTTTGTATACATTACGTTGTTTCATTTTGCCTTTTAAGGTTATCAACCAAAGAAAAAATGTTTTTTTATTGTTTCAGTGTGGACATGTTATGAAATGTCTTGGGGATAAATGCGATCTCATTGAAGAAAATGGAGACGCGATCAATGAGGAATTTGACAGTAAAGGAGATTTTCATTTCAATGCTTTACTTGATGCTGTTGCTGATTGGCGGAAACAAAATGAATGTGATTGTTCATTGGATGGTAAGCTTTCACGCTGGATCTTGTGCGAATTAAACTTACGCAGCTTTTGATAAATTCTGCATATTCTTTTCTAACAGAAAAACTTTCTGAAATTCACAAAGAGTTCTTGGATCAAACAGCAACGGACTTTCCACCGGTAAATTCACATGCAATAAATGCTAAATGAGAAATTATTGTCGAAATTGTGTCTCTGTTAGGAATCGGAGAGACTGTTGAACTTCCATTTTGGGAATCTTGAGTACGCATGTGCAGCACCGTTGGATAAAGTATCTGCATTGTGCTGGGATCAAAACGAGACCTTTCCACAGTTCCAAGGCAACCATACTATTCTGACTCATGGATATGAGAGCATTCTGCAACGTCTTGCAAAAGGTCTTGATATACATATGAACACTGAGGTACACGAACATCTCTTTGATATACATATGAACACTGAGGTACACGAACATCTCTTTGACATACATATGAACACTGAGGTACACGAAAGTCTCTTTGATACACATATGAACACTGAGGTACACGAACGTCTCTTTGATGTACATATGAACACTGAGGTACACGAACATCTCTTTGACATACATATGAACACTGAGGTACGCGAACATCTCTTTGACATACATATGAACACTGAGGTACACAAACATCCATTTAAAATGTGTGCTACAACGCAGATCAGTTATTGAGTTATTGTACTTTATCACAATAGTCTCAATTTATATTTTGTGTTTAGGTCATTTCAATCGATTATTCTACTGAAGCTATTTCAGTGAGAACTAAAGATGGACGTATATTTATCGCCGATAAGGTGACAATTTAATTTTCATAAAGCATACTTGGTGAATTTTTGAAATGTTGGCACTTTAGAAAAATAAGAAATGCGATTGATCTTTAAATGAAGTTATAATTCTCCAGGTTATTGTCACTGTTCCATTGAGTTTGTTGAAGTCTGAAACTATCGCATTTACTCCAAAATTACCAGAAGAAAAGATTAAATCCATTAAGAGACTTGGTGCGGGTCTCGTTGAAAAGGTTTGTAATAAGTTTTATGTTTGCTTTTTATTACATTCAAAAGCAACCATTTCTTGTTGTCTCTTTTTTTAGGTAATATTGTCCTTCCCAAGATGCTTTTGGTGGAAATTGTGTGAGAAAACTGAATCATTTGGACATATACCTTCTTCTAAAGAAAACAGGGGATTTTGTGGTATTTTTTATGACTTGTCCTCAAAGGTGCTTTAATTTATTTCACGACGTTTATAGATTAGATTATTCACGACTAGCATGCAATCAATCACAGTCTTATTTAGCATTGGACAAATAAATGGACATTTGCTAATGGGAAACAAAAACTTTCAATTTTTGTGATTAAAACATCACCCGTTGGAGACTTTTATTTCTTTTAAAAACTGAAACAAGAAAGTTGAAAGTAACAAAACATTACGTACTATAAAAATTGTCGTGAATTGATGTTGTTGTTTTTAATGTAAAATAGACCACCTATGGTAAAAAGAAGAAAGGAAATATTTATGTTCTAATGACGGTTCTTGCTGGAAATTCAGCTGTTGAAGCTCAAGAAATGGAAGATAAAGAAATTGTCGAGCGATGTTTGAAAATCCTTCGATCTATGTTTCCAGATGAAGTACGACAGTAGAAGTTATAGAAAGAAGTTGTAAAATTTAAATGATTAAGTTAAAATATTTTTAGACTGTTCCACAACCTTATGAAAGCATTGTTACACATTGGGGAAAGGAGAAGTTTTCAAAAATGGCATATTCGTATATCGCTACTGGTGCTAGCGGTGAGGACTACACTAAAATGAGTGAAGATGTTGAAAAAAGATTGTATTTTGCTGGAGAGGTTAGCATTTTGTCTTCGTTATTAAAATACTTGCGACCTTTACGATATTTTGTAGACCAGTAAAACGTAGATATTTCTATACTTGTTGGGGATGTTGTGAGACACTGCTGGGTATTTCTATACTTGTTGAGGTATATTGTGAGACACTGCTGGGTATTTCTATACTTGTTGAGGGATGTTGTGAGACACTGCTGGGTATTTCTATACTTGTTGAGGGATATTGTGAGACACTGCTGGGTATTTCTATACTTGTTGAGGGATGTTGTGAGACACTGCTGGGTATTTCTATACTTGTTGAGGGATATTGTGAGACACTGCTGGGTATTTCTATACTTGTTGAGGGATGTTGTGAGACACTGCTGGGTATTTCTATACTTGTTGAGGGATGTTGTGAGACGCTGCTGGGTATTTCTGTACTTGTTGAGGGATATTGTGAGACACTGCTGGGTATTTCTATACTTTTGAGGGATATTGTGAGACACTGCTGGGTATTTCTATACTTGTTGAGGGATGTTGTGAGACACTGCTGGGTATTTTTATACTTGTTGGGGATGTTGTGAGACACTGCTGGGTATTTCTATACTTGTTGAGGTATATTGTGAGACACTGCTGGGTATTTCTATACTTGTTGAGGTATATTGTGAGACACTGCTGGGTATTTCTATACTTGTTGAGGGATATTGTGAGACACTGCTGGGTATTTCTATACTTGTTGAGGTATATTGTGAGACACTGCTGGGTATTTCTATACTTGTTGAGGGATATTGTGAGACACTGCTGGGTATTTCTATACTTGTTGAGGTATATTGTGAGACACTGCTGGGTATTTCTATACTTGTTGAGGTATATTGTGAGACACTGCTGGGTATTTCTATACGTGTTGAGGTATATTGTGAGACACAGCTGGGTGTTTCTATACTTGTTGAGGGATATTGTGAGACACTGCTGGGTATTTCTATATTTGTTGAGGGATGTTGTGAGACACTGCTGGGTATTTTTATACTTGTTGGGGATGTTGTGAGACACTGCTGGGTATTTCTATACTTGTTGAGGGATATTGTGAGACACTGCTGGGTATTTCTATATTTGTTGAGGGATGTTGTGAGACACTGCTGGGTATTTTTATACTTGTCGAGGGATGTTGTGAGACACTGCTGGGTATTTCTATACTTGTTGGGGATGTTGTGAGACACTGCTGGGTATTTTTATACTTGTCGAGGGATGTTGTGAGACACTGCTGGGTATTTCTATACTTGTCGAGGGATGTTGTGAGACACTGCTGGGTATTTTATACTTGTTGGGGATGTTGTGAGACACTGCTGGGTATTTCTATACTTGTCGAGGGATATTGTGAGACACTGCTGGGTATTTCTATACTTGTCGAGGGATATTGTGAGACACTGCTGGGTATTTCTATACTTGTTGAGGGATATTGTGAGACACTTCTGGGTGTATTTCTATACTTGTCGAGGGATATTGTGAGACACTGCTGGGTATTTCTATACTTGAATTCATTGGGATGTACTTTGGATATTTCTATGTCAAAGTCGTTAATTATTTTGTGTATTTTAAAGGCCACCAACAGAGACTTTCCTCAAACTGTAACTGGAGCGTATCTGAGTGGTCTTAGAGAAGCGTATAAAGTCCATAATGATTTAATAAACGAAGTAAGAAAATGATTTTCAAACAGAATAGTATTATATAATATTTATTAAATTTGGTCCTTGTACATTTGTGATTTGTTACTGTAAATTTTGTTGAAACAATCCAGATAATGCGTGGACATGCTATGCTTTTCATTTTTCCAATTACTTTTTTATAACAAAGTTCTATATTCGAAAGCTGTTATTACACAAACGCTGATTAATACTGAGTCAATGTACAATTTAATTCCTTGTTTTATGCATCCTAAAATTTACTGAAACTATGGTTCTTGTCTGGGACAAAATATATTATATTTTTCAATAATGCATACATATATTTATTTCAATACATATTTTTACATTCGATGAAACATCGATTTACGAAGTCATATTAAACATGTATTTATGTTACATAAGGATGATTCCAATTAAACAGTTTCTCGTCATTTTTCATTCTTTACTTGAGCCCAAACTATGAGCCAATTCTTCCACTAAAATTCAAAAGATCCATTATTTTAAAATCACAACGATAAAAAATGGAAAATAAAGGTTTGTAAACACTCACATTGTGGATAAGAGCCTCGTTTTGTTTTTTTCTTTAGAAAATTAAGAAAGAATATTCGCCATTTTTGAAGATCCTCTCTTATAACATTTAATGTTGTTTCTCTAGAGTTTAAATAAACATGTCAGAAATATATGGTTTAACTTTCGTGACAAACAACTAAAATTTCAGACATCCATAACACTAACCTAGTCTCGTTGATATCTGTGTTCCAAAGTTTACTAAATTTTACAGCAAGTTTTAGAATTTTAGAGACGCCAACTTTAATAACTTCTGTCTTCACAAGAATAAATGAAAACAAAGACAGATTATAAAGAAAGAAGGCAATGGTACCAACCAGTAACTTTGTTTAACATAATATATGAAAAGATGAGTTTACCTTCCTTGTCATTAGACATCTTTCAAGAACTTTGTTTAGATAGTCTCTGTGTGCTTTGATGATTTCATCTAAATCTACAGCCTGATAAAACGAAGTGTGATTAATAAGAAGATCATCTTTCTATTTAAGGTACAGTACTGTAGATCATTAGTATTAATGATATTCATAGTAAATAAATTTCTACGGACTTTCATTTCTTGCCTTCCATGCTGCAGTTATATACTGCAAAGCGCTGCGAGGCAGGATCCTTTACATCTAATGGTTTATATTAGTTACATCAGTGTTAAAGAGACTTCTTTTGCAAGACAAAACACATTGGAACATATTATGAGAACAATTCCTTAAATTAAATGCCAATTGAAATGAATGATTTACGAGAGTTTGTCGTTCTTGTAAAGAAAACTCAAATTATATGTTTGATGGAGTGCTTTATCTTTTGAGTTGGAACAAAGACCAGTGATATATAACTGTTTAGTTTGACACAGAAAGAAAAGAAAAACACTACCAGAAAGATGATGACACAGACAAAAAACACATGGAAAGTGTGAATTTCAATCATCAGGAAAATCAACTTTCACCATAAGGTAAGAAATGTCAAACCCGTCATAGATAGCAAATTATTCGTCCAGGCGCGTTTTTTAAAAGCTTAAAACGTGATGCTTTATAAAGATCTTTGTTTGTGAGACTTATTCATTCATACTTCATAAATATGTTTTAAATGTCTGCGGTGGAAAGTTTTTAAAAGTTTACAAAATATCAATGTGTTTGACTGCGGCAGCAATATTATAGATGATGTACAACTCTCTCGTCACATTAAAAGAAATTCGTATTTGCATCGTTAAGAAATACAAACGCGTTTATGGTTTGCGATTCTTTCCTTGCTTAATGCGGCATTTCGAAGTAACAGCAGTTCTCGTGTGGGCATAGTTTAGGAGTGAATAGATAAAAAATAGCTCTAGCACTTATTCCTTTGTAAAATTGTGCAAGGAAGATAGAGCGTTCGGGCTTTAATAGATAGAGAGCCTTACAGAAATTAGAGTACTATTAATTTTTACGTACCTTATTAAATGTATCTTCAAATTCAAGTTTACTGTGAAGTATCTGTGATAAAAGAAGAGTAATTTCATATGACAAATACGTTCACTATATGTTCTCATAATTCATTTCAAACTTACTCTAGTCATCATATATTGATGAAGAATATTGACAAATTGCATTAAATCAAAGCGAACAATATGCAGTTGATGTTGAAGTGTTTTGTCCATTTTCAATCCTTTTGTACTTTCGTTTACTAATTCGAATTGAGCATCCAAAATAGTACTTTCACTTTCCAAATCTAAACGAAAAGATTCATCCCTACTTGAACGTGGATAAATTATTTGTGTGCTTTGCATTTTTGACCTTTAAATCTGAGTTCATCCAAGCTCCATTTGGCTTGCTTAACAAGTAATAAAAACAAGAATACTTCATTGTAAATTTTCTGAGAAGCAGCATCAACTATTAGATTCACAGGCCATGGTGCCTTTAAAATTAACGAAAGATAAACATGTTAATATCAGAGGAATTTAAGGTTATATGTCATGTCGTTTATCAGATATGTTTCACCTTATAGTTTAATTCCAAGCCTTGTAGTGATTCTGCTGTTATTTTCTCTGGTCTGTTGTAACCAACAGTGAAACTAAACAAACGTGTATGTAAGGGAAACATATAAATTATTGAGAAATATATCTTTCAACAATACGATACAAAATGTCAAAACAACTTAAGTTATTTCATCTTTACGTCATTGACTCATATTTATTTACACAAACCAAAGTGAATGGTTTGAGCCCGGTGAGTATCGTTACATGTTTGTAGAGGTAGATCGTCCAGGTTAGTAGAGTCCTGAGAGAGACTGTTTTTGTTGTTGTTGACTGACGTTTCGAAAACCTTAGCGGCAATCATCTTCACTTGATTCTGCAGATGACTACCGCTAAAGTTCGAAACGTCAGTCAACATCGACACCAACATTCCTTCTCAGGACTCTACTAACCTGACGACGATCTACTCAAACCTTTGTTGGATTGACCGTCTAATGATATTCCATCAAAGTTCTATAAATTACCAATTCTCTCTTCAATAAACAAGTCTGATTACCTTTCTCGTTGGTCAGAATACCATGGTGTAATAGATTCATGAAACAAAGTGTTTAAATAAGACATATCTTGCCATCGACCATGACGACGACACTGAAGGATAAAAATAAAATCCATTTTGAGGATGTATGTGTATACATTGAATTATCATTTTAGACAAAGCCGAGTTGTTATTTCATTGGCATTAAACGATTTCTTAATACTTTTCGTTCAATTCTTGTTAAAAACTAAGAAAACCTCGAAGTTAGTTGAATGTAGTGTGATCGATGTACGTATTAATGGTGATGAATTCTTGTTAAATACGTTCATAAAATGATAGAAACTTATATTACAGAGAACTACCTTTTTGAAAATTTCAGTATAGAAATGATGCATAACATCGCCAGCCTCAAGGAAGAAAAAATCCTGAACAAAAATAACGATAAAAAATCAACTAAGAAAGAAAAAAATTAAACTAAAGTAATTTGAATTAATAAAGTTTTTTTCTCACTCTTAATGAAGCAAGATGATCTGCCAAGACATACTCCGTTTTTAAAAGTTGAATTAATGAGTTACAACTCTGAAATGCGCAAGATTACAAATTTTATCGAAGGTACACTTGAAAAGGAAAAGTGAAAATGTAAAAAGACCTTTTCATATTTTACTTGAATATGTGGATACAAACAGATTTCAAACATTCGAGCTAAATCTAAAAACGAAATTACTTAATAACACTCTATTTTAATGGATCAAAGACAAACATATACGTTACAACAAATAATCAAAATAGCCATCGTTCATTTGACTGCAACATTGCAAGTAAAGAACCGCTTCTCTTTAACCAAATGAACATTTCAAATTGATAAGGATATAATGAAATAACTTCTACGTAAAATAAACAAATCATTCGCTTACTTGAGGTATCCGTGAGCTTATCAACAGAATCTCGAAACATCTTTTTTAAACTTTCTTCTGTGAGAAAAATGTTTGACAAATTTTGAAAGGAATGAATCATTTTTACAGGAAAACTTTTACAAAAAATAATTTACCTTGCAACATTTGCTCGGCTTTCTTTGAAAGCTGAATGATGAGAAATAAGTCTTTTTCATTCATTCTTACGTAAATATAAGAAATCGACAACAACACACAAAAACCTCGTTCAGCGTCTCCAGCAAAATAACTGATTTTCCCGCCAAAATAATCTACGTGGAAACAGCAAAAAACAAACTTTTATTGGTTGAAAAAAAATACTTTAGGTTGGAAAGTATCGTCAACTTCATTGACAACTGTTTTATTAAACTTTAACAAGAAAAGCTACCTCTTTCAGAACTATTTTCAAAAATGTTGGGCAAGAAGCATCTCCTGTAGGTCAAAGTACAATACGGTTATAAACATAAATAGAAAATATGGTCACAAACAAACCATTATCAGAAAATGTTACAGTCATACACCCATAAAAACCAGAGATTTGACTAGTCTTTAATCCCTGGGTAAGCTAGGTAGCTAGGTAGCTTTACTGGTAGAGAAGCGAACTAAAACCCCGAAGATTGGAGTATAAATTTCGTCAAAGGAACATGTTTTGCATGTGTGTTTGATTTTCTGATCATAAACACGTGAAAAAAAATACGATTAACAAAGATGCATAAAAACAAATCATGGTTACCTTTGATTTTTAAAACGGACGTCCATAACTCAGACTTTTCGATATCAGTTACTCTTAGTTATAAGAAACAAAACAAAAAAAATAAAGTTAAGGATGGTGATTGAGTTATTTGTAGGTATATCAAAGATAATATCTTCCAAGCACAAACTTTTGAATGCAAAATTCGTCAGTATGATCAATAAGCTTTCCTTCTGTAAGACAACGATCAATGAAATCCATGTAAGGAATTAAAATGTTCAAGAACATTTCCAATAAAACATTCACCTAGAATTTTAATAAAACAATATGTCAAATTTTTACAGTTTGATAATTGATAATCATTCAATCACTTACAACTCGTCGGTCACTTTCTAATTCAGTGACAAGTACGTTGTGATAAAAAACATTTAAGAAACAGGCGACTTTCTATAAACGAAATATAAATATGTCCAAAAAGAGACTGTGAATTTCATATAAACTATTTTACAGCCTTACTTCGTGGTTTGATGTTTTCCTCGCGGTTTTAATTCCTTTTATGTAAATGTTGAAAATAACTCCAATCTACGATGAAATGTGTTTATTTAAAACAATTTTTATATTAGTTTGAAAGGTAAATTAAAATTTCTTATCACCTCTTTCACATAGGGTAAAATGTGATCATTTAGAACTGACAATGTTACTGATTCTTCTGCATTGAAGCAATAAAAAAATTACAAAGTCTTAAGTTGAATATAAATGAATGTAATATTTATATCATGAACCTTTTTTGATGATGGACTCTTCAATTTTGAACAAATGAGCATCAAATTTCTAAAATCAATTTGTAAACTATGTAAAATAATAATTTACCATTAACTCTCTCGTTTTCTTTACCTGAAAATACTCATGCAAAACAAAAGCAAATGCTTGAAATGTCAAAGGTTGTATGTTCTTGTTCATATGATGACACGTCGTCTTTACAAAGTTTCTCAGCTCTCCAATACATGTCGCAAGATCTGCAAGTTCTGTCAGCAATTTCTTTAGGGGAACCTGCTCAAATAAACAAGAAATTCGTAAGATTAAAAAAGCACAGAAAGAAACTATAATTGCATCAATCCATTGCCATGAAGAACAAACAATGGAGAATACAAAAAACGATTCAATACATACCTTAGTAAGATGACACATTACAATATTATCTCGAACTTCATATTTATCATTCTTCATGTTGTAAACATAAAGCTCTTTAACTTTAGACATCATCCTAAACATACATTATCCTAATTCGTTACATCATCTTATACATCACGTCACACTAAACCACACGTCACACTAAACCACACGTCATACTAAACCACACGTCACACTAAACCACACGTCACACTAAACCACACGTCACACTAAACCACACGTCACACTAAACCACACGTCACACTAAACCACACGTCACACTAAACCACACGTCACACTAAACCACACGTCACACTAAACCACACGTCACACTAAACCACACGTCACACTAAACCACACGTCACACTAGACAATATATCATCCCCAGGCCCACGTTATCTTAAACACGTACATTCATATTGATACAAAAATCTAAATAAAAAATATTCTCGAACGTAATTACTGACATGTACTGTACCATAGTGTCTCTCGAACTATCTGTGTTTCGTGGAGTATTTGAAATGGAGGAACGTTAGCTAGGTTATTGTTTTTTTGGCAATCATTCAAATGAGATGACAAATGATTTTTCAACCAATAACTTTCAGTCACCTGACTTTGCATTTCATCCCGCAACTAAAAGTATGTCAAGATTAATCACAGTTTATAATGAAAAATTTTATCTTTGTATTTTTGAAACATTTACTTGATTAACAGTCATGACAGTGGTCAGCTCTGAAAAATAGTTCGTTTGCAGAATATTTTCTTTTTCTAGATCACCATTTATGACTTCTGAATCATTTTCATCTTCTAGGGATTCCTGTTAATATATTGAAGATGAAGATAAGCTATTTCTTTCTAAAACAATGAATGAATGTAAGTTGTAGGAGAGATGTTGGTTACTTGTACCTCTGAGTCTAAATCACTCCAAAATTCCTGGTGAAATAAAATAAAATATAAGCATATAACTATATATAATAATTACTTTTCTCTGGATACACATTACATACCTCTTCATGGGAGTCATAGTAACGATATGGCATATATTTCTCTTCTCCTTCCAAAAGATATTTTGTCCAATTGAAATCATCCTCTACTGAATATTTATTAGATTTTCAACCTGAGGTGGTTTTCATCTTATGATGTAAAATAATGTAGACTACAAAAAATCGCGAACATTTACTAACCAACAACAGAATCATCAACTTTTGATGGATGGTAAACAGCATTAACTGGAGATTCTGAGAGAACTAGTAGGAACTTTATCAAAGAGTAATGAACATCACTCTGAAATACAAGTAAAATTTAAGAATATGATAAAGTCAACCAACCAAAATTCTAAACATAATGTTATCAACCTTTTCACCATATTGCTGGTCAAACAGAGAACATTTCAAAAACTTCTCCACAAGCTTTATAAGGGATCTTGATTTAAATTCCTGGCCGTGAATTGAAAACTTTTCACATAGACTAAAAAAGAATAAATATTTTTCTTAACCAGTTTTGAAAGTTAGTCCTTTTTTGATAAGATCATTGGCATGCATAGTGAAATTCTAAATGATAGGATGCATCAGTGCGGTAATCAAACATCATTACAAGTTCATGTGTAAAATCACAAAAATTTTATAACATATTACTTTTTAAACACTTAAATTATTCTATGGCTGACTACCAGCAAATTTTGCCAGTTTGCAACAGTATTATGAAGAAAAAAATCGACAGCCTACTTAAAGATAATTTTCTAAGTGCCTTTATTTATATGATTGACATATATCATGAAAAAATTTACCCTTGAATAGATTGTTGTATTTTGTTAGAGTCTGCATCTAAAAACTTATGATATCTACAAGAGTAAAGACGTAATGATATTGATGGAATGAAGAAAATACAATCATTACTGGTGAATGTACTTTGTAAACTTTCCCTAGTTTTTACCTGAAGTTTGAAAGGGAGAACTGTAGAGCTAGGGGAACATTTTTTTTTGCAAACTAAATGTAACAAAAATATTGGATGGATATCTTGCTAATGAGCAAATTATTCATCAAGTGCTTTTTAAAGTACCTCGTCGTTTATAAATTGTCGTACTAATTGTTTAGTAAGCTCTTCCACACGTTTATCTTTCAATGCTATCGGAGCCATATTGGATTTCAGCCCGCAGTTCCCGGGGGGGTGGGATGTTGACATTTGAGATCGACGTTTTTTCAACATTTAAATATATGTGAAAAAAGTTCATTTTGAATTAAATATTTGAGAAAACTAGAACTATAAAAGCTGTAATCATAAGAACTGAAAACTATTAGCATAGTGGAATGATAATGCGGGACGGGATTGAAGCTGTGTTCTGCATAAGGAGATCCACTCATAATAGATATGGGCATCCACAAGTGCAAAAACTTTGCGAATGTGAGAAGATTTTTATGAAACCTAAAAGAAATTATCACCGCTTAACCTATGAGTACTTTTCTTACTTGTGATGAAAGTAGAAAGACGTTTTCATGTGTGAACTAGGTTTTTTCAAAGAAAAAGTGACAAAGAAACACAAATATAGCTATCACTCATTTGGGATCTCACTGTTTTCATATTTTAGCAAATCAAAGCTCGACAAAGCCTATCCAATGAAATTGCTTGAAACACCATGGAATAACCAATGAAATCGTTCCAGCAAATAATCTCAGTTTACATCAATGATTCAATAACTTTTCGCCCTGCCAGATGACACAAGACCTGAAAGAGAAAGGTGAGTTCGTAAAATTTTATTAATAATTCAAAAATATTTCAAAAGGAATGAATTCAAGTAGGGAAACATTGCTTGATGTATGCCTTGATATTTGCTGACTAATAAAACTTTTTGTCTGTTTTTTTCAACATGTAATTCACGGCTTCGTTGCATGTTTTTGTGGATGTTTTGCTTTGCTTGAGGATTTTGACGCTACAAAACGAGCATTTCTCTGTTTCTCATTGTATTTTGCAAATTTTACTTTAGCCTGATGCCTATTGTGAGTTTCTCGAAGATTTCGAAGGAAAACTTTGTTAAATATTTTACTTTTAACGCGAATTTGTGAACAGATGTATTTTCAAAAACAACCTCGTGCGACCGACTACGTTTCGCTTTTCAGCGCAAAACAACGAAGAATTTCAGTGAAAACTTACAGGATGGATAAATTTAAGAAAGATAAGGCATGCCTTAGTCCCTGGATTGTTTCTTCCTTTTAAAAACTGTTTTTTTGAGGGTGTAAGCAAAAATATTGAAGATAATCGAGAAATATGGACATGTTAACGGACATTTGCGCGCGCTTTTTTCTTAAGCGTAAAAATTGAAAAGACTGGGCTCCAATAATGCAACACTGAACGCTGACTATCTTCACATCTTCACTTCCATCAAAAGTATTTGAATTGATTGAGTGCAAGCAAAAAAGTGTACGTTTTAGTTTCTAGCACATTGCTAGTCCGTGTTCAAAAAAGGCAAACAAGACCTTCCTTAGATGAATTTTGTTGGAAAGCAAAATTTTCTTTTAGATGCCATGACTATAACATTGACTTTAATACTGAATTTCCCTTCTACATTTTCAAACGTTTAGTTCTGCAACAGTTTCTATCAGTCATTTCAACCATATATCCATATGTACTTTGTAATATTCCAGTTTGCAATAAGATGAACTTTATTGTTATTTGTAGGAAATGAAGCGATATATTTCCACTGGATAATAAACAAATATGAAAAGTGCGTCAGTCAAAGTTCTTTCTCAAAACCGTAATGTTAAACAAACAAGTAAAGAATAATAATGGAACAAAATGGAGCAGAATAATGTCAGACAGTTAAGGTAGAAATCTCAAAAATAACTATAATTTAATTGATTCTGCCAAACTGTTTTTAGTGCAGTTTAGTTTATGTTCTTAGAACAAATAGCCATTTTTGTTTTATCGTTATGCATTACACCAATAAACAGGTGAAAACACAAGACTGATTACGTTTAACTTAAATTGATAGGAAAAGAAAAGAGCACTTTTTCAGATTTGCTTGTGCACACATTCATAAATGTTCAACAGTTCAATAATATGGGTAATAATCAAATTCATGATAGATAATATCAAACCAACATTTTTTCACATTCCATTGCAAGTATAAATGCATGGATGATTATTGAAAACTGAAATATCTTTAAGACCAAAGCAAATATGATTAAATATATACGAAAATAAAAACAGTCGTAAATCATCAGTCTATTATGACACGATGATTTAGAAGAAACAAAAAAAGTCTATAAGACTTCTTTCTCTTGAGATGTGAAACACAGCAAGAGCTATATTAATTAGAGAAAACGTAATTGAGTTATATGTATGTGTTGTATTTGTCCAAACATTAACCAGCAGCTTGAAGCCTTCTTTTGTTTGTTGTTCCCTTTTCCATTGCATGCTTAGACAAGTAATTAAAAACAATTGATGTAAACGATCTATATCTAAAAACGTTGTTCATGAAGATTCACACTCAAAGAAGCCTAAAAGATTTCCAAAACATTCTCAAAACGAACATCACAAGAGAAACATGATATAGACAAAATCACTTCAAAATTCAAAATTTCACGATTGGATACCAAGAAAAAGAGAAGAACAAAAGAAGATTTAAAAGATATTTAGTTGTCGTTTGTGAGAACAGCAGAAAACCTCATTGTTGATTTTGAACTTTTTAGGAACACTGTGATTGCAAACCATCTTTACTTTCTTTGACGCTTGTGGATCTCTACTAGCGTCTTCTGTTCTACGGGTTGGGCGTCGCTTTGGCAAGCGCAGCATCTTCTAATGTTTGGGTTGCTCCTCAGTTCTTGCACACGGAATGTCTTCTGCAAGCACAGCATCCTCGGTTGTTTGAGTTGCCCGTCTATTCTTCCACGCGAAGCGTCTTCTGCAAGCGCAGCGTCTTCCGTCGTTTCGGTTTCCTCAGTTCTTGCACGCGAAGCGTCTTCTGCAAGCGCAGCGTCTTCCGTTGTTTCGGTTGCTCCTCAGTTCTTGCACGCGAAGCGTCTTCTGCAAGCGCAGCGTCTTCCGTTGTTTCGATTGCTCCTCAGTTCTTGCACGCAAAGCGTCTTCTGCAAGCGCAGCGTCTTCCGTTGTTTGGGTTGCCCGTCTATTCTTCCACGCGAAGCGTCTTCTGCAAGCGCAGCGTCTTCCGTTGTTTCGGTTGCTCTCAGTTCTTGCACGCAAAGCGTCTTCTGCAAGCGCAGCGTCTTCCGTTGTTTTGATTGCTCCTCAGTTCTTGCACGCAAAGCGTCTTCTGCAAGCGCAGCGTCTTCCGTTGTTTCGGTTGCTCCTCAGTTCTTGCACGCGAAGCGTCTTCTGCAAACGCAGCGTCTTCCGTTGTTTCGGTTGCTCCTCAGTTCTTGCACGCAAAGCGTCTTCTGCAAGCGCAGCGTCTTCCGTTGTTTGGGTTGCCCGTCTATTCTTCCACGCGAAGCGTCTTCTGCAAGCGCAGCGTCTTCCGTTGTTTCGGTTGCCCGTCTATTCTTCCACGCGAAGCGTCTTCTGCAAGCGCAGCGTCTTCCGTTGTTTCGGTTGCTCCTCAGTTCTTGCACGCAAAGCGTCTTCTGCAAGCGCAGCGTCTTCCGTTGTTTCGGTTGCCCGTCTATTCTTCCACGCGAAGCGTCTTCTGCAAGCGCAGCGTCTTCCGTTGTTTTGGTTGCTCCTCGGCATATTCCATTGTTTGGGTTGCTCATCGATTATTTCAGGTGCAGCATCTGCAAGCGCAGCAGATTTTTTCCAGCGTGTGGCGTTTTCTTTTGTTTGGGCTGCTCATCATTTTTGTAAGTGCAAGCACAGTGTCGTTAGTTATTTTCCTGCTTTAAAGATTTTTGTACTTCAGGTCTAGCGTTTTCTCATTTTGCGAGTGTAATGAATACACTGACTTGTCAGGTTTAAAGATTAATATCAGACAACCAAGAAGAAGTGTGAAAACAAAACAAAGAAATTACAACTAAGATGACAAAGCAATCTTATGAAGAATAATACGATAAATTGATTCAAGATAAAGATTTTATTAACTTTACAACAATATTTTTGTAAATAATAATATCATAGACTTTTCCCTTTGCATGATGGGTTTTTTTTTCTGAAGGCTTCTTGAGGCGGTGGTGTAATTTTGTCTTTCATGTTGTTTTATATTGATGTGTTGCATGGTCTAGCTTGCATGGCATAGCTTGTCTTATATAGTACAAAAAGTCAGGAAACTTTTGATAAACGTAATTTAGACGACATAATGCAAAATATTTTGTCCATTGTTTTCACTTGCACGTGATTTTTCGACCACTTGTGCACAAGTGAATCTGTATAAATATTGCTGTCGTCTACAATCGATAAAAAATCGACGTCAAGTTGGACAAAACCTGGAAAAGTTAGAAATTTTTTTACGGACTTGAAATCTAAATAAATGAGGTTGCGCCACAAGAATGTCTGTTGAGAACTACACCATTAATGACGTAAATTATGGTGCTTCGTCCCATAATGGATCTACACTTGTGTCAATATGTCATAATGGATCATGGATGTTAAGTAACACAAACACTGCAATTGACAACACAGTCACTTGATATTTTACCACTTGAATAACAGACTTACATTATGGTTGTCGTTGGTTACATTATGGTTGTTTTAATGGTTATATTGGAGTACATTATGGTTGTTGTGGATTACATCATGGTTATTGTGGATTTACATTATGGTTGTCGTGGATTATCTCTACTTGGATATATCACTTAAAGGTTACGTTATGAAGAAAGAAGACGACGTTCAGGTGCAATGGTTTTTTATTGTTATATGTTTTATACTTGTAATCAACAATTTTCATGTTGTTTTCTTTTCACAACGCAATGCTATTCTGCGCAAACATTTGCCTCAATATTCGTGTATATTACTTCAATTAAGCATATGTATGAGATTGGCTCCAACTAAACGTTGAAAATCTGTACATGAAGCGAAGAACTATATGTGCATGATTAATTGATTGCACATTAAAAATATGTTCTAAACCCAAAATCCGTCGCGGCAAAATCTAGCGTGGTAGCAGGATGGCGCAAAATAAAATCTACAGCTTGCAGTTTGTCGGTTGATGTTAAAATCGGTTATTTCATGCCACTGTCGATCAGGTTTTGCTAATTAAGAATGAGCGGAAGCAAGAAAATAGAAAAGGTAGCAGCAGTAAGCGACCTAAAATGGCGATAAGCGACCTAAAATGGCGATAAACAACAAATTAAAATTTTTGGTCTTCTTTAAGGATGCATTTTGGTCACCTATTTCGACAATCTTGTAAAGATACAAACAGTTTAAGTTATTCTGTAAATATAACTAAGGCCTCTAAAGTGTAAACATCGTTTTTGTAAAAATAACTGGTAAATTTAGACCAGGTGATCCAAGTAATGCGCATCCTATCAAAGAAACTTTAAATAGGCTTTTCTATAGCTTATTTGATGTCTGAGGGTTTTCCTCCGGCGAAATGTTGAAAAGTTTTCAATACGCTGGTTTCCCTCAAAAAAAGGGTGGCCTTGTCTGGGACCTGCAGCGAGGAATGTATGGTTATCGGGTTGGATTCCCGATCCACTCAGAGCAAGAAAAATGAAGATCAATTAAATTGATTTTCTGTCAGTCAATTCTTTAGAAATTGCTTGTATTGAACATCAAACATATTAAACACTGCAAAGTTTTCCTCATATAGTGGCTAATCTAAAGCTACTTCTAGATCAAATTTTTATGTGGAATTATAACTCGAAGTGCAAATAATTACAAATTATATATACCTATATACATCTAGATGTGTAAAAGTTTTCAGTAAAAATAAAAATCTTGAAAAATCTCAAAATCAGTCGAATTCTTTGACGTTTAAAGATGTATGGGGCATAAAATTTAGCTGTCAAAATATCTATACAGTAAATTCATGCAAAAAAATTCAAATTGCAAAGAGTTGAATTTGGTCAATTTTTGACAGAGTGTTTGTGTTAGTACAAAATTTCCCTTGGTAAAAGCACATATATGACATTAGATTCTTTAGAGCATGCCAGTGTATTTAGTGTGCCACTTACTGTAAAGTTGTGTCAATAAGACTCAGAGCCAGTATGATATGACAAGGTCCAGTGGTTGTGTAGGTCAAATTGGTGTGTAGCTCTCGTCTGACCAAACAATTTGGTAGTATGGTACATATTTGATGCTTCGATTCTATAGATTTTTTAGCTATGTAAATCCAGTTTCAAAGCAATGGTGTTTATGTACAAATATGTTAATATTTTTTGGTCGCCAAGAAAAACATGTATTATATTAGGGGTGAAAGCTGACACATTTTTGCAGTATGTTTGGCTTAAATGAATTGGACAAAATTATAGAAGTAATTGTTCTATTGCTCATTCAAAATATTCTAACCTTATACACAAAGATGTTTCTACTTTATGATAAGCTTTCAATAATTCCCGTAATGTAAACAATATTAGGTGGCGCATTTGACCAATCACTTAAAAGTGTTCCATCAACAGTTTCAATAGTTTGTACTTTATATCCTTCAGGAGCACCTGGTAAACCTCTAGCAATAAAGTTCAAAGTTGAGACGTTCACATCTAATGTCTTTATAACGTCAGACTTGCCAGCGATGGTGTAATGAATCTTGACCTAACATTACAACATCATTAAATATATTAGTAATTATTACCAATGCTTTTGATAAAATGCATGAATCAAACATACTTTTGGCATAACTTCGAGTCAGAGAAGACTTTGCGCAAATAAATTCTGTAAAAGAGTATGTTTGAATATCTCGTATAATATACATAATACAAAGAATATAAGGCCGAGCCTGCAGTTTAATGAACAGCTTTTGCTCACAGTTGTGTTAGACGTAGAGTAATATCGTTATATTTTGTTGTTTATATGGTGGTTGTTGATGTTTGTTTCCAATACAATAAGTTCAAACAACCTTTCTAACGTCCGAAATTTTGAAGTCGAGTTAGACCTTGTTCTTGCTTATCCTTTTCTTTTACCATAAATTAATTTACCAAACTGGGCTCTTTTGAATAAGGGATAAGCCATCAAATGATATAAATTAATATGACGTCTCCTATGACGTCATATATGTTTAAAATATATTACGTATACTGAGGTGACTGATGAACGATAGATCAAAACTTATAAGTCTTGTAAATCATAATTCTCCATATGAATGGTACCGTTATGTTTGAAATAGACGTATCAAAGTCATATCAGGCTTGACAGACTGAAGATTACTCAAACAATTCCTGTCAGTTTGTCATCATTAAAATAACTTAAATAAAACAAGTATTCAATAATCTTCTTTAATTGAACTTTTCTGAATTTTCGATTATCCAGCATAGACTACAATTCTGCCTTGATAAACTACCAAGACGTGCAGAGTTCAAGCATGTAATAGTTGGTTGAATTTTTTTCATAAAAATTTTTATTGCAAATGCTTGAAAAGAATCCAACAAAAACAATGACATATGGGACGAGTTATACGTGCTTTTGGCTACATCATTAATCTTAATTCAATGCACGGCGGGTTCCAAATGCTATGCATTCCAGAGTATTTAGTGATTAACAACATAAATATATGAAGCTTTCATTGACGTAATTAAAGTAAGTAAACACCTTCTTGTGTTTACAACCATTGCAATAGCAAACAACCTTTTTTGAAAAGATAAATTTTTAACTGGAGAGCTCTGCCATATTCAATTCAACATATTTTGGTTTTTCTCGAATGTAGAATGTAAGCATCCTCATTTGATAGATTTTGGATTGATTTTGATTTCACATAAGTAATTTCCTCTCATTTTCCTGTTTAGTTTTTGCATTATTTTCATTTTATTTTAACCTTCTCGGGAATAATCATTCTAAATGAATACTTGAAATTGATGTGATTTGTGGTTACCCTTGCACCGTCATATTGACCTCCAGCCGTCTTAAATTACTTCTAGTGTATCCCTGTAGACTATTGATATCAAATTATAGCTATCGTCTAGATCATACTGGCATTATCGTATGTTATTTTTGCGAATTTTTTGAAAATTTGCTCAAACATTTGAAAATGATAAATCGCGATCGTAATTTAAAGTCATCATTACATTAAAAAAAGGAAAGTTAGTTAGAAATATTATTGATGATTGTCAAGAAATGTGCTGTCAAACTGGGTATGACCTATCCTGTAATTACTATTTATTGATAAAAGACGCGTTGAAATATTTCGTAAATAGTCTTTTTATCCATGACGGTTATCTGTTTGTTGCTTGTCATTAACTTTCCTATAGCTAAAACAAAATTTGACACTTTATTCCTGTTTGTTGCTGGAGTAAAACAAGTCATTTTCCCAGACAACTCGTGAGTGGATTTTTCCTGTATGTCTAAATCTGTAAAATGTTCCAAGTATTTCAAATGTTTTCTTCTCCCACAGACAGTGGAAATAGTTTAGGAAACTATAACCACTTAGTGGCTTGAACCTACATTTTTGACGTATTTTATGTTAAAAAGAAATGGTCAATTTTTTAAGTTTATTTTTGTTTAAGTTTATTTACGCACTATCAGGCTATTGGCATTTGGCAAGTGTTTATTAAACAATGAATTTTAAGGAATTTTCACTTTTGCAAGTGAAATGAAACATAATTTGGGTAAACCGTAAATATGCAGTAATTTACGATTGTTAAAAGAAGAAAACTTTGCCAGTTCTCAGCATGAGCTACAACAGCCTGTTTATTCTAAAAATAAATAACTGTTTATATTAGTATGCGTGTTTTTTTATATTAATTTCAAAATATCTTTCTAAGTTCCAACACAATATAAAAAATATCCCTAAACTTTTCTGATGTTGCAAACTATCGTTTTTACCCCAAATTTAGATGGCATTACACGTAGGGATTACTACGCAGAAATGCGTGATTGGTTTAGGAAACTCTTCATTTTGAGATTTTTCATTTCAATATAAACATGTATGGTAAGCACAATGGCTATTTTGAGTAACTCTAGGCTAGTTTGGTCCACAAAAGTGACGTGTTTCATGAATATGCCACCCATATATGTCATCAGTCGCACCCAAGTATGTGGTAAAGACCTTACAGTGTAAATTCCTTTTAATTGTTCAAATCTTCATTAACCAATTTGTTACCGCGCCCTGTTTCTGCTTAAATAAAAGAGCAACCACAGTACAAACACAACAACAATTCTACAAGCTGAGAGAAACATTTCCACAACAAAAATTCACAGTGAAGTTTAAAGATTATTGCAACCTAATAATAAGGTAATAACAATTTATGTTCTTCGATCACCATGATTTACATTAAATGCTCATGTTAAGTAAAATTTAACTGTCTTTCGTTTAAAAACTCACATTTTAACAATATATTTCACATTAAATGCTTTTCTTTTTAATTTGATTTGTACATGTGTGACCTAACTACACGATGCGCTCAGAGCAGTGATAAATGAAATTGCATATGGTTGAGTTTCATCGGCAGTTTTATTGTCATGAAGATAACCTCCAGCTTTTAATTGCCCTTAGGAAATTTCCCTTCAGTTCTACAAAATTCACTTGTTTTCTTTTTGAAATTACGTTGAACATAATCAATTTTTTTGAGTTTAAAAGTGTTTAAAGACCATCATCATCAATATCACATGGCATCTTTAGCCGTGCTGCTTTTTTTCGCTCGTGTTTGCCTACAAAAAACTTTGCCACAAAGTATTAAAATCCCGATTTTTTTCCAGAGAAGATATTGATATGGCATCATTCATTTTTCTCGCAACATTTCTTTGCTGTTGTCTGAGCAGCCATGCTTTACCTGTAAAGTTTTCTAACGGACAAAATAGTGGTATGTGAAAAATTATTGTATTTTTGTTCTTATATTTGTCAAGACTACTTTCATCCGCGTCTATGTTGTCTTTAATGTTCATTTTCTTTGTTTAAATATAGTCTGCAGTCAAGAACCAAGGGATGTATTTCTTGTCGTGGATGGTTCGGCAAGTATTGGAATGAACCAATTTGAAAGAGTTCGGGAATTCATTTTTCGACTGATCAAAGCAGTGAAAGTTCACAAAGATTATACTCATTTTGGACTCATGCAGTTTAGTACAGAAGAGAAGACAAAAATTGAATTTGGTCTTGACGAATCGCATGATTCTAGTATTTTACTTGACAAAGTACAATCATTAAAGTACCAAAGTGGATCATCAACAAGAACCGGAAATGCTCTAGAAATTGTGGAAAGAGAGGTATTTTGTTAAAATCTTTATCAAATTACTAAGCTGTTTTATTGTCCCTCTGATGATGATAAAATGTTTTATAAATGAAGATTGAAGGAATGTTCAACATACACGCATATAATGATAATATATCGCGTTTTTAAATGAAAATTATGCTTGATATAGATATTTACACCTGGAAAAGATGGCAGACCCCATGTCCCAGACTATCTTATCATATTTACTGATGGCCAAGCAAATGATCGATCAAAAACCTTTAGAAATGCTAAAAAACTCAAGGATAAAGGCGTCAAAATTGTTACTATTGCGGCAGGGAACAAGAAATTAGAATTCTTAAATCAACTTGAAAAGATAGCGAGCACACCTTCTGATGTTTGGATGGCTGACTTTGATAACTTAGATGAAATTGTAAATGTGGTTGCTAAAAATGTTGTCAATGAAGTTTGTCCAACACCTCCCCAGGACTACAGTAAGTTTTTGATAATTTTCAATATAATTATTTTGTTACAGTAAAGGTTTACAGTTCAATTTTATTCCAAAGCCATCATCAGAAAATCATCATAATATATTCGCAGATCAATGTTCGAGTCATTTCGATAAGATATACCTATTAAGCCTTGTCGTCAAATAATGTTCGAGTCGTTTCAGTCCTGTCAATCGTCTTTAGAACGAAAGCTGTTAGGACTTGAAACTCTGAAAAGAGTCAATTGAGACCACTCAAAAAATAACGACTCTAAAACGATTTAGACATAAGAGAAACTGGTTTTACATTAATATACGATAAATAAACGTTTAATTTCTCTTATTCATTTTCAACAGCTACAATGATTTGTTCCCAAGAGCCGCGTGACGTCTTTCTGGTCGTGGATGGCTCTTCGAGTATCGGGAGGACACATTTTGAAAAAATTCGCAGTTTTTTAACCACACTCGTCAAAACTGTGGTCGTCAATGAAAATATGACTCATTTTGGTCTTTTGCAGTTCAGCAGTCGTGAAAAAACAAAGATCGAGTTTTCTTTAGATTATTCTTTTAGAGAAGCAACATTGTTGAATCGTATCAAGTACTTAAGATATCAAGAAGGCACAAGTACTTATACTGGAAATGCATTAAAGATTGTGGAAGAAGAGGTTGGTAGACTACTAAACTGCAAATTATGTTTTTAGAAGAGAAAAATTTTAGTACGGCGACTCCCTTCTTTTGCTCATAATTCACAATTTTTTCAGGTGTTTACGATACAAGGCGATAATCGACCGGATGTTGAAGATATTTTAATCGTGTTCACAGACGGCGCAACACGTGATCAAAGTGTGGCTGTTACCTATGCTGATAAGATGAAACAACAAGGTGTTAAGATTATTGGAATTGCAGCTGGGTCAAAACGTGACCAGTTTAAGCATCAGGTGGAGGAAATTGCTAGCGGACCTGAAGATGTTTTTATGGTTGAATTTGACGAACTTCATAAAGTTATTTCTAAACTTGTCAATTCTGTTTGCAAAGCTCCACCTAGTAAGTAAAATTATTTCGTTTGAAGTAAAATTTTTGATAGGTAAAAACAAGTACATTGATCTTATAATAATAATCTCATTTTTTTTAGCGACAAAACCACCTACAACAACTCGTAAAGCCACCACTACTCTTCCTCCTACAACAACCCCCGCGCCAACGACGACTCCAACACCATCTATATGCCACATTAGGGATAAACGAGATGTATTATTCCTGCTTGACATCCCTAGGCAAGTATCAATCAGACAGTTTCAAATGGTAAAACAATACTTGAAAAATCTGGTGCAGAAAATGCCAATTAAGGACGATCGTTTTATGATCGGAATTATGAATGTCGGAGATAGTGCAGAGCCCAAAATGTATTTGGAGTTTGAAGAAGGTTTAACGCTAAATAAATTGCAGTACAAGATTGACAGATTAAAACGGAAGGGTTCTAGATATGGCTTTAATGTTGCTGGTTATGAACAAGCAGGATACCAGGTACAACTTCATTGCTTTTATTTCTCGAATTTCATTGAATCATAATTTTGTGATCTCTACATAAATATAACTTTCATCAAATCATATTTATCTTGAATTTTTTTGTGTTCAGTTTCACCAGATGAACACGAAGTATAACCGTTACGATGTTGATGACGTAATAATCTCTCTGACAACCCGCTCATTGCGTGACTGGCCGACTTGGGATAGTGACGTCACAAAGGCTTCACGTGATATCCAAATGTTTGCTGACATGCGAACAAAGATAATAACTGTGGCCTTAGGTGACCAGCGTCCTCGTATCTCTATGCAAATGAATCAGATTAAAGTGTTTGATAGTCCACTCATCAAGTCAAGTTATAAAAGACTGGTGAAGAGTGATGCAAAAGTACTTGATGTTATGCATAACATATGTCCTTCTATTCAAACAGGAAGTAAGTTCTGTGTACAACAGAATTTTGATATAAAAGATCCGAGTAATGCAACCTCAGTATTTTTTGCATTTAGGAATACAAATTTAAGACAATGCAACTGGAACTACCATTTAAACATATCCTTATGCTGTGCTTTTTTATACTTTAGCTTTATTTCCTCAGCAAGAATGTGAACGAACACCTCATGACATTTTTTTTGTCGTTGATGGTTCAGCAAGCATTAAATCTCACAACTTTCTTCATGTGAGGAAATTTCTTATGGATCTCCTCTACATGTTACGAGCAGGAATTTCTGATATTAACGTTGGAATGCTACAATTTAGCGAAGTGGAAAAACTGCAGTATTGATGGATCTTAATAAACATCCTTTTATTGAACAAATGAAGAAAGTAACAAAAATGGTTTATCAAGCTGGAACACGTACTATGACTGGTGATGCTCTCACTCTTGTGGCTAATCAGGTTTGTCTATAAAATTATATATGCAATATATTGTTGAATTCAAGTAAATTAATAATTATTTATTTTATCGTACCATTAAACATCCTTTCATCATCGTTTCTAACAATACTTAGGTTTTCAACGGAAATCCCGAAAATGGCGACAGACCAAATGTCCAGAATGTCTTAATTCTATTTACCGATGGAAATGCTCATGACCTTCCAGTTGCTTTGAAACAAGCTAAAGAGCTAAAGTCACGTGGTGTACGCGTGATAACGATTGGAGCTGGAGTGAAGAGGAATATTAAACGATTTGAACACGAACTGAAAGAAATGAGTTCTGATCCACAGAAAGACTTTTTAATGGTTGACTTCAAAGATCTTAACGGATTTGCAAACAAGGCCTTCCCGCTAATTTGTCGTGGCAGGTAGAAAACTAAGAAAGATAATGTGACGGATAGGAATAGAGCTTAAGAATACAAATGTTTTGTAAAATAAATATTGAACAAGATTTGAATCATTAGTTTGAAGATCGAAGTCCACATTCCAAAATTCCATAAAAGTCAGGCGAGAAAAAACTGGCAAACAACCAATAATGTAAATAGTGGGCTCTTCACAAATATTTTTTTATTTATTAATTTATCATATTCATTTATTTATATACTATTGTTTAAAAATATAATAAAGAAATATTATGGAATATTTGCTGTTTGATTTTTTTATTTCAACGAACTCGGTAAACAAAGCACTTATAAAATCTGCATATTAGTAAAATAAAAATCCTATCTCGTACATCCACAAACATCTGCATCTACAAACATGTAACGATACTCCCGGGTCTAACCATTCACTTTAATTTAAAAATCATTAAGAACACCAAGAGTATATTGTGTGCAATACTCGCCATAGCTAAATGTCGTCATAATACGACAAAGGAAGTTTAACTCACGCAATGACACGTTTAACATTCTTGTTCTGATGATCCATTTCAATGAAAATGTGTAATTTCAGAATGCATAGAATTATCCAGTGTTTTTTCTTTTTTCAGATATTTTGAGTTTTCAATGCACCCTGTGTTACTTAAATCTTAAAAACAATAAAAACATTGATAATAGTTTTGTCAATTTATAGTCCCATTACGTTTGACTAGACCATGATGAAACGCACTTACACAGAATGTTCTGGAAAAGTTCCTAAAATATACATTGATTGTTTGTTACCACGACGACTATTGTACATTAGCCGAACTAGCGGATGATATAAGACATTAAAGTAAACTAGTTTAAATGCTTTAAGTGTTTTTCTTTCATTTAATTAACATTATTTGGCAACAACACAACAACAAAAAATTACTACGTGGTATAATATTGGTTGTCAGACAACGATGACGTTTCTGTTTAAGAAATCTACATGGTCATATTGATAGCCATTTTTACGTGGTTTTGACGACTAAATTTCACTCATGTTTACATCAAACAATTACTTCCAACAAAATATATTTATTGCATTTTTTATTTATACCCCAGCTTCGCCGTTTTTCGCTTACCCTGACTATCATGTCCGTTATTATATCAACTGAAAAACTTCCCATTGATATCGCTTTTTTATACTATTTTGCCCTACGAAATGCTTGCTTGTAGAACGAAGAGACTTGAAGTTAAAGAAAGTCATAATCTGAATGCAGTCTTTGAAGTTTAATTTGGAAGTAACTGGAAAAAAATCATATTCTGTCTATGCCCGTGAATGTATTGTCTGCATGACTAAATAACTTGATATCTTTCATATAGGAGTCAATGACTATTGAATTATGTAAATTAATTGGATTGTTGGCAAGCTTAAAACTTATTCAAGAAAAGAAAATTACCTAGCATTGCTGTGGATATGAAAGTCGTTTAGCAGATCTTTACTGTTTTTTTTTAATATTTCTCCATTGATTTCTTGCTATGATAATAAATACTATATGGTCTTCAATATTGATAAGAAAAATGCCGTCAAGCTTAAATTATCATTCGTAGAATACTTTAGATATGATCAGGTTTACAGTCAATAATACTTAACATTCTTTATAAATGTGAAAAAATTTGGTTATAATTTGACCCTTGCACCACAAAATTTTATTATTCTGTCTACGTCGAACTGCATGTCCTGAATGGATGAATAAGTTGATGAGATTAACTGTCAAATGTTTTCACATTAGAAAGTATCAAGGAACATTAAAACCGAGATAAAAACCAGGAAGAAATTTATAGCATAAAATAATGTGACGAAAACTGCGTGATTACCAGGCATTTTTTATTTATCAACTATATGACTTAATTTCTGCAGAAGTTTGCAGTAATTAATAATGGTGAAAATTTTGTTATATACTTAAAATTTAAAATTTTACCTTGAACTTCTAGCTGACACCGCATTTCTATCATTCCACACATTTCGGCAGGGCTTTGGATAATTTAAGACTCTACAAACAACATTTGCTACATAATGGTTGAAAATTGAATGATAGCAATTTTTTTCAGCAACATTGATCATGTTTTTGTTTCATTTTAAGTATAAACTATTTCAGTTCAATTTAATTAATTTGCTGGATTTTTATTTAGTAACTATCAAATACCGGAACATATATACACTTTGTTATTAGCAGTATAAAATGCTTCATATCCTAATTAATTAAAAATTTGGCAGGATTGATTGATGGAAACAGTTTCATTATAAACTAAATAAAATTCAATACAAATTATTTTCATTCATTGTCAAGTGTTTGAATAAAACTTTGGTGTAATATAATCATACATAAATTTGTCATTAAATTGAAGCACTGCCTTCAAGTCTAGAACTCTCTTTATTTTTTTAATTTAATTTACTTCATGACTATGCAAGTCATTTTCCTATTTTAGAATTATCATGCGGCGCGCAATTTGTGAATCGTCATTTATGTAAATTAGGCGTTGTTCAGGTGATGACAGCGCACATGTTGACGCACATCACAGCAATAATATGATAATTTTCTTATAAATTCGATAAATGTTAAAGATATGAGTCATATGAGAAGCCCTGCTGAGTTTTTACCCTGCAGTATATATATTGCATGCTTTATTTGTCATTTAGGATATTAGGATTTCATTCTTACACCAAGTTGGATACTCGCATCTACTCCTGTGTTGGCTAAACAGAATACATTCAAGATTTGGTAAATAAAGAATAAAAGGTTTGCATTTAATTGAAAGCTCTTGTTGCAATATTTTTTTCGTATTTCTAATTATTGTTCGCCACTTCATTCATAAATGTCACATAATATATAGTTGCATGTCTTGATTTCTTCTTCACCACTATTGTCAATAAAATCGTATATGGTTAGTAAGTATAGTGAATTGTACAGGTTGATTACAATTGGATTGAGAATTGATTAGAGATAAAATAAACAATCGCTCAATGATTACTGTTCTTTTATCCTCAAAATTTTGATTGTCCCGTTTTCCATGGTATTAATCGTGAATTACTGGATTATCAATAACATGACAATTAGCAAATATTGTAATATAGTAGAAATGTGAAGCTTTCTTATAACGACAGCGGAAGAATGTATTTCTACTTAAGCATTAACCTGAACGTGATAATTGAGCAAAGAATGATTGCATACTCAGCTTATTGCCATCCTTCAACCACTTCATCAAAATAATTTTACAGTTGAGTAATAATGGCTTTTGTGTATCGTGTTATTAAATTAAACGTCATACTGGAGTTTCATATATGAACTGATAAAGTAAAAACGGAAATGCAATTAACTTTCAAAAAATTTGTATAGGCATTTTATATATAAAGAGTGACTGCATGGAATCTGATTTATTTAACAGGGTTATCGTAGCTCGAAGAAAGAGCTAGCTCAAATAATTTACAAGGTGTGAAAATGCTGAAAAAAGTTCATGTATTTATGTTTTGTATTTTCTTACTTTTTATCTTTCATAGATTTTACTACTGTATTGAACAAACTTATGGATTCAACAAAGATAATTTTTATTCTGTTCGTGATTGGCTCCACATTATGTCTTACCAGTACTGACTCAGTTAGCTCTGGCCTACGAAGTAAGAATATCATGTTTTAAAATTAAAAGTTTCTCAGCAGTTCAAAGTTTAAGCTTAACTATTTCTTTGTTGACCTGCTCAGTATGATTACGTTGATAATGCTTTCGTGTCATTTATTTCACAACTAAATTTGCATTGTTACACAAATCACCGTTATTCGTAGCTACGACATGATGTCGTTATATTATATTAAATTTCATTGGGACTTCATTTCAATTGTAATATAGTGAAATATTTAGCTGTCAACACAAAATTAAATCATTCTTCATCGTGAATACATATTTTACATATTTATAAGGTCACGTCTGAGTTTTGAAAGATTTTTTTAACTTGCGATGTAATTTTTACTACCATTTAAGTATATTTTTATTTTTGCTTCCCTCAAAATGGCTTCAAGCGAAAGCGTCTGCAATTTCTTGCACATTCATGCTTGTCGTCAACAAGCGCACGCTTTTTTTATTGGTGTGCTTATCAAAGGTGCATATATGAAATAAAATTAATTTTGCTCTTGTAGCTTAAAATTAATTGAAAAGTTGAATTTAAGAAAGGAAGATTTATTGCTGAAAAGTCTAAGATTATTACTTTCAAGGATTCGTTATTTTAAAGGAAGAAGAATGTTACAATCATTTCCGTGTGAATCTAAAATGTTACTAGAAAAATCTTGTGTTTATAAATTATTATAATTCTTTCCTTCTGAGCAAACTATTCAAAACAAGAAACGGATACATAGTTGCAAGCTTGAGTTTCTTTCACCAGATTTTATAAGATATTTTTTGGTGAAAGTTATACATTGTACTGCACGTATGTCTGTTTTTATTCAGCAACTAAGTACTTTCTTTATCTATAAAAATTGAATACTTATCATTTCTAGAACATATAAAGGAAAGGATGTTATTTTAATGTTGATAGTTGAGAAATCATAACTTTATGAACTAAAAGTTGCATGATTTGGACTGATTACATTGCTACCTTCACTTCTCGAATAATCATAAAATTTTATTATGTTATATTGGTTCATGTTCATAGAATACGATTGCATTTCAGTATAAAGTTCTTTGTTGCTTTTATTTTTTAATTATTGGCATTCCTGTTTGATCAACATATATATATTTATATATATATAATATTTACATAAAGACTTTATAATAGTCTTAAAAACGGTTCAAGTTTTTTTTTCTATTAGGATAATGTTATTGCTATCTTTTGTCACGTATTGGAATTTCAATATCTACCTATTACTATGGTCTGCTTTAATTTGCCTAAGAAACTTTTACTCATGTTATCTTTTATATCGTCGGCTGTCATGACTATTTATCAAAGCTGTCAGATGTAAACCTATGTTTGGAGAGGGGATCTTAATCAATAGTATCGAAAAGATAACACCTTTTTCCGTTTAAAGAGAGTTAACGACGCCGGTGTCTTAACCTTCATTACAAATGTTGCTTTTTCAGCAACTTTTCTTCTCTTTTATGTCCTGTATATAATATAAAATAAAATTATTTCAGCCCAAGTTTCCCTGCTTCACACGGCCATGCCTACTATATGAACTAGGTAACTAAATCAAAATTTTGGTTTCTTGTATAAAATGACGATATCTATATATTGGATAGTATAGTATAGTATAAAATTTGGATTTTTTTTGCTTAGCGAAAAAATCATTACATAGAAAAAAATTCAAAAAAATAGTATTGTTTTTCCTAATGTATATAGTATCTTGATATTATTGTTTAGAGTGCGTAGAGCAGCCTAGAGATTTGTTTCTTGTGGTCGACGACTCAGCAAGTATTGGTCGCAAATCTTTCAAAAAGATACGAAACTTTTTAACGAAATTGGTGTCGTCAGTTAACATAGCTCGTCATATGACGCGTATTGGCTTGTTGCAGTTCAGTGATGAAACGAACACGAAGATTCGATTTAACCTTGATAATAATCTAACGTCTCAGGAGACAATAAGAAAATTTGAAAATCTGGCTTGGTTTGGTGGGAGAAAGACGTTAACACACCTTGCTCTCAAAATGGTTGCAGACCAGGTGAAGATGATTTTAGTGATATTGCATTCTGTGAATATATAGTTATGATTTTAGCTTCATGTTTGTAAATGTAGATCGTCCAGGTTGGTATAGTCCTGAGAAGGACTATTTTTGTTGTTGTTGACTGACGTTTCAACAACCTTAGCGGTAGTCATCTTCAGAGTCAAAGACCCTACCCTAACCTTAACCAGAGTCATTTGACTCTGAAGATGAGTACCGCTAAGGTTGTCGAAACGTCAGTCAACAACAACAAAAATAGTCCTTCTCAGGACTATACCAACCTGGATGATCTACATTTACAAACATGTAACGATACTCCTGGGTTCAAACCATTTACTTTAATTTTAGCTTTGATGCTGCACGCATTTGTTGATTTAGTCTGCCTGGTCAAAACACATGAATTTCTCTTTTTTGATTGTCGTCATTAAATCTGAATATTTTTTTAGATCAATGCAGACGAATAATGACTAAAATTAAGTTTCATCTCTATCGTGTAGGTATACACAAAGACTCGTGGAGATCGACCAAACGTTCCCGATATTGCTGTTGTTTTTACTGATGGCAATTCTCACTTTCCTCGGAAAACGAAAGAACAAGCTCAGCGACTTAAGAATATGGGAGTTCGTATGATAGCAATTGGTGCTGGTAGAAATCTAAAGACTGTACAAAAGAAATTACGAGAAGAGTTGTTAAACATTGCATCCAGCCCAGACGACATGATGATGGTAGATTTTGCTAGTCTAGAAGACATCGTTTCTGACATCGTCAGCAGAGTTTGTCGTGTTATAACGACAGTTGCCCCTACAACTAGTAAGTTAAACAACCAAAGAATTTTATACCATTTCTTAAACATTATAACGTCACTAAATGTGATCTTTGAGCAAATCAACACAAATATTTGACGTCTCGTGAATGCTCAGTTTAACTATTTCTTCATTTTTGAAGATATAATCGTTGCATTACCGCTGAACGTTTTATTATGCTTTTTTGCTTTTGGTTGCTACAAGTCAATATTCATAAATTTTTTTCAGCTACTCCACCCAAAGGGTTATTCGATCCTCATGTTTTAAATAAATGCATTGAAAATGAAGGCAAGGACATTTTATTTCTTGTGGATGGTACAGTAAACGAGCGTATGCATCACAAAGGCTCCCAAAAAGAATTCAAGAAAGTGAAACGTTTCATAAAATCGTTCGTACGTGGATTGAACGATGCACGATTTAGAGTTGGTGTCATGCAATATTCACATGTTAACACTGCAAAAATGAACATTGATTTTATGAGTCCTTTGAATAAAAGAGAATTTAAATTACGTCTCGCTACCATGATACAGCAAGGAGGGTATGAAAGATATACCGGAGATGCTCTCGTTCATGCCAATAAGAAGGTAACTTTCTCAGTTCTGCTTTCGTAGAATCACTTTTTATTAAACTGCATGAGATGATTTGTTTTTCAATCAACTGAATTTGACAACCCTAACTCTAACAATAACTCAATCATAACCCTAAAACTAACCTAACAATAACTCAATCATAACCCTAAAACTAACCCTAACAATAACTCAATCATAACCCTAAAACTAACCAGTGTGATTCATAAAATAGCTCTTCACTTTCAATTATCAAGAAGTGCAAATGATTCAAATAAATTAAACTGTGTCGTAAAAAGTCATTCTGTTATTTTGTTTTAGTTTTATGATTTTGACTCAATGAAACGAAGGGAAAAAAGTCCAAACGTGATAATCTTAATAACACGTGGTATTGCCAAAGATAAGCATCAGTCGATAAGTGAAGCAGGGATGTTAGACTCAAGAAAAATTCGTTTGATTTCCGTTGGAGTTCACTCAAGTTCTTCTGCAATTTATCTTTCTGATTATTTGCATAAATTGGTATCGGAGGAATTTTTATTTATTTTTCCTTACAATACTCTCAAAAAGAATCGTGTATCCATATTCAATGCAATGTGTATGAAAGTGGAGTATGCTCCGCGACCAGGGTGTAAGTATCCTTAACTTTTATACATTTATTCAAATCAAATGTTTTCTGTCTATCGAATATTATTTATTGAACTCTAAAGTCAATTATTCATTATACGTTAACTTGGATTTACGTAATTATTAGCCATTCATTTTAAATTCTCCTCTGTTTCAGTGCCTGCTGAAAGTGCAAAATGCTCACGTGGTCCTCAAGATATATTTTTTGTCATCGATGGCTCAGCAAGCATAAAATATTTTAATTTTGAAAAAGTTCAAATCTTCCTGATGGATCTTGTATCACTTCTCGTTACGGAGTCGTCGCAAATTAATACAGGTCTTATGCAGTTCAGCCAGAAAGAAGTTACAAATGTTGTATGGAACCTAGGGCGTTATTCTGAATATGAAACTATTATGAATATACGTAACATGAAGTATCAAGCTGGGACAAAGACGTATACTGGTGATGCACTGGCTCGTGTCAACGAGAAGGTATTTAAAATATAATTATGATTTAGGTGATCTAGATACGTTTTTTACAACATCTATTTGAACAACATCTTTTTTCTATCCTTCTCTCAGGTATTTACAAAAACCCATGGTGATAGACCAGATGTTCCAGACATACTAATTCTCTTTACTGATGGTAACGCCCATGATAAAAAGTTAGCTCAAGCACAAGCTGATTTCCTGAAAAGGAAAGGTGTTCTCGTGATAACAATTGGAGCTGGAAGTAAAAGTTCTTTACGCATCTTCAGACAAGAGTTAACTAAAATCTCATCTGGTCCTGAATATTCACTTTTGGTCGACTTTGAAAATATTCAATACTTTGCAGAGAAGGTTTTCCCAATTGTCTGCGATTATATGAAAAAGAAAAAACTTTAATTCCATTGAAATCATTGTAAAATATCCTGTAAAATTAGACTATTTAAAGAATATATGATGGCTTAGAGCCGGCTAAATAATCGGATGGTTGCAAAAGAGGTGCATCTTCGTCCTAAAAATTTTATCCCCAAAACTTGGCGGCATGGACGTCTTTCAATATATTTATAAATATGAAAAGTTTGTGCAAAGACAAATGAGACTCACAGCGAGATTAATATTTATTAAATTTATAACTTGTAATCAAATTAATGTTGATGGTTTTAACGCGTTAGTCAATAAAATACCCAGTAACGTGGCCAGGCAGGAGACTTGTTGCAGATATGATATTTATTTTATTTTTTTTACCGTCACAGCTAACATCAAAATATTTGCATAGCGGGAGAAAGACAGGTTGTCAAACTATTGAATATAGTTATTAATTGTTGGTGTTGACTGATGTTATCTTATATATGGTCATAACCTCAAAGGTCGACATCTTCTGTAAATATTACAGAGCTTACGATTTTAATGTAGTGTTCATGTTAAGCTACCACTATCACATAAGAAAAGCGGACTGCAAATATTTGATTGGTATACGAGTGAAGTAATTGTTTAGGTAAGTATCATTATACTCCTAAATGTCTTTATAATATGGCTTAACGATGTGATTATATTGTTAACATATGTTTCGATGATCTTTAATGACGCAAAAATTTTATGTTTAGGAAATTTACTATAGAATATCAGAAGTTTACGTACTTTTCTTTGAATTCAGATTTATTTTTCAATACTATATTAAAAATGACGTTAGTCTTCAAACAAATATTAACATTTATTTGATGGCATTGGACTGGAACCTTCCTTTTTACAGTATCATCAAACCTTTATAATTTCGCTTTATTTATGTTCATTCTCTAAACTGATCTGGTTACAACAGCAAATCATTTGTTCTGCTGTAGTCACAAGGTTTTAATAACAAAGTTTTTCATAACTATCTGGATACTTCTCATGCGTGACGATCACGTGACAGACTAGCTTAAACTGAAACACTTAGCATTAAAACCTATTTTTGAAATGGATTTTAAATCTAGCTACGAGTTATTGATGGCGAATATTGAATTTTTCCTTATAAATAACAGAATGCTGTCACAGTTCCACTGGATAACAGTGGTTATCATCATTGCTACAGTGGGTGTTTATTTTCCTACAAAAGGTCAAACTACAGGTAATCAATTTAATTGAAGTTCTTGTTAACTTTAGCAAAATTACAAATTCTGCAACATTGTTTTTAATGCAGAAGTGTTTATGTGTAGTCAACATATTGTAAATTTTATAATTTCATCTTATATATTTCTCATTCTTAATGCTGGTGTGAAAGCTTGGGTTGAATAGTTTTTTTATGCGGTACAATGTCCGTTTTTTATTATAATAGCATTTCTTCAATACATAATGTTTATTTTAGTGGAATGCCCTCAAGACATTGGATATGATATTTATTTTGTTGTTGATGGTTCACAAAGCATCACTTCCAGAAACTTTCTTCGTGTCCGAGAATTCCTTAGCAGTTTTATCAGCGAACTGGATATTGGAAAAAATGCTAATCAAGTTGGATTGATTCAGTTCAGTGAAGAATTGTTGACCAGTGAAGAATACAATTTAATGATATCCAAGATAAGTTGAAGATAGTGCAAACGCTAAATGAAATGACATATCATGGTGGTCGATATACCTTTACTGGCTCAGCTTTGAAAATCGTTGTTGATTCGGTAAATACACACAAAAACTTTCAGCAACAATAACATAATTTAAACATGTGACCATTTTGTAGTATAGAATAAGTGAATGACTTTGATTGGTTAAAAATGGTTTTGAGTGAATGATTTTGATTAGTTAAATTTGAATTGCCAACTCTTAGAGTGCGTTCCATTTTTATTGTGCAGGTCTTTACTGGAACTGGTGGCGATCGTCCCGAGGCAGATAATCTTGTTGTAATATTTACTGATGGTCAGGCTCATGATGCAGCAGAAGCAAAGGAGTACGCTGAAATACTAAAGAAAAGAGGAGTTAGGATCTTGGGCATAGGAGCTGGACCATACCTCTCAAGATTTATCTCAGAATTGGAACAGATGGTCTCTGGTCCTGAAGATCTTTTCACCTTCACTTTTAAAAATTTAAAAGAAGAAATAGGCCGAGCAATTGCTTCAAATCTTACCGAACAGCTTTGTCTTTTAAAACAAGCAAAAATAACCACAGAGACCGTAACTACTGAGTCAACCATTCCTACGACTAAAGCCACAGGTTTGCAAAAAAATTGGAATTTCTTTTGGTTTCTGCGATCATTTTTATTGAGTAAAAAAAAAGTAGTATTGTTTTGTCAGTTCAATCACTGTACATACAGTTCTCAATTCTCCATTGGCTGTTTTGCATACTTTTTAGGCATTTGTAACTCCAGCTCACCATACTATGACATTTTCATCATGATTGATGGTTCGACGGCTCGAAATGTCTCTTTCAACAAAGTGAAACAATATCTCGTGAACTTTGTTCAAAATGCAAACATTGGTTATTTGCAAAGCCGACTTGGCATCTTGCAGTTCAGTCTTCCACATTTAGCTTCTATCGTGGCAACATTTGGTGGATCACAGGAAAAGAATAATTTATTGAATTATATCGACAATATGCAGTACCAGCAAGGTTCGGGACGATTTACTGGTAAAGCATTAGAGCTTGTTGAGAGACAGGTAAGTTCAGCTCATGTGATCGTTGTCTTTTGAAACAAATTTCGTAGCTCAGAAAACTCTATATGATAGCGTAGTATTAAAATTTGTAATAAAATTTTTAATTATATTTTGTTTCCAGATATTTTCAGAAAATGTAGAAAATCGCACTGACGTTAAAAATATCCTTATTGTAATAAGCTATGGCTCATCTAACGATACAAGTCTTGCTCAGCGCATTGCTGCAAAGTTAAGTAATCGAGTTCATATTTTCATTATTGGTGTTGAATTATCTTCGGATGCAATGAAAGTTGAACATAGAAGTTTGGCTAGCCAGGTTGATGATTTCATTGAAACAACGTTTGAAGAGCTGCCGAAAGTATCGTATGAATTGTTGAGAAAACTTTGTCACAGCACAACATTTTTCACATCACGTGCAAATACCACAAAAGTGGTTGAAACCGCAGAGAGTACAGCAACAGAAGCTTTAACCACAGAGAGTACAACAACAGAAACTGTAACCACAGAGAGTACAACAACAGAAACTGTAACCACAGACAGTACAACAACAGAAGATGTAACCACAGACAGTACAACAACAGAAGGTGTAACCACAGACAGTACAACAACAGAAGCTGTAACCACAAAGAGTACAACAACAGAAGCTGTAACCACAGAGAGTACAACAACAGAAGCTGTAACCACACAGAGTACATCAACAGAAGCTTTAACCACAGAGAGTACAACAACAGAAGGTGTAACCACAGAGAGTACAACAACAGAAGCTGTAACCACACAGAGTACAACAACAGAAGCTGTAACCACAGAGAGTACAACAACAGAAACTGTAACCACAGAGAGTACAACAACAGAAGCTTTAACCACAGAGAGTACAACAACAGAAGGTGTAACCACAGACAGTACAACAACAGAAGCTGTAACCACACAGAGTACAACAACAGAAGCTGTAACCACAGAGAGTACAACAACAGAAACTGTAACCACAGAGAGTACAACAACAGAAGGTGTAACCACAGACAGTACAACAACAGAAGGTGTAACCACAGAGAGTACAACAACAGAAGATGTAACCACAGACAGTACAACAACAGAAGGTGTAACAACAGAGAGTACAACAACAGAAGCTTTAACCACTGACAGTACAACAACAGAAGCTGCAACCACACAGAGTACATCAACAGAAGCTTTAACCACAGACAGTACAACAACAGAAATTGCTATAGCTGATAAAATAACATCAAATACATTAATTACAAAAGTTCCTCCCACTGGAATTATGCAAGTTACAGGTAATGATATTTAGCAAATTACATTTATGCATCATTGATCTATCATTTTACAATTTACTCATATTTTCTTCATAGTTTGCATTCTTTTTTGTAATTGTAGATTGCATGGAGCGTGATATATTTTTGGCCATCGACGGAACAGCAAATGTAGGAGAAAATAATTTCTTGAAACAAGTGAATTTTCTCAGAAAATTTATCGAAAGCGTAAAGTTAGGATCTAATAAAGTACGTGTTGGCGTTCTTGAAATCAGCAATATTGAACAGACTCATACATTGTTTGGCTTCAGCTCATCACAAAATCTACTCGACATTCACAACTTATTAAAGAACGTTCCATATTACAATACACCTGAGCGGCATGTTGGACATGCGCTGAAGATGATCTATAATGAGGTAAATTTGTTTCCATTTTGTAGTTGCATTGTCCAAAGCAGCCAAAACAAATTGGATCGTAATGGTTTATCCTTTAAACAGGTATTTACAGGTTCAGGTGGTGATCGTTTTTCTGTTGAAGATATTTTGATAGTGTTAGTGAATGGTCGCACACAAGATGCTGGACTTGCAAGTGAATTTTCTGAAAAACTTAAAATCCGAGGAGTGAGAATCATAGCTGTTGCTTTGGGAAATGAAACAAGCTCTTTTGAAGATCAGATGGAACTTTTAGCTTCTAGTTTTGAGGATGTACGTCAATCAAGTTTTAACGATTTAAATTCAGTGATGAATTACGTGTTGGAAGATATTTGTACGTTGGTTGACACTACAGGTTAGTTGTGAAAACTCAAGTCCTTTTTTGCAGATATTTTTATAAAAGTGCAAAACGATAAGAGTCATTTCAAATGAATTCACTTCAAAATCAAGAACTTAATATCATTTGCAGATGAATTTTTCAAATCTTGACTTTGAATGATCATGATATTAAGCAAGAGTTTGTTTTTGTTTAATAACATCACAAAAATGTGCCGGATTTATATCTACAGTGAATTTACACTAATGAATCCACCAAAAGGAATTCTTGATAGACTTTTTCTTTTTTTCATTTTTTTCCCATGACTCCATGCAAGCAGCCCATAAAACAACCAATGGCAGGATAACGCTGACAACTGATTCACCAACAAAGAAAAAGTCTTGTAACAGCCAGAAGGCAAATGATATTTTATACATGGTGGACACTACAGCTAATGTAACTGATTTTTGGATGACAAAGATGAAATCCTTTATTTCATACTCTATGAATCGTTTCAAAAAGATCAATCCCTTCACTATGATGGGAATTATGCAATTCAATGGTCAATCTTCTGTGAAAATCATTAAAAAACTTGCTAGAGATTTAATTGGAGCAAATTTAACATATCATTTGGAAAAACTACAGCCGAGTAAAGTATCAAAAAGACTTACAGGTGATGCTCTTGTTGAAGCTGGAAAAACGGTAATATTATTCTTCTTCTTTAAAACAAAATTGTACAAAATGATGGATTTGGTTGAAAAAGACTGTTGTTTTGAATCGTTATTGATTGAGTTTACTGTTTTATTACAGTTTTCATATATGTTTAGTTTTATGAAGTAAATACGAATTATCGTCGCAATGACATTCAAGATGTTATAATTTTATTCACCGATGGACATGCCAACGACCATGAAAAAGTTGTTCAAGAGGTCGATCTACTTAAAGCAAGAAAAATCAAAATAATAGTGATTTCTTTCGGGGAGTTACGTTCTGTTGTTGATGCTGAATGGGACAAGATTGTAAACGAAACTTATCTTTTCATGTCAACACTCGAACCATTGTCTTTTTCATCTCTCTTCAATAGTATCTGGGAACCAATTTGTTCGGAGGTGTACTACAGGAAAAACTGTAAGTTAGTGTGTAGTTTCTCATAGAGATAATACTTATTAATATCAAATAAACTTTTATATCGTTTTTTGTCTTCAGTTCATGCATGTTATCGAAACCAAATAGTACAGAGGAAGAAAAATCTTTCACATTAACTAAATATAAGTGTTATGTTATGTTATACTAAATATAATTTATTTCTAGTTCCACCACCTTCATTTGAATGTAATGATAAACCACAAGACATTTACTTTGTTGTTGATGGTTCAGCCAGCATTAAATATACTAACTTTCGAAGCGTTCGCAAACTTCTCCAAGATTTAGTTGTTCTTCTCACAAGACAGAACAACAACCTACACATTGGGATAATGCAGTACAGTGAAGTGAGTAAGAACGAGAAGATTTTGAAGATGGAATACCATACGAGAGAAGAGATTCTTTACGCAGTTCAATCAATCAAATATCATGCAGGCCGTAAAACTTATACTGGAAACGCTTTAAGCAGAGTCAGCACAGAGGTAAAGCAGTCTTTTGGTACAAGGCATCGTATTCATTGGTCATACATTTTATAATTGTTTGTTCTAGTTGATGGTCCAGGTCAGTAGAATCCTGAGATCGACTGTTGGTGTTGCTGTCGACTAATAATTTGCCATCCTTAGCAGTAATCTTCTTCAGACTGAAATGCCAAAACATCAGTTAAGAAAAACACCAACAGTAAAATGTCTTTCTCGGGATTGCATTAACCTGGAAAAGCACTTTCCAAAAATATATGAAGAGGCTCCCTATTTCAAACCTTGTTTTTTATGCTTTTTATTAAATGATTACATACTGTTGTTGTATGTTTATATTTCCGTTGGTTCTAAAATTTATTCATTGAAAAGTTATCATGCTTGCTACAATAGTTGTTATAAAAAAACTTTACTTATTTTGATTTCTAATAGGTATTCAACAAACACGGAGGGGACAGGCCATTGGTTAATGATACTTTAATTCTGATGACAGACGGCCAAGCACATGATTTATCGCTGGCTCATCAGATGGCAGATGCCTTGAAGTCACGTCGAATAAAGATATTGGGTGTGGCTGCTGGAAAATTAGAACAAATAAAGCACTTTAAAGACGAACTCGAAGAAATGGTGACGAGCAAAGACGACATCATTACTGTAGATTTTGTTGACTTGGCAACATATGCCACCAAATTACTACGTATCACATGTTAATAAAGATCTCTCCTTTTCACATGACATCACATTTTTTACATAACATCGAAAACTCCTATTCTTAAAACGATTTTAGCTTATTTCCTTAGCGTGAAGTATTTTTCTTGAAATTTAACAATGCGTAAAAAAATGATTAATTTGACCGTGTTTACATTTTTGCGTTGAAAGACTGGGGAGGAGGCGTTGGCGAACTCAGTCAATTGAATCAAATTGCATGCATTCTCAGCACGAAAATGTCCTCACGCGTTTCAATAGCTTTGTTTGGCTTCGGTAGAGCTGGTCAGATCCATTTCAAGAATATATATAACAATAAACGGGTCCACCTAAGATTTATTGTCGAAGAAAACACAATTGTTGCTGAAAAATTTGTCAAGGATTATGGTTTGACTGGTACTCAAGTGTGTCATTCTACTGAACTAGCAAATGTTCTTAATGACGAGAGTCTTAGAGCTTGTATTATTGCTACGCCTACAGACAGTCATGAAGCTCTTGTGCTTGCTTGTCTTGATGCAGGAAAGGCTGTATTTTGTGAGAAACCTTTAGCAAACAGTGTGGAAGCAATAGGTATAAATGTTAAAATATACACAGATATTACACGTGTTTAATAGATAGGCAATCAATCTCATGCAAAATGTTCACATTCACTTTTAAAAGGAATAATTTATACTTTTCCATTTTTCCCACTGATAAACAATGGAAAACAAGAAATTTTTTTTATCTTTTTCTTAGCTGACTGTTATGACAAAGCAAAAAGTCTGAAACTACCTTTGATGTGTGGTTTTAATCGTCAATTTGATCCAGGACTTAGAGAAATCTTTGATCGTGTTAAAGCAGGAGAAATAGGTCAAGTCCAAATGGTAAACCAGCCGTGACTACCCTCTACCACCAACTGAATACCTTAGGAACACAAAAGGTATATACCATGATACTGCAATTCACAACATTGATCTTGTCACTTGGCTTTTTGGAGAAAAACCACAGACCATCTTTACCACAGCTCATGCTTTTTTACCTGAGATTGAAGCAATAAATGATGTAGATACTGTTGCAATTTGTATGAAATTTAGTAGTGGTGGTATAGCTATGATTGACATATCCAGGTTTGCAAGTTTTGGATATGACCAAAGACTTGAAGTTTTTGGAAACAATGGAATGCTGACTCAACATAATAATCGAGCGACCAATGTTGAGCTTTCTAATCAAGATGGAACTACCATGGCTCCTATTTACTCCTCATTTGCAGAAAGGTTTTCAATGTCATACATTCTTGCCATTGAGCATTTTGTGGATTTAGTTCAGGGAAAGTGCTCTCCTGAGATCACAAAAGAATCTACTGTTTTGGTTCATGAGATTATCAAGGCTTGTGAACAGTCTTTGACTACTGGGCAAGCTGTTACCTTGGTATCACGCTAAAGAATTGTATCTTAGTTAAAGTGTACTGAACTGGAAAAGCAACGCATATATGAAACAAAATATAATCATAAATGTAAACTTGATTGTAAATTTTTTAATATCCTGACGTTGTATAAATTAATGACGTTTGCCTTGTTTTCATCGTCATGGCGGTCTTACCTGTTTCGATGATCAGGTAAAACAAGAACGTGCCTCGCATCGTTAATCGTCATAGAAAAATTTCTATGGAAATCATTAAATTACGTTATTCGTTGTTAGAAAGCGAACTTGGCGAAGTTATTCTACCGAAATAATGACAGAAAGAGTAAATGTGGCGCTATTTGGTCTTGGCCGTGCCGGTAAAATTCACTTTAAAAACATTATTGATAATACTCGAATTCATTTAAAGTATATCGTAGAAGAACGTCTTGAAGAAGCGGAGAAATTTGTAAATGAATATGGTTTGACGAACACTAGTGTACTTCCTGGTGAATTTATTAACACTGTCCTAGAAGATAACTTTCTACAGGCTTGTGTAATCGCAACGCCAACACAGACTCACGAGAAGCTTGTAATGGCAAGTTTGGAAGCTGGCAAAGCAGTGTTTTGTGAGAAGCCTTTGGCTAACAGTGTAGAAGCTATTGGTTTGTATATTCCACATAACTTGTTTTTTTCTAGACCAACTTTAATTTCGTTATTGGGTTAATCTTAAATGCGCTAAGATGACTGTGTGGCTGACTTGAGTCCTATATTGTTTTGGTAGGTTAAATATAGGTTATTTCTTGTAGCAAAATGTTATGATGAAGCTAAAAAGAAAGGTTTACCTCTGATATGTAGCTTCAATCGTCGTTTTGATCCTGGTGTGAAAGAAATTGTTAATCGCACAACATCAGGAGAATTGGGACAGATTCAAACTGCTAAGATGACAAGTCGCGACTCTCCTCTTCCCCCTTTGGAATATCTCAGGACATCAAATGGAATATATCATGATTGTGCTGTCCATGATATTGATGTGCTCATGTGGATATTTGGGGAACGACCTTGTAGTGTGTATTCAACTGCACATAGTTTTATCAAAGAAATTGAAGAAATGAATGATGTTGACACTGTGGCAATAGTTTTAAAATTTCCCAGTGGTGGAATTGGTTTGATTGATATTTCAAGGTTTGCTTGTTTTGGCTATGATCAAAGACTTGAAGTGTTTGGAAAAAAAGGAATGTTGGTACAACACAACTATTCACCATCAACTGTCGAGTTCTCTGGCAAGAATGGATCATCTACCGGTAGAATCCATCACTCATTTCCAGATAGATATGAAAAATCGTACATTCATGCCCTTAATCATTTTGTTGATGTAATTAATGGGAATTGTTTGTCAGAAATTACAAAAGAATCAACATTGCTTGCCTGTGAAGTTGTTGATGCTTGTGAGAAATCTCTAAAAACTGGACAAGCCGTACTGCTCTAATGTGTTCAAAACAATCTATTCTTTATTTTTATTAATTAGTAGTAGTCTCTGTTGTTTTTGTATTAAAATTAAATGCATCTTGTCAATATAATATAATTTTATGTTTGCATACAATATAGCTTTGTAATGATTGTAGAAAATCAAATTTTTGGGTGATTATCTTTGCCTTTACTAAAAATGTACTAAAAAACAAAAAATAATACATTAAATCATGCAGTAATGTGTTACGGGGTTGTTTAAATTCAAACTTTCCTTCCACCTAGGAGAGAAAAAGTGATAAACAATTTATGCACATGATTATACTAACTTGGGCAACCTGATTGCGAAGGACCTTGTGCGGCCGTTACACCATCTGGGCAACAGCCCCATCTTGTCGAAGCACATGCAATACCTCTGACAAGCAACGTGTTTTTCGATGCTGAGTCTGAAAGAAATTAAGATAATTGGCACGTTTAATCGCTTGACAATCCCAAGTTTTGTCCTAAATGATCCATTTTATCGAGAGAGTCGTTTTTCACGAGGAACTTCAAAAAAAGTCTGTGTGACATGCTTTGATAAATTACATGGTCAAGTCTCGCACGTTTAAACTTTATTTTGAAATTCTTGCTGTCATCTGGTGAACACTTTCTTCTTTGCGTGCGTACATGGAGTCTTCATTTCGACAACAATGATTAAAGGTTGGTCATTTTAATAAATTCCCGTTCAAGTTTGTAGTTGTACAATATGAACAAGGTTACTTATTAAAATTTTTCATATAGTTTAAGCTTTACATAACAAGGCGTATAATGCATGGAAGAAACTGTGGTGGATTTAAAACTATAAATGAGAAATCTTTTTTGATGACAAACCTTTGAGGTTGTTTATAACAATGCTCCTAGGAGCAAGTTATGGTGACTGTAATTATAACTTTTATCTTGTCTTCATAGGTAATTAGCTAATATAAATTTTACTATGATTAAATGTTACATGGCTGGTCTGGGAGACTACAAATATCTGGGTATTGCTCTTTATTTAAGATGAATAAGAAACATTGTTTTGTGTTAATATGTTATCATACACGACTGGCTTTCTAGCCAGTTGTGTACAAATCAAGGTACAAGTCAACTGTTAAGGCTCAGTTTGTTGATAAGGTCAGTTTACCAAACACAAACAATGCTAAGTAAGTTGATAACTAGCAAAATGTCTCATAAAGAATGTTCTAAGTTTTATCAACAAAATGTCTGATTATTTGTAGTTTGAGAGCTGACCTTGTAGGATTTGAGTTAAAAAAATATTTACCTTCACAAGTTTTTCCATTATATCCAACTGGACATGCACATGTAAACTCCATATCATTTTCAAAGCATGTTCCACCATTTATACAAGGATTCGGATGACATTTGGAACGAACTGTCAATCCATTGAATTATTGAAATAAACATGAAGTTTAAAGAATACATTCATGTAAAAAATAAATATTTATAATAATTTATGTAGAAAATACACAGAGTGTGAAATTTGCAAAAAATATGCATTTCAAAAATAAGTTGATTAACCTTCACAAGTTGGTCCACTAAAGCCAGTGAGACATGAACATTTATCACCACTTAAACCAGGAGAACATGATCCACCATTGTGACAAACAAATGAATGACAATGGTCTTCCTCTTTAGAAAAATATAAAAACTACAAAAGTTTAGACTTCATCCTAGCAAAACGTTAACATAAATAGAAACTAACCTCCGCAATGCATTCCTTTATAACCTGTAGGGCATAAGCATTTTGTACCAAGACCAAAATTTGATGTGCATGTTCCTCCATTTAAACATGGACTATTTTCACAAGGATTTAAATGATCTTTAATCAAATGGAAATGAATATTATTCATTGTCTGTGTTTTTTGTAGAAGTAAATTTTGTTATTTCATATGAATAAATATGTTATTATTGATTTATGTAGATGTCAACATGTTTGAAGTTATGATAGATATTATTAACCTTCACAGTTTGTTCCTTTATAAGGTTTTGGACATTCACATCTATAGTCACCAGTTGTATAACTTTCATGACAAAATCCTCCATTTTGACAGGGGTTTGGTTCACATTGTTTCTCTGCTACAATGATATATCTATGCATAAATTTGACGTGGGAATGTTTTTTATTGTACCTAAGCATTCCTACTTTCACATGTTCGTCCCCTGAATCCTCTGGTACAGGCACATTTAAAGACCATAGGCCCCAGATTAATACATGAGCCATCATTGAGACAAGGTTCTGAGTCACATGGGTTGACCACAGCTGTAGTTATCATAAAGAAAGACTTATAATTTATACATGACTAAACTTTAATGTGTTTAAATAAGTATGATTAGGTCCTTTTTCATATAAATGTAAAATTAGGAGAATCTCGTTTTATTCTTCTTTCATTTACCTTCACAGCTTACACCAGTAAATCCTTGTGGACAAAGACATTGAAAAGATCCTTGATTATCCAAACATGTCCCTCCATTATGACATGGGTTGACATGGCAACGACTTTCCACTTCATAAAAGGTAGGTTATGTTCAAACTGATAAATATATCAATATTTTTCAACTTACATACATACCTTCACAATGTTTTCCTGTATATCCTGGCTGACACAAACATGTCATCATTCCAGGCCTGTCTCCTCCTAGACATGTTCCGCTGTTCATACAAGGACTCAAATGACAATGATCTAATTCTGTGAATAATTTGCACGATAAATTTTATATATTTTCTGTCCACAAGTTTACATCACTACGTCATTGTTTGTTCTCAGGAGCATTATGACATGGTACCCTCCCCCTCCCCCCACCCACCAAGGTTTTAGTGATTTTTGAAATGTACATGTTACCTTCACAAGTTGGTCCTCTGTATTCTACTCCACAACTACATTCAAATCCTCCATTTATTTCTGTGCATGATCCGCCATTTTTACATGGGTTAGGTTGACATTTATTATGTTCTATGTCAAAATTGAGTTTGTTTCTTGTAAAAAGGCAACTTTCTGTGGAGAACTTTCAAACTATTTATTTCATGGTTGCCTGTGATTGAGATCCCTTACCTTCGCAATTTACTCCTTTAAATCCTTCACTACACGTGCATACAAATGCTCCATCAGCTTCGGTACAGACGCCTGCGTTTCTACATGGATTTGGATGACAATGGTTCTCCTCTAGACGTAATTTAGTAAACTTAAATTGTTTGTTTCGGATGACTGAAGTCATTAGTACGTATTACACCTCGAGATTGTTAAGGATATTAATGTACCTTCGGATGACTGAAGTCATTAGTACGTATTACACCTCGAGATTGTTAAGGATATTAATGTACCTTCGGATGACTGAAGTCATTAGTACGTATTACACCTCGAGATTGCTAAGGATATTAATGTACTTTCGGATGACTGAAGTCATTAGTACGTATTATACCTCGAGATTGTTAAGGATATTAATGTACCTTCGGATGACTGAAGTCATTAGTACGTATTACACCTCGAGATTGTTAAGGATATTAATGTACCTTCGGATGACTGAAGTCATTAGTACGTATTACACCTCGAGATTGTTAAGGATATTAATGTACCTTCGCAGTCTGATCCTTTAAACCCTGCTGGGCATATACATTCATAACCTTCTTTGATCTCATTACAAGTTCCTCCATTTTGACAAGGATTTAGCTCACAGTGTGCTAATAAACATAGATTGTGTATCATAAATTTATATGACGGACATCAAGTACATTTCTTCATCTTTATCTTACCATCAAGATCTTCTACTAGAGGATTTACCTCGCCATTTAAATGAAATGCAGGATTAAACATGGTTTCTTGTGCTTCACCAGGATATGCATATTGTCGTGTTGTCATCTGTCTATTATTGTATAAGGATGGATATTTGCTAGCTAAAATGTTCATGATACGTGAGGAGTAAGGTAGTGCTAATGGTGGTCGAGGTATATGTGTTGTTACAATCGTTCTTTGCGTCAATGGTGCTGGTTTCATCCATATGTAAGGTCTGTTACCAAAATATCGTATACGTGGTCTTGTTATGAATTGTCTTTTTGTCTCGTTGGCGTTGTTATGTCTCGTGTGATTTATTTGATGTTTTAGTCGTATATTCGAGTTTCTCGTGTGATCTTTCTTTTTTTTGATTCTTTCCTTGCCAGCGACATTGTTGATCAAAATCAAATATATTATCGTCAAAATAAAATGAAAACGTATATTTCTCATTATCGTACAGTCATCTGTATTTTCTTGATTTGTGATTGTCAATGATACATTTTATAAATCACTGATAATTTTTCGCTAGAAAAATTGATGGATTCTTGATATAATTAAGTTGCCACCCTCAAGTACCTGTAATATAATCCACTGATTTGTGCTTGTGGTGTATCTTTGCTAACTTTTTATATTCATGATTTATCGTCTTGATTTTTATGGTCATTTTATCGTACTTTTATGAAATATGGTCATTTTTTTTGAATAATTCTGTCATCAGCTGTATTGCGTATTTTGATAAAAATACAACCAATGTTATTCATATTTAATAAGTAGTGGGAAGTTAAAACAGTATTTTATTATTCAATTGTTTTAATAAATTTTTAGGAGATGTTTTTTTGAATGATAAGCTTAAGTAATATCACCAAGACTGAGATATTTCTGTGTTTTGTCCTTTACATTGTTATTGCAAAATTTGTGTTGTAGTTTTTCTTTAAAACCTTCTCGTACCAAAAAACTAGATTTTTGTTGTCATATTTTTATTTAGCTTGACGTTTTCTTTTACCATACGTGATTTCTAATGCATTTTGGGTAAGATCTTTGTCTAAACTTCTGCGATTTTTATAATTCATTCATTGAAGGCGTCTACTGAAGGTTTCTTCATCATTATCATAGTGATGATTGCTGGTTCATTTTGTTGGTTGTAGTTCTATTGAATTTTTAACTTGTTTATAAAATGATCGCCTTACTGCAAACGAATGAATTGTTTGTAGGGACTCTGTTTCAAAACCAAAATTCGAAAATTTTTCTCATTGAAAAGTGATTCGTTTCTGGACTTGACATGGTTGTAATCTTCTGTTTTCGTTTTCATCTTCAATATCAAGTTTTCAAATGTAAAATGGTGTCAATATTGCAGCTTGATTTACTTGAATATAGCTTTGGTTTGTAGCTCAAGGGAATACTAACTCTAGATGATGTCCAAAATGTATTGGAAATGTATCTGAAAAAGAAAAGTTTGATCTATATTATTTAATTAAATTCATTTTGTGTATAAAAAGACAAGATATTCTCTCTGTAATGTTGAGTTCACACAAAAAAATGCTCCTTTTACAATCATTGTTTACTCATGCAATTCTTGCGTGCAAAAAGTCCATGATGATGATTACAGTTCCCATTTTCACAGACACAAAGGCATTGTGTCTCTATTTACCTTTCAGTTTCCCCACACATATAATATTTGACTCGTCCTGACATTGTTTTCATATAGAAGTTTGTTTGCGCACGAATTTAAACCTTTTGCATTCATTTTATCTTCAACACAGAGACCGTCCCTGAAGAAAGGATTTGGAATACATGGCGAACTAAAGCCAGAAAAGAAATGACAGCATACGTTGTTGTTGTGAGTGTTTATTTTTCAATTTTTTAAATATTCGCTGTTTTTTCGTTACCCTTCGTGTTCATGTCAATGGTTTACTTTTCTTGTATTGAAACATTAGAATTCATTCTTGCTTATCATCTTACTACTTTATAATTAGCAACTATTATAAACTAACCTTCGCAATAATCGAGTGATTTGACCACCACTTGTGAAAAACAGTTGGTAAGAATTAAAAATTACGAATGAATATTCCGTATCCATGAAATAAATAAATCAGGAAAATGGAAAGCTTTGTCTTATTCATATATTAGACAAATCCACCACCCGTTAAACATCGTTCCTTCTGTTACTTCATTAATAAATTAACGAGGTGTTATTTGGAATTTGGAATTTATCTTTTGAGCGTTCTTATTGCAATTCCAATTTCATGATTTGTATAGTTTAAGGTTTTGTAAACACCCAATGATGCATTTATTTTGTTCAATTTATTTGACATGTTTTCTTCTTGTTTTAACCTCACATGTTCACAGTAAAATATCAAACATAAGAAAGAATGAAAACGTTAGATGGCAAAAGGAAGTAAAGAAGAAAAAACTGGACAGTAAAGTTCATTTGGAATATAAGAATTATTCGTCAGAGATCAAGAAAAGACAGTTATTATACCCACCATTGAACGTGTTTAATAATTATCCTTTTTTTAAGCCACCACCTATTCGCCATTTTGTTGTTCATCATCATGCTAGTGAGTTTAAATTACAGTATTTTATGTCTGTCACAGAAAGAATTCGAAATTGCTCAATTATATGACAAACGTAATATATATATAATCATATGAATCTGTATTTCTCAGTCCCTGTCGCCTGTGATCCTAATCCATGTCAGAATGCGGGAACTTGTACTGTCGTTGTCAAGGGTTACGAGTGCACATGCCAACCAGGATTTATGGGATCGCATTGTGAAGGTAAGAAGAGAATTAATTAATGAATATAGTTCTCGTCTTCACAAACATTTTTTTTTTGTTTTGTCTGCAGTGCGAAGTCAATGTGAACCCAACCCATGTAAAAATGGAGGGACTTGTTATGATGTTGGTACTGGGTACGAGTGTACATGCTCACTTGGTTTCAAAGGAAGTTCATGTGAAGGTAGGATAATTTTCTATCCAGGAGGGGGAGAGTGGTTGTTTTATAGTTTAACATAGTTACCTAGGGAGGAGAAGTTCATGTGAAGGTAAGATAATTTTCTATCCTGGCGGGGGAGAGTGGTTGTTTTATAGTTTAACATAGTTAACTAGGGAGGATTTCATTTTGAGAGATTATTTTAGATAAAAACAAGTGTCATCCTAATCCTTGTGAAAATGGTGGGATATGTACAGGAACTAATGACATTGATGGATTTGAGTGTACTTGTAGAGAGGGATACAAAGGGAAGAGTTGTGAAGGTAAGGGATAAGAGTGAACACATGTTTATTAAGGTAAGATTACAACTTTTCAATGTATTTTTAGCTGTGAATCAATGTAGTCCAAATCCGTGTAAAAATGGTGGATTGTGTGTCGAGAAGGGAACTAAGTACGAGTGTACTTGTCCTTTTGGATACAAGGGAGTAACTTGTGAAGGTGAGAAATTTTTATGTCATTTGCTCACAAAGCTTTTATTCAAAAATACGAAAAGGCGTATATTTTTCTAAAATTTCTTTCTTGAATTTTGTAGAACAAAGCAATTGTTTCTCGACGCCCTGTCTCAATGGTGGAACATGTGTTGAAGAGTCTGGAGGATACAAATGTAATTGTCCATATCACTATAGTGGAGTCCACTGTCAAGGTTAAAATAAAAATATCTTACTGGTTTTTTTAAATATCATAACGATAAAATGGATCAACTTTTTCAGAACACCTTTGTCATCCGTCACCGTGTCAGAACTCTGGAACATGTATTGAAGAAAATGGAACATTTCGATGTGTTTGTCGTATTGGTTATCATGGACATAATTGTGAATGTAATTATTGTTGAATGCTGTTTTATTGCGTGATCAATGAAATCTTTATTTTTTTCATACATTATTGTTTAAAGTTGAAACTCCTTGTATCTCTCATCCTTGTCTTAATGGTGGTGTATGTATTGATATGACTGCTATTCATGATCATGATTTGGATGTACGTATGCTTACTCCATCATCTATGTATAAAAATGGATATTATTGTAAATGTTCTCCTGGTTACACTGGCACAAATTGTGAAGGTATTGTGTATCAATATGTACCCCTCATATTCATCAATATATGTGTTGTAAATCCAGTGATTTTGATGGTTTTCAGACGATTCATGTGGTCGTTGTCACTCTTATGCTGAGTGTGTTGATAACAAGTGTCGTTGTCTAGATGATTACCATGGTGACGGGATACACTGCCGCAGTAAGACATTTTGTCGAGGTTGCAATCATGTAGCCAAATGAACCCAAAAATGAGCTCTTTTGCTTTTCAGAAAACGTCTGTCACCCGAATCCCTGTAAGAATTCTGGGAGATGCGTTGAAGCTGAAAATAATTTTGACTGTGACTGTCCATCTGGATATACAGGACCTCTTTGTCAAGGTGGTTGATAGTAGTGTTGTTTTCTTGTATAGTCATGTTTACAGTTTGATGTTGTTTTCTTGTATAGTCATGTTTACAGTTTGATGTTGTTTTCTTGTATAGTCATGTTTACAGTTTGATGTTGTTTTCTTGTATAGTCATGTTTACAGTTTGATGTTGTTTTCTTGTATTGTCATGTTTACAGTTTGATGTTGTTTTCTTGTATAGTCATGTTTACAGTTTGATGTTGTTTTTTTATTCTTTTTTTGTCTTTCAGTTCGTCGGTTCTGTTTTCCTAATCCATGTAAAAACGATGGTGTTTGTATTCCTTCTACACAAGGTTATTCATGTTCTTGCAAGAGAGGCTTCAATGGTGATTCTTGCTCAGGTTAAGTTATCTTTGACGAAGTGAAAGTTTTGTCGCCATTTATTGCATGTTCTCCGATTACAATTTTTTTAATTATGTCAATAATTTTTTTTATACAGATAGTGACGTTTGTCAACCTAATTCTTGTGTTAATGGTGGTACATGTCGTGTTGAGAACAACGAAGCCGTATGCACCTGCACTGAACAATATGAAGGCAGACGTTGTGAAGGTAAATATTTTTAAGTAAACTTTAACTTAACATATTACATCATACACTGAGCATTGCGAAGAAAGTCGATGTGTTTGTTGTAATCAAGATTAGAACGTTTAGAAGACTTTGCATGCTGGGCTAGGAGGTGATTTGTAAATAAAAAAAGATGTTATATTATGTTACTATAAAAATGTAAAATGTTGTCTTTTTTCAGTTGATACTCGCACTTCAAAGTCTCAATGTCATCCTAATCCTTGTCAAAACGCGGGTACGTGTCATGAAAATGATCCTGGATACGACTGTTATTGTGCAACTGGGTTCAAGGGACCTCATTGTGAAAGTATGACACGTTTCTCTTACTGAAATTCTTTCATTTTTAGTGTTATGTTTCCTATGATTTTAATGTCATAATAATATAAATTATATTTCTATGATTTCTTTGTTCAAAGAAAAGCCAGAGAAAGTAAATTTTTACTCCTTGATAGAAGCAATGTATTTTGCTTTTTTTCAGTCAATGAATGCGAGAAGTGCGATCCCTATGCTATATGTGTCAGCGGTCAATGCAAATGTCGTATTGGTTACATTGGTAATGGTCATGGATGTCTTAAAGGTAAAGATCATCATATATGTGTATTTATTGATGACTTTAGCTGTTGTATTTACATGTTTTCTTCTTATTTCAATCTACTCAATAATTACGTAGTTTATAAGCACTAGATTTCTCTAAGGTGATAGTTAATGAGGGCGAAAAAAGGATTGTTGTAGTTTTCTTTAATTTATTGTTTTATGCATTTGTTGATGTGATATTATTTTAATGAAAAAACGAACGACTCTCGCTCAGTGCATGTTTAGTTATTTTAATTGAATTTTTGATCATTCTTCCCTTGAAAAAATTATATCTTTGAGTCGTTTTTATTGTCAATTTTAGTCTTCCCTAGAATTAATCTTTAAAATAAACACTCAAGTTTATGGTTAAAAATAGATCTAAGTAAAACGCGACACAACAGCCTTGTTTTTTCACTACTTGCTATCTAAGGAGAGTTAGATGGTGATTAAGAGTATCCTAGCATTTGCAATAAAATAATTGTATGATTCTACTAATCTGTCTTAGATCCTGACTCTGACTGTAACAGTTGTAGTCCCCAGGCTTCCTGCAAGAATGGGATGTGTGTATGTCTTTTTCCATTTATAGGAAACGGTCATACATGTTATTCTTGTAAGTCGACCATAAAAATTGTTTAATTCATCTTGTAGTTTTCATGACGTAATGCCTATTTTTCAGCCATTACTTCACCTCCACCCGCGCCTCTGTATTCAACCTGTACGTATTCTAGCTGCCCGTTTCCTAGTCAATGTTATGGAAATATTTGCTTATCAAAAAGGTTTGTATAATGGTGTATATATAGATTGTTATAGTCCTGTTCATCCGTTCACTCTATTAAAATTCTATTATAATTTAATGTTTAACTTGACAGATCACAAATTATGAAAAACGTTCTATCCACTATCTATCACTCAAAGAAACGTCAAGATATGAGACTTGCCAAGCTTAAGGCCTAAGAAATTCTGATGTCTCTTGAAATAATCGTCTAATGTTCTTATTTTAGCAAGAGGAACCAATAATAATTTATGGCTTCTTCAAAACATACTGAAGTGAAACAAGGGAGTATCGTTACATGTTTGTAGATTTAAATTGTCCAGTATAGTGAAGACCTGAGAAAGAATATTGATGTCGGTATTGACTGACGTTTCAACATCCTTAGTGATGACTCTGAAGATAACTAATAGAAAACATCAGTCAACATCAACAACAACAGTTCTTTTCAAGACTCTACCAACCTGGACGATTTACATCTACAAACATGTATCAAAACATACTGTTATGGTCATTTAATCCTATTTTAACAACAATTAGTGAACTCAATCTTATCCTTGCTAATGCACGTTGTCTTTTGTAAAAACTTGTGATAATTTTTAAGTGATAAAATGCCCTTTGAATTAACCAAATGTTGAAACAATAATTTTCTCTGCGAGTCAAATTTTCTGGGCAAAAGTTGAAGTAAATAGAGTTAAAAAAGAATTGATGTAATCTGTTTGTTACCTGTCTAATATGTTATTATTCATTATTTTATACCTGTAAAAACAATGACAAGCTACTGAATTTTTTTAAAAAATTTAACTATTCTCTTTCTTGGTATACAAGAAACACTCTATTTAACAGTTAAACAAAGAATAAACGATTCATCATGGCGAAATATTCGCTACATCATAGAGCAAGCAAAAGAAATCTTTTGGGATGTTTAAAATTTTATTTTTTATTTATTGCATTAACGTTTAACTGTTGTGCTGTGAAGGAAGGCAGGATTACACAAAGATTAATTAATAAAATTGGGAATTATAGCAAAAAATTGTCAGCAACGCGATCCAAAGATGAAAGGAAAGTGCGACATAAAAACATGGAGGTTGTTGCATCATCGTTGATGGCTAAAACTCAAACAAAAGTTTACAAAACGAACGCCAATAAATTGGTTGATAAAAATGGAATCAAACGAGATAGTTTTACGACTATTCCTGAATCTTTTCCCTTTAAAATGATAAGCAAACGGCACTATAATAACGAAAATATTCGTTATATACCTCAGTTCTATCCTCTCTAATATGAAGTACATATCTCAGCCAATAGCAATGGCAATTGAAATAGCAAATAAATGGAAAGTACAACATTATCACATTCATAAAGATTGTAAGTTTATTTTACAATACAATTATTGCATTATATATTTTTTAAATTTCCTTTAGGTAAGATCAATCATGTAATCCATACAGCTTTGTCTTCAGTGACAATCTTATCATCTGTTATAATATCATCTTTAGTTAAAATATTTTCTACGGGTATAGTGTTATCTGTATGGGTGTAATCTTACCTTAGAATAGCTTTTTTTCTGCAGGTATTTTCTACCGTAATGAAGGAAGCTACATGTTAATGGGGATAATTTTTTTTCCGCTTTAGTAAATCAAGATCCTTGCATGAATGGTGGTGTATATGCTTTGGCTCATCAAGATTATATATGTATTTGTCCTAAAGAATTTCGTGGCAAGAACTGCCAAGGTTGGTTATTTCAAACCATTTCAAATGGTCATCCCGTTTGTTTGTCATTTTCTTAGCAATGTTCCACAGTTATTTTATTTGCATCGTATGCCTGCTTCATTGCAGATAAAAACTACTGTTTCTCAGGCCCTTGTATGAACGACGGAGTTTGTAAGGAAATATCTCATGGCTACAAATGTTTGTGTATGCAAGGGTTTATGGGTAGTAACTGTGAAGGTATGAGTATTGCGGTATTCATGATGATTTTACGAAATACTTTACAAACATTTTTTTTAATAATAGAGAAGAACCCTTGTCAGCCGAACCCGTGTAAATTAGGGGGATCATGTGTGATATCTGATGAAGATGAACGTTTTCAATGTATCTGTAATCCAGGAAGCAAGGGCAAGCGATGTGAATGTAAGAATACGAAACATTAATTTATGGAAGAGATGCATGGAGAAAGCTGTTTTACTATGAACACGTGATGTTGAATCATGTCTTTGTAACTTTATCTTGCATATTTCCTGTAATTATGACGTAGTGGTCGACAAATGCAAACCTAACCCTTGTAAAAATTCTGGCACTTGTGAAGAAAGAGAAGAAATGTCCGTTTGTTTATGCACATCAGAGTATAAAGGTCCAACTTGTGAAGGTTTGCATCTTTACATTAAATTTTATATAAAGGTCCAACTTGTGAAGGTTTGCATCTTTACATTAAATTTTGTATAAAGGTCCAACTTGTGAAGGCTTGCATCTTTACATTAAATTTTGTATAAAGGACCAACTTGTGAAGGTTTGCATCTTTACATTAAATTTTATATAAAGGTCCAACTTGTGAAGGTTTGCATCTTTACATTAAATTTTGTATAAAGGTCCAACTTGTGAAGGTTTGCATCTTTACATTAAATTTTATATAAAGGACCAACTTGTGAAGGCTTGCATCTTTACATTAAATTTTATACAAATAACTTTTTGGCAACAGTTCTGTGTCACGTGATGTTTAGACGAGAGACAATGTTTTCAGCAACCATGTCTAAATGGTGGTACGTGCTTGGAGCATGACGACAGCTTTAATTGCACGTGTCCTGCTGGTTTTACTGGAGATATTTGTGGAGGTAAAAGTCTCGCATGTTTTTTTCCTGTCCATAAGTCATGTCTGCAATTGTCGTCATATGAATTTTCTGTGTTTTTTTAGAGCACGTATGCGATCCAAGTCCTTGTATGCATGAAGGAAAATGTACCGTTGAATCAGGACATTTTAAATGTCACTGTCCCCCTTTATATAAAGGCGATTTCTGTGAAAGTAAGCTGTATGCTTTAAATACTTATTGACTAATATCTTTAAACAATTTATATTGATTAATAAGTCGCTGTTAGATTAGAATGTAATGAATTAAATGTTAATGATTTAGTGTGTGTTATTTAGTTCCAAATCCTTGTCATGTTCGACCTTGTCTTAATGGGGCTCTATGTATAGACTCATTTAGTGGTTACCATAGCTCTCCCACAAACTGGAATCGTGGTTCTTTACATTATTTATGCATCTGTCAACCTGGTTTTTCTGGTTTTAACTGTGAGGGTATGATGAAACTATTACCTACAGTAAATTGTATTTCATTTCTTTTTGAGATTGAGATCCCGTAAAAGCAAGGTGAATAACATTCACTAAGGGTTCAAAGATCGAACTTTTCATACATAACGTTTATTGTCATTAATTCTCTCTTTACGGCAAATACCTGTCTCTTACGTATTGACTGTAATTTTAACTATTAAATTATTGTTTATTTTATTCAAACTGTTCATTTTTGGTATGTTATTCTTTTTAGTAAACGTCTGTAAAAAATGTCACTCGTTTGCAAAATGCGTCAACAAGACATGTATTTGTAATCCAGGATATAAAGGCGATGGTTTTCATTGTGAACGTATGTTAAGCAGTTTCTAAACACAATATTGTGTATTTATGATCTCTCACTTTATATGTTTGATAAAATTGAGTTTTTTGTTGCAGAAGAAGAAGGTCTTTGCGATTCAAATCCATGTAAAAATGGCGCTTCGTGTAAAGAGAATGTACAAGGAGGGTATGACTGCCTTTGTATTGATTTCTTTTCTGGACCAAAATGTGAAGGTAAGAACAACTCGTTGCTGCTCTTTAATGTGTACATATTTTCAATCATTTGTGTTCTGTAAAATTCTCATCTCTTCAATCCATGTTTTGTATTATCCACATTTATTGATTCTTTAATAATCTATTCTTGTTTATTAAAGAAAAGAACCCATGCATTCCTAGTCCTTGTCATAATGAAAGTGAGTGTGTAACCTTACAAAATGCCGACTACAGATGTGTTTGTGATTCATCTCGAAATAGCGGCAAGAACTGTGATATTAGCAATAAAAGTAAGCAAAATTTGTAACAAAAACTTACCCAGTTATATTGAAGTTTAACCATGGCTTATTGCAAGTTCATTGAGAGACTTATCGTTCATCTTATTTGTAATGTTTTGAAAAAACACATGCACGATTCATTTTATTTCTATAATCATTAAGAAACATATGGTTTTTGTTAAATAATGGTAGAAATCACTTTGCAATTGTTCACTTTAACTTAACCATCATTAAAGGATAATAAAAGCAACAGATTGTCTGCACTGTGTTTTTATTTGAATATATTTTTTTTAATTACAGGTGGTTGTTCTCCTAACTCTTGCCTTAATGGTGGAACATGTTATGTTGAAGAAAATATGAGAAGATGCCTGTGTAAAAAACCATACTTAGGCAGTAGATGCGAACAGGATCCCACTATTAGTAAGTTGACTTTTTTCTTTCTCGGTGTATTTTGATTTGTTTTTTTTACACGTGAATATGGCTTATTGGCAGTTGACAAATCCTTTAAAAACAACATATGTCATCCTAACCCATGTCAAAATGGCGGTGTATGTGTGGCAGTGACAAGTGGCTATGATTGTGAATGCTCAGACCAATTTACTGGTGCTCAATGTGAAGGTACAACGATTATTGTTCACAGTAAATGCTTTCTTTGATGGCGATGGAAAGTAATTGTATTTTATTTACTGCCATAATTATTTTCTCTTCTATAGTTGATAAGTGCTCTAAATGTGACATTCGTGGGGCACATTGCATCGCTGGAGAATGTCGTTGTATGAAAGGATACATGGGAAATGGTTTTCATTGTGTCAAAGGTGTAGAATAATTAACTCAGACAACTGACCCCATGAACTAAAATTTTAGTTATGAAACAGGAATTATCACCAATCGAAGCAATTCTCAACACTAGAGAACAATGTGCCAAGTCAATTCTGAGAACAATGTGCCAAGTCATGTCTGAAAGTTTTATTGATGTGCACACTGCAAATCTCTCTCGAGATACCATGTTTTGGGCGCAGTGCAAATCTCAAATATGATTAAAAAGTCAATGTTCAAAACATTCGTTCGGACACTTAAACAAGAAGAACTGCTTCATGTATACTTGACGCAGTTAAATTATTTTAGTTTGCAAGTACAATGTACTAACTCTATCATGAAGATTATGTTGATAAAGTACAAATCCTTTATGAAAATATCTTGTGTTAAGCGTCTGATTATCCCATAATTTTAAGTCAATTATCATGACATTCTTTGTTGATGTACCGCTTCATGTATACATGATGCAGTTCAACTCTTTTCGTTTAAATCTTAGAGTAAAATGTGCTGAGTCTCTGTGTTCTGAAGATTTCATTGATATAGTGGAAATCCTTCTTGAGATATCATGTTTTGGGAGTAATTCAAATTCCAAAATTTGATAAAAAAGACAATTTTCAAGGAATTCGTTGCTGAGACTGATGTTGAATCAAAACTCGAAAGTGTTGAGTTGTTGCTACGTGAGAAGTGAAGACACGAGAATTTTTCTCCCACATAAAACACAATCAAAGGTTTGAACACGATTTTGAAGTGTCAAATTTGAATCTCTGCAAAAATTAACAAAATTTGAGGGGAATTGTTTGCATGTGCGATGTTTCTTGTGGCCAAATTGTTTTATTTAAAGAATCTCTGCAAAAATAAACAAAATTTGAGGGGAATTGTTTGCATGTGCGATGTTTCTTGTGGCCAAATTGTTTTATTTAAAGTTTCTTTAATATTTAATGAACTAGCTGTTAGCATATTTAAAATGAAACATAAGATCAACTTTTACTATGTCCCGTCAGTATTTTTTTTTTAAGCTTTTTTTTATTTGGATAGTTGTCATTATAGCAGAGGGAAAAACTAAAGAAGTGAAAAAGGAGGATGACGAGAAGACCTTAAAGACGCGGTTTACTACATTGCAAAAAGAAAAGGTTAAAACTATCCACAGAACTGACAGTGGATTTCGTCGTACAAAACTTACGAGAGAAAATGAAAAGTCATTGTCTCAGTATTTGGGATCACATCGTATATTTAATTCGACGTTATTTAAATCTAGATCTGTTTCTCCAAGTTTATCGTCATTTATGAGCACATCCAAGCTACAAGGTGGTTCAATGAATACCAATAATATTACTCTTTTTCAAAGTGGATTAAAGAAAGCAACTAATCCTGTCTTACCATCACCTTTTGCACACAAAACTCCATCGTTATTTCCACAATCAATATCTAAAAAACAGTTTGCCCAGCAAAATAATCTCCTTCAAAATGGCATAGAAACAGAGAAAGTTTCACCTATAAATTACATGAAATATGATATGAAACTGATACCAAAATACTTCAAGTTTCTTTACTCCAAGACACCTGATGTCCATGTGTCACACTTACATTATCATCAGGGAGGTATGTTACGTCACAACATGACGTCATTAAGATAACATTCGTTATTTGGTTTACGTAGGTCTAATAATAAAATGTTTGTTTTGATGTTATTAACATCAGATTAACACATCCCGGTTATTCTTTTTGTGAATTTTTTATATCCAATGAATACATTGTTTTTTTTAACTAAAGCTTTTGACATAATTATTTTACAGTCAACCCTTGTCAAAATGGTGGAATCATGGTTCAGTCTCCTGCAGGATACTCGTGTGTTTGTCGTAAGCAGTTTACAGGCAAACATTGCCAGGGTACAGTGCTTTATATTATGAAGAGAAAAATTCATATTTCAAACAAATGGCATGCTCGTGTTTTCATTTAGAAAGAGATAAGTGTTACCCCAATCCTTGCAAGAATGGAGGTAACTGCATTGATCAGGGAACACATTTTCAATGTAGATGTGGTCACAAGTATCGTGGACTCATATGTGACAGTAAGCACTTTAAATGTAGATATGATCTTCGCACTTTGTTGGACAATTTAAGCAATTGTCTCATAAACCTGAAAAATTCAGGTGACTCAACGGGATTCGAACCCATGACCTCTGCGGTGCCGAATCCTGTTGAGTCACCTGAATTTTTCAGGTTCATGAGACAATTGCTTAAATTGTCCAACAAAGTGCGAAGATCATATCTACATTTAATTTCAAACACCCCACTGCATAAAAACATTCTTTAGTAAGCACTTTGTTAAATTAACACAACAATAAACATCCATGGTAAAAAAGATGAAATATTTTTTTAAATATGGAATATACTATGTTGAAAGGAATCATTTATTTTGTTTTAGTTTTGAATACCTGCATTAACAACCCTTGTGAACATGGCGCAACTTGTTTGGATTTGGTCAATGATTTCAAATGTATTTGTTCACTTGGTTATAAGGGAAAATTTTGTGAAGGTATAAATAGTTGAGTTGAGATAATTTCATTGACTAAGTTGACGTCTTGACGATTCTCCTCCCTAGAATTTGATTATTGCGATCCCAATCCTTGTAAAAATGGCGGAACGTGTTCAGGGATAGGAATGAACATAACTTGTAGCTGTTTACCGCAATATAAAGGAAAAAGATGTGAAGGTATGTCTGTTAGGTTTTTGTTTATTTTAAAATGTTTAGTTTATAACACTAAAGATTTTCTATATCATTGTTCATGAAGAACTCGATGTTTTTCTTAAATTTTGATGATCATAACCATGTGACAATATTTCACTTATATTTAAACTGTGTTTATGTATCCATTTTATTTTGTGGGGCCACGTACGTGTTCGCCCTGAGGATCTATTTTTATGGTTTGTGTTTCAGTTAAGAAAGTTTGTCTTCCCAATCCTTGTCGAAATAACGGAAATTGCATTGAGGAGAAGTCAAGTGATCCTTGTGAGTGCATGCCAGGATTTAATGGAAAATATTGCCAAGGTAGTATTTATACTGAAATTGCACCCGCGATCCTTTTGAGTTTCATCAACTTGTGAAAGAATGAAATGTTCAGTTTATTATTTTGACGGTCATGGTTATTTCATGTCATTAGAAAATGTTTGTAAACCAAGTCCATGTTACAATGGCGGTAATTGTTCTTTTGAAAAATCTCCGAGCTCATCGACATGGCTACCTATTTGTAAATGTTCATCTGTCTTTAAAGGAAAGAAATGTGAAAGTAAGTTTGTCTTCATTGTGTTTTGTTTTTTCTTTACGTCCTTCCGTACTTGCTAAATTTGCCTCTCTTTAATATGATCAGAATTTATGTGAACAGTGGTTAATTCATTAAGAGACTTAAGTCATTATTGATCTATGCATTCTTTGTTTTCTTAGTTCCCAACCCGTGTGCAGAAAATCCAGGCCCATGTAGTCATGGTTCGTGTTCTGATACATACAATAGTCGACGTGCAGATCTTTCGGTTGATCATTATGTATGCACGTGCGATAGGGGATATATGGGGTCACAATGTGATGGTAATATAATTTATTGATCATAGATTTAATAGAGTTGAGTTAGCATTGCAACAGTTCATATATTTATGTTTCAGTTCGTATTTGTGATAAGTGTAGCAAGAATGCAACATGTCGCAATGATGAATGTGTTTGTAATGATGGATTTCATGGTGATGGTTTTGAATGTCAAAGTAAGTTCAAATTATCTGTAAAAATTTTAATGAAAAGTTGTAGTTGCATGATCAGCGAGGGTTTGTTGACATGACATGCCAGAACGTGGGCTCAGTTTGTTGACAAGACATGACAGAACGTGGGCTCAAGATTATCTGTTTACTCTTTTCTAATCTTTCTTCAGAATTACCCGACCCATGTAATCCCAATCCATGTTAAAACTTTGGAATCTGTATTCCTGTAAAATCATCTTATGACTGCTGCTGTCCACGTAATTCGTTGGCTCAAGATGTGAACGGCAACTTTGATAAGTCTTTGATACAATCCATAGCGCCAAATGGTTATTCCCAAATTGTCTTACGTTGTTCCTTGTTGGCACGAGACCAACAATTTTTATGTTTTAAAACTAAATTTGTCAGTGATGAAACTAACCATCAACTTGCTTCTTTGTATTGCGGATATTGACGTGTCCATTGAGTAAAGAAAAAGAGTTTTCAAAATAAAACATCACTTAAAATTGTCAATGCGGGACTAAATCTTGCTTACCGCTACGCTACCGTAAACTGACATCTTATATATAAGTTAAATAAAAGTCAAGTTATTTAATTTTCGTCTCAATTATAGTTAGGGTTTGTGCTGTATGATTGTATTATTACAAAAATTGCATTAAATCCTGATTTATGAAGTTAAATTAAATGATATGAAAAAGTTACAAATTCCTCCCCAATCTTGCCATGAAATTGGCTGAAAATTGGAACTAGGTGACAAATGGTAAACATTTAAAAATGATATAAAATGATTTAAACAGTAAGACAATAAATATAGTTGCTTCCTTTTATTAAAAGTGAAATACCAAACATTTAAAGGAGTCATAAATTTTTTATAGTAGGCACATCTTATAATAAATATGAACATCAAAATTAATGTAAAAAGATGTTTTAAACATTAACAAAGTTCACAACTTTTCATGCAATTCTGTTTCATCCATTCACTATTTTTCTCACATTCGCCAGTCTTTGCCCATTGATAACATTTTATATCGTTGTTGCTGCAACCTGCAATGATTGTTTTATTGAGTATCATGATGTGTGTCAAGACTTTTAGTTAAGAAAATTAAACTTACTGCAAACATCACAGCTCTTTTTACAATACACTTGCATCCAAAGTGGGTTTTTTTGGCATTCACCAAGTTTGGCCCAACCAGGACAATTTTTATTTTCGTCCTGGCAGTCTAAAATGTTCAATTCTTAATATTAAATACTGTAAAATTCATGAAATGCTGTCCTCTATCCTACCTTTTCCTCCATAATCCCCTCTCAACCCTCGTTGTACATGAACTGGACTTTGATCAATTGGTGGTCCTTCAGGTTCAGTTATTGGTTCGTATTTTTTTTCATCCTTGTTTATTTTGCGTTGTTTTTCAAGATCCAACAAACTGTCACCAACACTAATATTTTCTTCATCTTCTTCTTTCTTCTTTTCTTTTTTCTCATTACTATCTTTCTCTCTGTCATTTTTTTCTCCTTCTTTACTCTCTTCTTTTATATTTTCTACAACTGTAGGCTCGTCTACATCACTTGTGTTTTCTTCTACGAAATGGTAGTCTTCCTCTTGAGCTAGTGTTTCCATGTCAACCATCGGAGTATCCTTCTCATGCACAACTTTTTCTTTTTCTTGTCTTTTAAAAACTTTCTTGTTCATTGTCTTGTTTTTCATCTTGTTTTTCCTGTGTTTTATCTAAATTTTCTTTACTAAATTCGTCGTACATTTTTTCCCATTCATTTTCCACCTCATCAGTGTAGTCACTTTCCTCACTTATTACTGTTTTACTTTCATTGTTTGTATAATCATTGTACTTATCAGACTGTTTCAGCGTTTCAGTACTTACGTCAATATTCTTATTGGTATCTTTTCCGTCGTCATTTATCGTGTTCCTGGTTTCATGCTTCATTCCGTCTTTTGTATTCTTTGCCAACGTATCACTGCTCCCACTGTCACCCACGTGTGCCGATTTTTGCTCTGTTTTCACCGATTGTTTAACGTTCTTGTTCCTTTTTCCTTCGTCGTTACTACGCAATTTTTCCTCTTTTACATCAGGTTTGCTATGTTCCGCAAAAGTACTGTCTTTGCCTCTAACTTTTGCGAGAAAATCTTTTCCAACGTTCGTTTCAAATATAACAACAGCCACAGCACAGCAGGCCACGATTAACGCACCAGAATAAAATAATATACGTACCATATCTGTTTTTGATGATACTGAAGATTTTGCTGGATTTTTTGTTTTTGTCATCGATAAAATTCTCGTTACTTATTTGAATAATTTCACCAGTAATAATAAAGTCTTGTTTAGACAGTGCAAATGAAAGGTTCATTCATTACGTTTTGTCATTAAATCCTGTTCAGATATTTGCCGTTAAGACAGGATCATATTACCAAGAATCTCGATTGTCGAACGACAAATGTCTTGATATATTTATAGTGGCGTGAAGACAATTTTACGTATCAATGAACAAGTTTAATCACTAAAAATTTATATGATAACATTATATGTCCTTTATTAAAAAAGTTTCTAATATTTTCCGATATACATTACAATAAGGAGTAAAAATAAACATAATAATCAGTCATGCTCTGATATGACAAATAAAAAATAACGCCCCTAATTTTTTTTAAAAAATTTTATAGCGGTTCATTTTGTATATAACATATTTATTTCTCATAACTTTATATCTTAAAATTTTGCATTTGTATTTTTAGCCAGACTGTTGAAAGATATTTGTGTCTCTAAATCGTACTTTGACGGATGGGAGAGTAAAAGGAAGATTATTGTTACAAAAATTTGATTTCCTTTTCATAAGGTGCGTGAGTTTCTTGAGTGTTTTAGTCATCTACCGCCCTTATTTTTTAAGACAAAGAGACATTATCTCAACAATTAGCCCTGTTTCATTGTTTGAATCCTGTACCACGCACGGCACGTGCGATTTAGAATATTATAAGCTATAGATCAGCAAGTTTCATCTTTATTGTTTTGAGATTAAACTTCGAGTTATTCATGAAAATTGACCAAGGAATTGTGAAACTTGTTAAGTTAAGAATTCTAGATAAACAAGTTTGATCAAACGAGAATAAATTACCATATAATAAATAATTAATTTCTGAGAACTTGAATTTTGGTCTAGATAGCGGGAAGTAGTTTAAGATAAGAGAGTTCGAGCTCTACTTTATTTACTCGAGACATTTTCGCACAGATTTCTCTTCCAGCGAGAGTTCTTTTAAAATTTATGAATATTTTAAAGGACTATAACCAAATTTTTCGTTTTTAGGAATGGGCTACTAAGTGTAGTCGCCGGAAATTTTTTAATGGGAAATATTTAATTTGAAATTTCTTCAGCGAAGTGTAAAATGGTATTACTACAGTGAAAAAGCAATTAAATTTTAATTTATCTTCAATGTGATATTGTTGGAACAATTTAATACATGGCTTCAATTTTTTGGAAGTTGCTTTTAAAAAATACAACACTGTCACTGTCATAAAACATGCTCAATTTTGATGTAGTTCATATTTTACATTCTTGTTGCTACCAGCAGTAGGTATAATGTATTTCGTGATTTTTTGTTGAGGGGATTAAGCTAAATAAGCAAAACTCAATTATTTTGCACCATATATGCATTAAAATGTGCTTATTATATTTTAATGCTAACATTATTTACGACAATTAATGCTCCAATCCCCAACAATAATCAATGAAAGAATATTTTTCCTCATGTCTTTGACTCTACATACCATAATAAAATAGGCACTTTGTCGTGGTGACAAATCTGAAAATAGTTCTAAAGATAGCAAATACCATAGTGAATGGTAAAAGTAATATAATAAGTTGATAGTTATTAAAAGAACTGTTTTAAGTAAAGAACTATTTTAGAACTATTGGGTTAGTGCTCTTTACCTAAAACAGTTGTATTAAAAACTATTAACTTATTATATTACTTTTACCATTCACTATGGTATTTGCTATCTTTAGAACTCTTCATACCTTAAAAATATGGATGTTTATTTTTAGCAAATCAATAAAGAACGGTGTAGATTGACTTCTTTATTTTACTTAGACGGATATGATAAAATTGTTAGGAAATGTTGGTACCTTGGTTTGTTAAGTACAAATATTCTTTGGTTTTCTACTTGTGAGGACAAAGAAATTTTGTCTCGGAACTTTTCTACTGTTTGATTGCCATCGCTCATGTTATTTTTTTGACTTTTTTTGTACTTTACTATATAAGACGGCGTTTTCTACCATTTTATTTTCTCAATAAATTTGTGTAAGTAAATTTTCAAGGAAGATTAATTGGAAATCTGGATCACACAAATTCTATAATACAATACATATGTTGGCTGTAAATTTATTTCTCAATGCAAAAAATTCTTCCACCAGGAAGAACCATAGAAGGTCCTCTGTGTGTAGGTGGGGATGGAACTTCCTGACCCAGAAAAATTGAATTTAGTTAAATTTTAGCATTGAAATGGTGAAAAATATCATCTCATATAATTTTACGATTTGTTGCAGGCACTTTTGTTTATAAACTTGTTCCACATTTTCTAATATAATCAAATATCTTGAAACTCAGCCAGGAAATACAACTTTTTTTAGCAACCGTAGTGACGTAATGTGGACAATCGATTCCCATTTTTTCGTTATAAAAGCACACGAGTTACAGGTAAAAGCAAGACGTAAACGAGATCTGAATATAAGAAAAGTATCACGAAATATATTAAATGTCGTACACTGGAATATTTTTAGTAAGTATTTGTTCATAATTCATTGTTATTCTTCGGGTTTTTCTCAGTTTGATCCTATCTGTCTACATACAACAACTTTATTTTTACTAACTATAAACTGATGTTTCAACCTTTTTTATTTACAAAAGATAAGGATTATAGATACAGTTCAATTGCAACTTTACTTGTTGCTTTGTCATGACTTACGTTTCTTATGAAAAAGATTCTTTTGCTTATAAACTTGAATATTGGCCCAGCTTCGTCAATGATGTAAGAGCAAGCTTCTTTTGTAATGGGGGTATTTTTATAAAATTAAAATTATATATAAAATTGCACGCAGTCGTTTCGTTGATTGTAAAATCACAAACATGAATGTCTTTGCTCGAAATATGTTATTCAGAACTTCATACAAGGTTTGGAAAACTTTTTGAATCTTTCGAATGTTTAAAATCAAAATTATGTTGTGTTAATTTTAGTTATATTTGCTTCATTTCTAAGGTAGTAATGGCTTATATCAAAGTTGAAGTCTCAACGATCCCCCATCTTATACTATACACCAAAGATACTTCGCATTTTCTCTCTTGAGGCTCATATTATGTAATTTTTTTGTTCATCTAGGTCTGTTTTCTTTTTCTTTTGGTAATTGATGTTATCAAAAGCAAACCATGCCAGATCAAAAATCAACCTAAACGAGGAAATATCTCATACTATAGAAATCATTTTATTTTTGTGAAACAACACCATCCACGAGGACCTAACATATCTGGTAGTCTTAAGAAGCCTAGTTCAAACACAAAGATTGTACCTGGCACTGTGAAGTGTCCATGGAAGTGGAGTGTTAACATTGACAGCTCTCGTAAGCCTAGGTCTATCGTCATTGCGAAATGCGACAACTGTGATCTCAGCCTTTGTAGAAAAGTTACCTATTTTCACACTGTTCTTGTGTTAAGAAATGACTGCAAAACTGGAGAAAAAGTTTGGCACTGGAAAGTTCGCGAATTTCCTATAGCATACGTCTATGATGTTTAACTTTTATTTAGCAACTTATACTTTAGTTTTTTAACTACATTCATAAATATTTCTGTCATCCATTTTTTATTTTTATTGTGGCTTGAGCACACATGATTAGCTATCTGTAGCTCTTGAAGCAAAACTTGACCAAAAATGCGCTTCCTACATACCAATAAGTTCGTTCTGACTGATTTTCTTTCATGCTGGTATTTTTTTTTTGCCAAATCTGGTGTTATAAACAAAATAACGGTAATTCAACTGGCTGTAAAAATGTACTCTGGGACAGACAAACTATATAACACTGATATAATTTTAGCATTGTTAGACAAAACATGCGTTATGCATATTAGCTAGTCTTTAGCATGACTACTGTTACTATGCAAAATTGGATTTTCAAAACGAGACGTGATTTTGGGCGAATTGAGGCTTCAAATTTTGTATTCTTGTTGCAATATTTAAGGTTTATTTCTGTGAAATTGAAAGAAGTAATTTACATTCTGGTAAATGCGTATAAATTTAATAAGTAAAGTTAATTTTAATTTTTTGTGTAAACAAACTTTCTTTAATAAATGTTTTAATGTACTCATTTAACATCTTTATATGCTGTTGAAATTTTCTTTATTTTTATCGAATAAGGTAATTCTTAAAATTTGCCTAAAGCAAGATTTTTACGTCCTGGTCATACAAAGGCTTAGACGCCCCCAACAGGAAATGTTCTTTGTTTCTTTTTGTACTAAGAAATCATTATAAAAAGTGGTTGATGAAACTTCCCAAAGTGAATATATATACAAGCATTTTCAACATTTATTATTAACCATGATGTAACAAACAATGAAATTAAATATGACTTACATCATGTAACATTAAATATCACTTACATCATGTAACATTAAATATCACTGCGATGCTGGGGGCATTCCCGGCAGGGAATAAATTGCCGACGGTTAAATTTTGTCTTCACAAATCAAAATAGTAAAAAATATGAAGTTACAAAGTTTTGACTTCTTTAATTGTAGCAATCGTTTTGTTTTTCTACACTTGGAAACTGGTTTCAAAAATGTACTTATATGAAATTTCAAAGTGTATGTGCTAATCACCAATAAACTCATCACAAGTTTGTATTTCATAAACAACATCTTATATTAATTACTCCAAAACAATTTGTCTTTCCATATAAAGGATCGTCTATTTAGAGTGGTTTATCATATATTGAGCTAAAAAGGAAATTGGTTAAATTCCCATAACAGGAAAAATTCGTGAATTTTTTTGTCTTTGGTAATGTCTATTTCATAATTAAGTTATCATGAAAATGATTTGTAAGTGAATGGTCTCTAAAATCTTTGGTGTTATTAGTTTTGTTGAATCTTGACTTGACGAATTTATGGTGAGTTGTATTTTGAAAAATTTTTACAAAATTTTTACAAATATTTACAAAATTTAAAGTTAAAAAAGCTTACAAAATAGGTGAATAACAACATTTACACTCGTTGAATCAATTAACCAAAGCTGATTGGAGTGTGTTGAAAAATAGATATTCTAGCAGAAATATAAGTTCAAAGGTTCACTTTCTCGGCTATGATTGATAAATCTATTATAAACTAGAGAAAATTTTGTCGATTGTTTATAACTGCAAACGGAAATGGAAACTTTTGATAACTTTAATATTTGCAATGTCTTCTTGCGTTATTTTATCGTTTGAAAAGCACGAGAACTAACTTTTCTCTTCGATTTATTCTCTAAAATAAATTGATACTGTCGCACTTGACGATGAAGGATTTTAAATTGCACAATGACAAATAAACCATTCACTCTCGCTTTCATTATTATGATGAACAAAAATTTATATCTAACATTGCCACAATGCTTTTGTATGGTCAGATTATTTAAATGAAATTAAAATAATGATTATAAAACTATTTTACATAAATTCACCATTATGTAATTGAGAAGTTCTAAAGTTCAAACAATTTCTTAACCGCGCGGAAACAAGTGGTAGACTGGAACCAAATTCACTAACGACAGCCGTAAGACAATGATGTATATGATGAACTAAACTCTAAGAAAAAGCTGGAATTTCTTGTGTTTACCACTTGAATTTTACTACATTCGGCTTCTTTATGCTGGGTATGAAGACATTCCTGGATAAATAGTTGAACTTATTCTCTATTGTACTAGAATATTCATGTTGGAGGTATGTTATAAAATAACATTTAATTAGTCCGGCATTTTTTATTTAAAATTATCTTATTTTATACGTTATCTGTCTTTGAAAGTTCTTCATTTGACTATATGTCTTTGTTGAAGCTTTAAAATGCTATTCTAGAACGAATATTTATCAGGAAAATTTTACAATAAAGCAATAATGTAAATAACTACTTGGGAAAATCCCGTTGGAACGTGCGTCATTTTAATGACAATATTGTCTTTCATTGCCGCTTCAGCGTTATCTACATTATTATGATTTATCGTGCTTCTAGCATGCTCGCATAATGTGGGGCGTTATCTACATGTATTAAAATTTATCGTGCTTCTAGCATGCTCGTTGTTTTATTTATTTTTGATAGCTGATGATGTGATTTGAAATTGAAAGCTTAGTAATTAGAAATATATTTTTCTTTAGTTTTATACATTGAAGTATTTCCATTGAAAGGGTAAAGGGCTGAAATTTTAATTTAAGTGAATTATTATTATTTTTTAGAATTAAATACTGTATGAAAATAAAATATATATAAATTATTTTCATCACTTATTAAATACAATGTTCTTACATAAAAATTTAAATAAGGTTTCATTTTAAATTTCTACATAAAATTACTTTCGTCAAAGTTGCATTATTAAGACCAACTGTGCTGTTAGTTTTCCTGAAAATTTAACTGACAACTAACTACCAAAATACTTCCTGGTATGATACGTACATTGTTTGATCTTATTCTTAATTAATTTGGTATACATTTTACTTGTGTAGTCAACTATTTAAAATGATTAAATTGATATCTCGTAATCAATTGTTTCATATGTCATTATCATTTCTCTCAATGCTGCAATTCTTGACTACTTTTGTGGTAAAATTTTGTCATAATTGCTGCAAGGCCTTTGGCAAGTTGTAAAGAATCTGAAAATTTGAAAAATTGATTTTTTTTTTATGATGATTACACTTTTGGAATTCATTCATTGAAATTGTCATTTTTTACATGTCTTAATTTTTTCTGTGGATGGCAAAACTCAATAAATGACTCCTTATGGTTTAGCTCTTTAGATCATACTTAGTAGCCAACAGCTTTATCAACAAGATTTTCAATGTTTCTAGTACTGTAACTGCTAGTACTATGCTACTACTATAAGCCTTGTGGTAATTATTCTAATATATATGCCTACTTATGAACAAAGGGTACGTATGACTAATATTTTGAAGAAAGTAATGATGCAAAGAAAAATTGTTATGTAAAAAGTTTTCAAATGAAATATGATTATAATTTGTTGTATGAATGTAATATTTTAAAATATCCACTTCAAAATGGCAAAAACACACATATTGTAGTAAAGTATTGTCGTATGATAAGATGAATACATAATTTAGAGAACAAAAATTTTTTTACTTGTACAAAACTACTGAAATAAACATATTATTTCTAAATACAATTGATGTTTTTTTTGCATAATTGCATTGTGTTACATGTAATTATGTTAAATCTTTATCTTATGTTTCTTTCAGAACTGTATCTACATTTAATGATTGAAAAATTAGAAAATTTGCTGCTGTGAAACATTGTTATTGAGAAATCATGGATGAAAACAATTTAACTCAAGCTCAATATAATCTACTTAAGGAAAGAGAAAACCTTTTAAAAACTAAACATAAACTTTCTACTCTTGGTATGTTGACTATTTTCCTTGACACACAAATGCTGACATTTTAAGTTTTTGTTAGTTGCTTTATAAGGTGGCATATGATTGACTATAGCTGAATATTTCATTGCCATTCTTTGAAGTTCCAGCATGAAGCTTGATTTTTTGTTATAAAAACATTTATTACTACTTACTGTTTAATAGAGAGATTTAATAATATCAATGAATCAACAATACCATTTTGTAGAGAATATATTAATCTTCGTAGACAAAAACTTTGTTAATTTTTTAATTTATGTATAATATATAATTTTTGATTATTCATTAACGCTACATTTAGTCTCTCAGATACAAGACATTTTGGCAGATACAATTTTTATTTCAAATGCACACATCAAAAAAATCACTCTGAAGCATGACCGGTTGAAAGTACTTTTTTAATGAATTTCTTGTGGAACAAAAAAAGTGGATCTTTTCTTTCTTTTGAAAACTTTGTAGTCAATTCAAGACAATAACTTTAGTTATAAATTTCTCACTCAAATTAATGATACAACAATTTTGTCAACAACACCTTCGATACAATTGAACATGTGACATGTTTCAATGATAGGAAGTCACGTGTTTGTTTACATGGATCATAGATCATTTAGAAAGAAACTTTGACATGACATTTTATGAAAAGATGATCAAGGTTATTGAATGGAACAATTAACTTGTTTTGGTGATAAAATACTTGCCTATACTGATGGTTTTAAATGTTTTTAGGTGAACAAAGAAAGTCAAAATCCACGATGTTGAAATTGTGGACAGTGAAATACTTGCATTGGTTGCAGATGAAGAACCTATATCTTTATCATGGGACTTTGAAACTCTTGGGATAAAAGAGGATAGTAAAAAAGTAACTCGTGAAGCTTTTTTGGTAAGAATGTAAATTGAGATATTTATTATTCTTTAATATCTATCATTTTTTTTGTCTCTACTTCTTTATATGGCCACATGTGTGTGAATATTTGTGTTTATACCTAGGAAAGACAAGCATAATTGTTCTGATATAATTTTCTTTTTAACAAGGATAATCATCTCACAAAAATTGACAAAAAACTTCGTGCAGTTGAAGAAGAAATGGCAAAAACTAAAATTTTCGAAAAACTAACTCTTTTGACCCATCTTTACATGAAGTAGTGGGTTGAAAAAAAGTAAGTGTTAGGCAATATAATCATGCATGTTCTTTATGGATATGTTCAAGTAAATATTTGTAAAAAATTATTTAATCTATTGGAAAGTTAATCTTTACTTTAGCACAATGCCATAAATAATATGTAATATTACGTTGTTAAAACGACCAGTTTGATGAAATGTTGTACATAACAGAATTGAGCAATACTATGCTACTCATATATTTCATGATAGTTGACAATATTGAACAAGAATATCGAACTGACTTTAAAAGTTCGAGGGAAACTTTAGGGTCTTGTTTCATTGAAAGGAAGATAGGAGAAAAAAGCTGACAGAGAATTTAAAATCAAATGAATAAAATTCTCTGATAATTAGTCTTCAGCAGAGCTAATTTTGATTTGTTGTCTTAAAAAGGAAGAAGATTATGATGATGTTAATGATGTTATGTTAAATCCAACTGCAAAAGTTGATCTTCAGCAGAAACAAATTACATCGTTGATGAAACAGTTAAACGAAGTGAGGATCGTAAACTTAAATTGATGATTATAAAATGTCTACTTTAAGTATTAATGATCATGAACGTGTCGTTGTTTTAGTATGAGGTAAAGTTACAACATTTGGTAAATGAAAATAATTTGCTTAATAAAGACAAACAAGAGGTATGTTTTATTAATGTATAAAAAATTAAATAATCTAGGTCGACGTTTTTTTGGCAACATTTACAGTAAAGGGATAATATATTTATATACATAGCATATCAAACTGGAAAACATAGAAAATCGAAAATATTCGATGAAGTTTCTCTACATATCGTAACATAACTAAAGTATAATGTTGGACAGTTCTGTAGATGTTATTTGCGTTCATTTTGAAATGTTAATACTTTTGGAAAAGATGAATAATGTAGAGAAGATGTGAATAAAGAGATCTTTGTCATGATGATTGACATTTTTGTTAAAATCAAGTTGATGACACCTTTATTGTCAGAAAAATTTGATTTCAAAATCATTCATTCTCATAAAAACCTTTAATATCTACCACACGATGTATCTATATGTACTTGTTACTTTAATATCTACTACACGATGTATCTATATGTACTTGTTACTTTAATATCTACCACACGATGTATCTATATGTACTTGTTACTTTAATATCTACAACACGATGTATCTATATGTACTTGTTACATTTTACTTGGGAGTTTAACCATAGAGCATACAATTGAATGAACATTTATTTTGCAGTTGTTAAAAGTCAACAAAGAATGGGACAAACAACACAGACTTTTAAACCACGAAAAAAAACGTATTGAAGCTGAGTTTCGTATGAGATATGGAGGAGTGGAGGAGGCTATGCCTTTGCAGCGGAAATCTCCGAATTTTACTGTTGACGAAGACCTGAAGAAAACGATAGTAGACTTGAGTACAAATAATGAATCCTTAATGATTGAGATTTCTCAACTCAAGGAGGAATGTAAAAAACGGGATAGTGTTTGTTTTTCTGCAAAAAAACTTCTGCAGGAAGAACGAAGTGCAAAAGAAGCGTTGATGCAGACAAAATTGGTAGGGATCTAAAGGTTTTTTCTTGTGCTAGCAGTCATTAATAAAGAAATCATCATTCTTCACAGGTTGGCGATGAAAAAGTGAATGAACTACAGACTCAGTTGGAAAGAGAAAAACAAAGAAATGCGATTTTGAAACAAGAAGTTGAACGATTGGTGAACGTCTATCCTACAGAAAATGTATTTTTCTTTTCTTTTCGTAAAATCATTGTCTCATATGAATTATATTTTAAATCCTTACGTTGTTTCTTGTCAGTGATTCTGCTCAAGTTAGGTTGATTACTTTCAAATTTCTAAATAAGACCATTGTTGTTTTTTTCGTAATTCCTTGAAATGACAATTGCAGTAGAATATTTCTGTTAAACATGAAACATGTAACCAAGTATTTCATTGTCTTTATTCACTTCACATGTTATTAACTCACTTCAAACTGAGGATGACAACTGTTTACCGATACATGTCTACCTTAAGAATTATTATCGTTTATTTGAAATAGTTATTGACATTATGAAGGAAGATGATTAGTTTCTCAGACCATTTGTTTTTAACTTTAGTTTGTTTTATTGCAAGAATGTTAGCATGTATTATAAGTTGGACAAACACTTCCATATGCAAGCTAAAAAGTTTAACTTTAATTCAAAATTATTGATGTTTCTTCCACCAATTAAATGACATAATGCATATTTTAGAATTCCAGTCTCCCTTCGCTCAATGTGACTGAACAGATTGAAATGTTAAAGCAACAGATCTCTGTCTATGCTGACGACTTTGCGTCAGAACGTGCCGATCGTGAGCGCATTCAAGCAGACAGAGAAAACCAGAGAAATCAAATTATCGACTTGACGAGGGAGAATAATTTACTCCAAGATCAGGTACTTTTTATTGCTTTAAATATTTTTTATGTAAAAAACAAAATAAACACATTAAAAACTAAATCAGAACTTTTGAAACGTATTGCAAGCAATGATCGCAAATAAAAAAGTTGCCCAACAAACCAACATGTCTTTTACGACCATTCGTAGACATAGCATGTCACGTGTGCTCGTCGTAAAACTCAAGTCGTACTGCACATGCGCGCAGTGTCATGCTCATAGTAACCATTGAACACTGGTGATTTGTTTTTATAAGATTTAATAGTAAACATTGCTGGAATATTAAATGGTGAAGAAATCACTTATCTTCACGGGTAATTAGAATTTGTTTTATTACTGTAGCTCCATCTTTATCACAATGATTTTGAAAAGGAGCGAAGAGAAAAAGAAAGATTGCAAAAATTACTTAAAGAGCATGGACGAGCATCGCAGGTAATTTACACAAACTAAGAAGTCAATTTGAAGCTTCATAGGTACAACAATTATTCAGATTTGTCTTCATTATTAGCAACCTGAAGAACCTTGGTATATGGTTCCTCCTACAGAATACATCCCTATGCATAATCCAAATAGACACCAAGTAATCTTCTCACCTTCATAATATTATGATTATAACAGTTAATTCTTAAAAATAAAAGAAAGCATTCAGTTTTTGGAAAGTAACTATAATTTCATTTCATAAAATTCAGGCTTGGTTACATCAAGGTAACATACCACATCGTTATTCACCACAAGAAGTTCAAGAACTTGCATTTCAACAACAACAGGTGAATATTTAATGTGATATTTAGACATTCGCATGTTGCTTTTTATACTTACAACTATCTTCATAACAATATTTCAGCCTCTCCATGCCCGAGGACAGGCAGTCAGAGGACATCCTGACAGATTGTGTCGGGGTTGTGAGGCTGACCGTGATGTCATTGATGGTCCTGCTACATGAAGTACCTTTGTTGTGAGAGGATTTTTGACTGGAGTAATTTGTTGAAAAACATGAAAACTTAATAAATGCACCCAAGTTGTTTGTTACTAATTTTCCACTTAATATGGCATACTATGAATAATTCACAAACCCTTGACAGCAGACCAAAATTTAAAGATGCTCAAATTGTCAAAACAAACACAATTTTTCTATTGTAAGTTTAGTTGTAGTTTATGTTTCATTTAGGAAATGGTTTGTTGGTGGTAGACTTACATTCAGGTTGTAGTTTGTGAAAATGTCTAAGACAAGAAACAGTGGAATAACTAAAACAGTAAATTGCACAACAATTTTTATTGGTTTCTTTACAATCATTAAATTAATTTCTTCATATATAATGTATTGTCAATAATGTAAACCATATGTTGACAGGCTTTTCTTATTATCAATAACATTTAGTATTGTTTATTGTTATCGATTAATTTATATTTCATGTAATGATATATTTACTGAGCTGGAAGAAATCATGTGGCTACTAATAGTTATTGTTGAATTGGATTTAGCAGGATTTGAATGACCATCATTTGAGGAATTCGGATTATGGTAAAGATAGATGTCTGACACAATTGCTTGAAATACAATACATACTCCCACAAACAGTACAAACATCAAACTTTTGGATTTCTAAAAGATCATGATTTTTTTGATAAATTTGACAAAAAAGTTGTGATTAAAAATCATTGTGATACTTACAATGCTTCCCTTATGAAACCACCATGCCTGAAAAATAAAATTTATTTCTGATGAAGTAAAAATGAACACAAAACATTCAATGGATGAAAAAAATTCACTCACAATAATGGCACCAATTACTCCACTAACTGCAATATAAAGAATAAATACTGTTACTTAACAATATTTAAAGAGATTGATGTTTTTATTATTTCACCTAGTAAATTTACAACCACGAGATACATGACAGCGTCATCTTTTGCCTTTACTAAACCCAGAATAAAGGCAACCTAGCACAAACATATATAAAAAAGAAAAATCATTTTATGTGGACAGTGTACAACTAAATTTCAATAAGTCAATCTTACCACCACAGCAAGAAAAGTTACTCCAAACCAAATCCTTAGAAACATTTTCTAGGTAAGATTAAGTAAGATATGCGTACATATAGGCACCAACTTTCGTGGGAACAATCTCACCAAAAGCAACTTTTTAAGTTCAATACCTTTAAAGGACTCCCATCTTCTCCATAAAAAGGCTCAGAATTTTCCTCCATTTTGTGTATGGCAAATGTCACGAGGATCGGCTATTACCATTAACAACGAAAATTCTCTGAATGCAGGGGGGAGAGATTTGTTTTTTTAACTAACAGTTTGCCTGGAAGAAATGATTATTGCTGATGACTGCCAATGACAATCATAAAGATCATACTGTTTTTTGTTTTAATGATGCATTTTAGAAAGGTTGAACTGTCAACAAAAGTTTATCTTTTATTTAGATATTTCATTAGAAGATGTCATAGTCCCTCCCCCCCGGGATGAATGCTAAAGATTCAACACCTCAATTCTAAAATGGCAGACGAGGGAACTGAAAGTATTCAAAATGAAAATGCTTTTCATGACCAAATGCCGCTCTATTCCGAAAACTACGATGCAAAAAGGACGGTACACACTTTAAAATTCTTCTTAATTATAGTTCGTTTGCACACTGTGCATATTTTTTTTTTATAAACGATTGATTTTTCAATGTGAAAGTATGAGAAACGAATCTAAAGTCTAAAATTGAGTTCATTTGTTAGCAATCTCTGTACTTCAATAACGCGTCTGTATTTACCATAATCCAAAAGATAATTACACCTTCATTTTTTTTTATTTATTTAGAAAATGAAAAAAGCAATATTTTTTGGACTTGTTGGTTTACTTGTTTTAGTAAGTTCATTTTCATCGTCAATTTATTTAAGTTTATTTAATTATAAATACATGATTTATATTACACCACAGAAATGAACGACTCTAGAAAGCATATTGCTCATATTTATGAATTTTACAGATCACAGTAATCCTGTCATTCTCTAGAGGAATTTCAAAACATGTTTCTTATGTTTTGTTAGGATTTAGCATCATTTGTAAGTATGCGTAGTTTACATGCATGTAAATTATAAAGTATATAGAAATCAATTTTTTTATTTATCTTATTTTTTATGATTTTACTGTTCTCCAGGTATAATGCTTGTTGAATGTGCTTTGGTAAGTTTGTAGCTTTCATGTTAGTTCAAAATAGCTGAATGATGTTTTCTAAATTTAATGCAATTGCAAAGTTTGTAGAAAAAATTGCAAACACAATCATATTCAAGTTTTGCATATCCTTTCTTTATTTTTGAAATTACGTTGATTTTTAAATGCCAAGTGTTTTAGATGTATTATAAATTGGTGTGGTTAAATTATATATATACAGAATATTTCACTTCCTATACATTGTTGTTGACAAAGTTTCATCTATAACATTTATTACCGATATTGTAAAATTTTAACTTTAATCTTTTTATATAACTGTATATAATATAGTTAAAAGATTGTGGCACAGTTTTATTACATCTTCTACATTAGTATCAAGACATTTGTATTAAATTTCATTGTTTTAGTGTTGGCTTCATAAAATTGGACAACTTGACAATGAGAAAGAATGGTTTATATATTTTGTTGGAGTTTGTATAATTATTGAATCTGTTTTTACTGATGTTTTGTTATTTGACTAAATAGACTTTATGGAAACCTGAGAAATTTTTGCATTTGTTGTATTAATGTCTCAGTTGGAATAAGAGAGATATAAAAATTATTAGACTAGATATTTTATAGAAAAATAACAATGTGTGATTGCTTATCTTAAGGTTTTGTATTTAAAATTTGGTGTGTACGTATAGCTCAATGATGCCTAAATAGATGACTAATTTGCATTATGTACAATACATGTTGTTTCTCTCTGTAGATGTGTTTTTTACTTTCTACTCCAAATAAGTCCAAAAAACTATGCCCCAAATATATACTTGTATATTACATTATGTGAGATTGTTAACTTTTTGCTCATCTCATCCAAAATAACTCTTCAACCTGGTAAAGTCAAAAATAATTATGTCCTTAATGTCAGAATTTCTAGGGCGGTTTGTCAATATTCCACCGGTTTTTTATTTTCACAGCAATTTTTTAAAAAACGCATGTTTATAAAGTTTCTGTTTATTTTTACTTAAATTTTTGTGTTTAGTAACGCTATAAAATGGGAAAAAACGATATAAGAACAAGTGTCTCGTTTTCTCTTTGTTGCATTTTAATTAATTTAAAAGCAAAGAAATTAATCAATTTCCGGTGTTAAGCGTCCCCACCACAGTCAGTCAGCAGTCAAGCACAACGCGTAAGTTAAATGCTATAAGCTTTGTACAAATATTATTATAACAGTTGCAGTTTTTTATCAGTTTGAATAATGTGTTACAGTTGAACTTCATTGGCCTGTATAATGTCATAATATGCCAGCTTAATATTTATACGCAGCATTAAGAAAATATTTTCCAATATAATCATGGATGATCTGATTGAGTGTGGCGTGCAGTCAGACAGCGATATTGTTCACTTCTTGAAAAAACGTTTTATAGAACAGAAGTATTACGTAAGTGTAGGTCAATGATTGAATTATTAGCAATTTTTCTTTTTATATGTACATAATGAATATGTGCAGCTTTTACTATACATAAAATCTTTTCTTTCTCGTTATTTTATTCCAGACGGAAGTTGGTGATGTGTTAGTGACCGTGAATCCTTGGAAGTCCTTAGTCACTCTTCAAAATGAAGTAAAACATTTATTTCGACAAATGACTTTCGTTACATCTTATTTATTTGTTTAACTTCAACACGTACCTATTTTAAAAATCTACGTAAAAATTTCTATGGCGTATCAAATAGTTAAATTTATATAATTTGTGTGTTTCATTTGTGCATTCTTATGTCAGTTATGCTATCGGCAAAACAAAATAAAACAGGATTAACAAAAAGACAGGAACGCATTTGATCCATGGACTATTTTTGTCGTGTGTATATCATATATAATTTGCATTCTTTTCATGCGTGATTACATTAACGTTGAAATAATTCTATTTCTATTTTAGGTCTTTGACTATTTAGCTAGGAGCCGACAAAGTCAAGAAATATTTTTACCCATCCATCCTTGTAGCGTTGCTGAGAGAGCTATAAGAAATGGCGTGAACGCAGTTATTGTTCCTCTTGGTGAAAGTGGCTCTGGAAAATCTTGGAATATAGAAAGTATTTTTCATTATGTTGTACAGCGAAAACACTGTGAACGACTGACTAAAGATAGTATTTCTGGAGTATGTACTACCTTCTCAAAAATTACACTTATTTATCCTCATTTAATTTCGTTTATTTCTCTGATTACTTTGTAGATTATAGAAGTACTTCATTTATTTTGCAATGCCAAAACGTTAATATGCAACAGTTCAACACGATGCATAAAAATTTATGATTTTTGGTTGAACAAAAAAGATCGCGGACTACTTGGAGGTACAATTATTGGCAGAGAGGAATATTGTGAGGGGTTGTTATGGAGATAGCTTGGTCTTTTCTCAAGAACTTATTAACGAAAAGAAAAAATTAAATTCTATTTATACTAGTTAACTTTCATTTTTGTGTTTTCAGTGAATGTTCAAGTTAGTCTGTTGGACAAATTACGAGTCGTTGGTCAAATTCAAGTATGTTGCGATAACAACTTTTGAATATTTTTATTTTTCATATAAATTTAATTATGTTATTGTTTTCTTTTACTAGAATGAAGGAAACTTTCATATATTTTATCACGTTTTGAACTCCCTCACTCCGAATCAATTGCGGCAATTTTTATTGCATGGCAACACGCACAGGTAAGGTTTATAAAATGATTTTAATGCACTAAAATGACTGTCTTACATCATTGTTGTATGTCTGGTTTATGTGGACATCATAGATTTTATTTATGTTTCTTTTCATTTAAGTAATTTTTTGTCATTTTTACAGGTATTTATCGTCATTTGCTTTTCAAAACTACACAGGAGGAGCAGCAATTTTGTCATCGCTAAAATGTCTTCAAAAAATAGGACTTAGTGAAAAGGTAAAATATTTTTATCTAACATTACAATAGCTATTGATCATCTTCACTTACTTGTTATGAATCATTACAAAGTTTTTTACGCACTAAAATTTTATGTGGTTAAACTCTAGGAGATAGTTGACATAATGCATATTGTCATTGCTATCATTCTTCTTGGAGATCTACAGTTCTGTGAATCATCTAAACGGGATGTGATGGCGTTTCGTAATGGTAACGTACTTGAAACAGGTGAAATTGTCATTTTTTATCATCTGTCCATGATGAATTCAGCTGGAAAGATATGGTTTAAAATTTTATTATTTTATGTTTATGATTTAGCTGCGTCATTATTGGGTATTTCTGCTGCAACTTTAGCTGATCTCATTACAACTAAATCAAAAACAGTCAAAGGTAAATAGATTTTGTTTAAATATCTTTCATTTTTTTACTCAATGCGTTCATAATCAACCATTGCGTTGGTTACCTGCACTTTTCACGATTTGATATTTACAACATTTTTTTAAGGATTTGCAATTTCTTCATGAATTTTGTTGTTGCATATCTTATGCTTTATGCAGTTTTAAGTCTTTTGACGTGCTCTAATCCACTGTTTCATTTTCGTCTTGATTTCTTTTGAACAGGGCAAAAGATAAAAATGGCCGCTCTATGTTCTCAAGCTATGTACGAATGTGATAGACTCGCTGTTTTCATATACGAGTCTTTGCTCATGTCATTGGTTGCAAAAATTAATTCGAGATTTTACTATGATACAAGGTATAACAATTATTTCATTTAGTTATTTTATCTTGTCACTCACGACTTTATTTTTAGGGTTGAATCCTACTTCTCTCTTGTTCTACTCGATGTATTTGGATGGGAAAATTACAGTATCTGCTCATATGATCAACTGTGTATAAATTCAGTTAATGAAATATTGCACACCTGTTATAATGCCATCGTATTTACTGCTTACGAGGTACGATTTTTTTTTTGTATTGTGTTGCATGAAATTATTTGTTTCATTCATTAATTGTTTATTAATGAAATATTCTATTTAGGAAAATCTAAAAAATGAAAATATTTTACTGAATGAATCGTCTTCAAAGTTTGACCATCCCGGAGCGGTCACTATGTTGTTCAAAGTATTAAACATCTACCATTCACGTATTTTTTGTATTTTTGTACAAACATTTATATACGTTAAACGTTTGTTTAGTGTAGTGATCATACAAGTGAATTATCGAGTTTAGTCAACAGCTAATTTAAAAACAACCAAAAATGTTCTCTCTTGTTCCTCCTACACCTATACTCTCTATCTTAGCCCAAAGGTTTATTTGATGTGCTACACAGCAATGTCGACAGGAACGATTACAATTTGCTGAAGAAATTTAATGGTTCCCTTAAAAAAGAAGCGCGATATTTTGAAAATCCTAAAAAAGAAAGCTCTAGATTTTCTATCCTACATTTCATCGGAGAGGTGAAAATTTGACGTTGTTCAATATTGTTGCAAATAAATCTAATTCTTTCTTTTTCCAATTGTGTCTAGGTGTTCTATGATGTCATTGGTTTCACTTCGCGCTCTAGGAGTTGGACAAATGAGAATTTATTGTTAAATTTAAGGGGTAAAATATTTTGAATAGAAAGGTCTTGGTCGCATATGTTGGTATTGAGGATATTTGAAAATTGAATACTTTACATAAAACATATAATTAAGCTAATAATCACTTTTTCATCCAGCTTCTAGAAATCCTGTTTTGTCTATAATTATGATGGAAAGAAGTGCAAGGTTTTTAAAGTTAAATATATACAATATATATTTTATTGTTATTATTTATTTATTATTGTAATTTGTATACGATGATTTAATTTGTGTGCACTTCTTAAATAAATCTACTCAATAACTTACAACAAGATAGGATAATTGCCCTAAACATGTATATTGTTAATATATATTATCTGCTTCAAATTGTGTTTATATCGTATGTGTAGAGAGAATCAACATTTAGAAAAAACATACATGAGTCAGACATTAAGGTAAAGCTTCTTCACATTGAGTACAACGACATTGTAAAGAGTAAAATAACTTTGTTGTTTTGTACTTCACTTTAAGGGGATTTTCAAACATTGAAAAAAATCTGTTGAAAACGTAAGTTTTATACAAATTATCAATCTTAGTGCGATGGATTTGTGTGATTCATAATTGCATATTATCAATACTTAGTTGTAAAATCTTTGTTTGACCAAATTTATTGTTCTTTTTTCTTTATGAAGACGCACCTTTTTAACAGAATGCATAAAAGACAAACAGAATCTTGCAAGTTTAAAACAGTCCAATCCAGCATCTTTTATGGTACGTAAATACTGTATAATGTCTACAATAAGCCGTTTTATCGCTGTGCGTTAAAGTTTTATGTTTTTTATTCATTGTTTAGTTAAGCTTAACTGGGATATTAAATCGTTTGTTGTCATCGAAAGCTTACTTTATAAGGTTTGTTCATTCTTGTGCTATTTTCTGCGTTTCCGATTCTACATTTCTATTTTATCGTTGATATAGATGCATCAAAAGTAATCTTAAAATGATAAAGGAAAATTTTGATGAAGAAAGGGTTTTACGCCAAGTTCAATGGAGTAATCTTTTGGGCATTGTAAAAACGCGACCATTTTTTATTAAAATATCGTTATCGATGTCTGAGTTTTTAGACAGGTTTGTCCCAATATTATATTGCTTACTAAAGATTGAATTATTTTAAATGGCCATTGCATCTTTCTGCAGGTACAAGCTTCTCTTTTTTTCACCGTTGCAAGTTGTTTCGGCATCTTCAGATCTCATAAATAATTTATTGCGCAGTAAATTTCGTAATGGGATCCATTATAATGTTGGAATATCGAAGGTGAATGAATTTGAAATTTTTTTTCACCTTATGCATTTTATAAATATAAGTTGACTTTATTTCAAGGTATTCCTGTCAAAAAACCTTTTTAATCAGTTGGAAGACATGCTTAAAAGTCGAATACAACAAATAATTCGTATTCAAAAAGGTTGAATTTCTATTCATGTCCATTATGTCAAACTGAATAATTTGTTCTATTTTTTAGCACGTTTTTATTCCTTATGATTATGCTATTGTCTGTATATTCGTGATTGTTTATTGAGAATAAATATTTTAATATGATGTAGTTTTTCGTGGATATTTGGGAAGAAAAAGATACAAACATTTGTTGGAAATAAAAAAGAAATATGATGAACAATGTTCATTATTTCTTTCTCAGGTAAATATTAAGAAAAATACATAAAGACTTCATGACTTATATATGTATGTAAGATCATTAATCCAGGCATGTATATCGTTAATAATTGAAGTTTCTCCAGATTTGTATAGATTTCTTCCCCAGATTCTTCGAGCCTTCTTCAGAATATTGGAAGTTTTTTTTTACTCTCTAATAATATTAACACCAATCCTATTCACAATACACCAGAACCTATAACAACGCATTCCACACCATCATCTAAATCTCGCCATTAATCCAATTAGACGCTCTAAACGTCTACAAAGCAAAAACAACTGTATATAACTTCCAATGTTCTGAAGAAGGCTCCAAGCACCGTGTCGAAAATTCAATAAAATTATTCGTGAAAAATCTGGTGAAATTTTTACTATTAACGTATATAAATGCGTATATTATGTTTAGATTTATAAAGAAATCTGCAAATTTCACGAACATCTTTCGTTACAAATATCTGAAGATCAAAGAGAAATAAAAGAAAACAAAACAATGGTGAATACTTGTTATCTTTTCCCTTCAACAGGGACGCACATTATAGCGTTGTGTTACAAGATTTTACAGGATTATAAATGTTGGTCCATTAAATGATATAGAGCGAAAAAATCTGTCAGAATAAAAATGTGGCTTTACTAGCAAATGCAGACACTTCAAATCCCATTACGTATAACGTCGTTAAAAATTTTGGAATTTTTAACCTTTCTCTTGGTTATTTTCTATAAGTATATTTTATGGATTCTTTTTACCAATATTTTATCTTATGTTCAATGTTTCATTTGTAGGCTGGTGAAAATAGAAATCCTTTACATGAGTAAGATAATAACATACGTTTATGTCATCAGCATTAAATTTCAATTGTGTGTTTTTTCTTTATCTCTTTTTCTATAGAAATAAATCTTCTAGCTCTGGTCGTTGTGGTTTGTATTTTTTATGTATCTATTTTGAAACCAAACTAAAAGCACTTTAATTTCTGAACTATCTTTCTTTAGCTAAAAAATTTTCAATAAGCGAGGTTTGTTTCAATATTTGTCTTAGATAATCTTGAATTATGTGAGAAATATCTAAGAGTTAAGTAAAAATTATATTTTTAGGTGATTACGGAGGAAACATGGAAAACTCCAATTTGGTGTAATATTCGTTGTTTTCAACGAAGTAAACAACAGGGAGTCTTTCCAATTTCAGTCAGCAAAATAACTATTGACAACAGTGATCAGATGTTCAGTTCTGATAGGTAGCCTACATGAAGTACTTCTCATGTTTATCATGTAATTTAACACGTTTCTTCATATTTTTTTTTGTTAAACTTAAGAATTAGTTTCAATTCATTTCCAAGCGACGATGAAAAGATACAAAAAGTAAAATCTTGTATTGGAAAGGTTTGCAGACATGCTCTTGCTTTGTAGGAAACAGTTTTCTTGCTTTTTTGAATCTCTAGTAATATTCGTACTTTCAGGGCGTTGAACTTTATCTTTCTGATGACAATAGTCTGTTAGCTGTAAGATTGTGTAAAAATGCAATCTTTGTTAAGGTTAGTCATTATAGAAAACTTACATACTGTAATCTAACACAATTTCTTTTGTATTACATAACTGTTTGAATGTCGAAGCATTTAAGTAAAATTCAAAATCAATACTTAAGGGTCATTTTTGTGGAGAAGAACTACGTGAAAGTTCTGGCGAATTACCCAAGAAGAAAGAGTCCATTGTAAGAAAACGTATTACTTCGTTGTCGTATTCTTAATGTTGTTGACCTACGATGTCTTGTATGTTTCATCGGACATTTGTGTTTCATTTGTAAATACTAATTAAGAGTAATTAAATTATCTATGTTCGTTAATTTTATTGTTATTACTCTAAGGTATTTGATTTCAAAAAATTTGTGGAGAAAGTCAGTCATGTTTGTCATCCAGTGAGAATAAACGACGTTACCGAGGAAAAATGTTTATCATTGTGCATTGTTCATCTATGCTTTGTCAAAGATAGTGCAAATGATGAAGATACACCTTGTTGGGTCGAAATTGAACTAAGTAGAGCGGAAGCTTATCTAAAACGTAAATAAATAAAAACTGAATTTTTTTATTCAACTTCAAAGACAAATGAATTGAATGAATATTTGATCTATTATTTTTGTGTCAATTGATTTATACAACTTTTATTTTTGCTTTTCCAGAGGCTTGCTTGTTGTCGTTCAAAAAACGAAGGGAAGTTCAGGATGAGACTCAGCAACCAAAGTCGAGAAATGACTCGAAGATCGATTTAACATCTGAAAAAATACTGAAAGATATTCGACCTTCTCGTCCTGTCGATACAACAAATTTATCACGCAAAGCTTGGGCGAGAAAACGTGTTGTCAGCAATCCATTCTTGTATGGGGATGATTCATTCAAGGAAAAAAGCGACGATTCTGTGTGTTCTCCTGCAAATACTTGTGATGATGATTTATTTCATGACTCTTCAACAAACATCGATGAAAGTGAAAATATAAAGAACTACCCACGTAGTAAAAGTGTTTCTTTTTTTAACAAACCAAGGCATGTTGAATATGATCGTAGATTGTCGATGACGACGACAATACCAAAAAGAGATGAAGATGTCACAGAAGGAAATGTCAGCAAGAAATAGAAAAGTTTCTTCAAAACATCTTTAAGAGAGGAACACATTCATTAATGACTTTCGTTGCACCAAACTTCTGCACGTCTAGACTTTAAATTTAAAAAAAATCATTTTCTCTTTTTTATAGCTATAGGCGCACAAAGAAAAAATGACTGCAATGACGTTTTTTATTTTCTTGAGTGTTCCAGAGTATGGGAAATTTTACGACATTACTTGCACCATAAATTAATTTGTAAATGCACAGAGAGTTAGACATGCTTGTAACATTCTGCCATTCGTTTTCTCTGCAAACTTCTTGGAATGTTGAGGGCAATTTAAAAGCTTTCAGGGAAATATGTTGGCGAACAATTAGCCAAGGCAAAGACTAATGTATATTAAAACAAGTTGATAAGAACTTCGACTGTTGTTGCAGATTATCCAAAATGACAAAATATTTCAGGGGGGAGCTACTAATTACTTTTACGTGTTGTTTGTGGCTTTTAGTAAATCCTTCACCTTTCTTATCAGCAATACTAGAAAATTTAATGTTTTTGCATCCAGCAAAAAGGATTAAACTCATTTTCTTGGATTTTAACACTTTTTATTCAAAATTTACACGGAGTATCGCTGTTTCTAGTTCATTTCCAATTGTGAATGGTAAAATCGACCAAGAATCGTCATGCTACATAAAAAGAAAAAACATTTATTTAAAATATCGGGAACAATTTAAGAAAGATTTAACGAGTTTAAACCTTGGTTTGAACAAGAAGGCGATCGATCGTCATGTCCTAGTTAATAAGAAATTACTAGTTCGTGAAAGGCTTGAAGCTCTACTTGATAACCACTTAGATTTTATTGAACTTTCTCCTCTTTCTGGCTTCTATTTGGAATATGGAAAAATTGAAAGAGCTGGAATTTTTTGTGGTATTGGTCGAGTATCTGGGTGCCTTACTATGATACTGGCAAATGATGCAACAGTTAAAGGTGGTGCTGCATATCCCATAACAGTGAAGAAACAGTTACGTGCACAAGAAATTGCTTTGGAAAGTAGTTTACCATGCTTGTATCTGATTGACAGTGGAGGAGCTTTTTTACCACTTCAGGTGTTTTATATTTATATCTGTTAAATTTTCAAAACATTTTATACAGGTAACACTTGTATAGGTCTGCATTATGAGGTCTATTGGTCTAGCTTTTTATGCATTAATATTGACAGATATTGATTATTTTAGCACTGTAAAGTTTACATTCAGTTAATGTTGTCAGTAAATATAAATGTCTAATCTTTCTACCTAACATCACAAAAATGTAGTTATTTAAAAATCATCTAGAATTTCAAAAGCGTTAGATGATGACCAATGTCAAAATCAAACGTTACAACACAATTATTTCATGATAATGTGAGTTAACTCAGGTGTTAGGCTTACTGTGTTGTATAATTTTTTTGTTAATTGTTTATATTTTAATAAAACACCCTATATATACTTGTCATGTTTAAAATTTTTATATAATTCAACAATACAACATAATAATCAAACCTTGTTTTTAGGCAGATATATTTCCTGATGAACAGCATGGTGGAAAAGTTTTCTATAATCAGGCCATAATGAGCTCTCTTAAATCACCTCAAGTAAGATCTAAAATATCCAATAATTTTTTTGCTGAATATTGATTTTACTCATAAATTTTATCAAGATTTGTGTAGTATGTGGATCTTGTACCGCTGGAGGTGCATACATTCCAACAATGGCTGAGAGGACGGTGATAGTTAATAAAATTGGTACAATTTTCTTGGGTGGACCACCATTAGTGAGGGTAAAGTTACAGTAGCTCGTTAGATTCTCTCACTTTCGTTTAAGATTGTGCTTGTGATATTTAATGATCGTATGTATATAGGCTGCAACTGGTGAGGTGGTTACTGCAGAAGATCTTGGAGGTGCAAATGTTCATTCAAGGTGAATTATTTGTTGTATTTTATAACTTTATTATTGGCACAATTTATTGAATTGTTTTTCATACATTGTGAGTAACAATGATCACCAATATTTTTCCAGTATTAGTGGCTGCACAGACTACTTGGCAAAAGATGAAAAAGAAGCCTTTTCTATGACACGTTCTATCTTTGCTTCATTGAACTCTCGTTCACTGTCCTATTTGGGTATTGATTTGATTTATTTTACGTAACATTTCATTTTAAAACAAGTATTACAGTTTTTATTTTTGGATTGTTGTCAGACTATGAAGAACCATTGTACCAGTTAAATGATCTTGGTCCTCTTTCAATACATCAGCACAATATTCTCCCTATCTATAAGGTACAAAGAGTTTAACAACTAATCATCCAAAACTTTAATATTTACCATTTTAACTTTTCATTCAGATTATTGCAAGAATTGTAGATGGAAGTAGATTTGATGAGTTTAAAGCATTGTTTGGTTCTACACTTGTGACGGGATTTGCTACTATAAAAGGGTATGCCAATAGTTGAATTTTTTTATGTCAAGTTTGAAAATAGTTGAGAATATTTGCACTGCAGTTTGCAATTGTTTATATTGTTTTAGTATACTTGTTGGAATTCTAGCTAATCATGGTCCAATGTCAGCATCAGCTGCTGCCAAGGTCACACATGAGTATAATTTTAATGATTCATAATTAATAGAATTGCATATTGTATCTGTATGCATTATGCCTTTCTCATATTCTTGATGCATATATTATATGGTTTATCTATATGTATTTAAAAAGTTTGTTTTTAATATAGGGAGCAAATTTTGTTGACATCTGCAAACATCACAACATTCCTTTAGTTTTCTTTCAAGATACTCATCCTCATATTAATAATGATCCAGACATGTTAAAACAACTTGGAAAAATGATCTCTATTGTATCTTGTGCTCAGGTCAAAGTTGATATTGCAATTATTTTAACAAAATTCACTTGAAGGTTCTCATTTAAAATAGCTTTTATTCTGTTTTTAGGTTCCAAAATTACCATCATTATGGGAAGATCATGTGGACCAACAAGCTATGCTATGGTTGATTGCATGGGCATAGGAAGATTGATAATTAGGGAGGCACATATTCATAAATGCAAGAGATGCATTGTTAAGATCCTTTGAAATTCATTGTTTTCAGTGGATTATAACATTCATATATGAATGTAAATCCACCTAATTATCTATCTTCCTACATCCATGGTTGATTGAATAATTTACTGGGTAGTTTAAGCATGTCTTTGCATTGTTTAATGTCATTCACTATATTGTTCAGTGCAGTCGAGGTTTGCAGCCGTCTTTCTTGTATACTTGGCCAACAGCACAAATACATGTTGATAATGTACAGGTTGGTTATGTTTTAACTGATTTTCTAGTATACTTGTACTTGTTCATTCGTTGCTTACGCTATTTTTATTGCTCTTGTATGCTTCTTAACATCGTATAAATATCTCTCCTTGTACATACGTTACCTGCATTGTACTCTTGGAAATATCTCTCCTTGTACATAAGTTACCTACATTGTACTCTTTTCTTGTATGTGAATTATGATTTGATTGAATAAGAGACGAAGTGAAGATGTAAATTTGGAAGAAAGGTACGACACTGTGTTTAGTTTGCTTTGTTATCTCTAACACAGTTGAAAGACAGCGAGAAACAAGAGTAGCGAGTTTAATACATAACTTTTCATAAAAGAAGGAACTGTTAACGAATCATAATCTACAAATCAGAACTAATTCTGAATTTTTGAAAGCTGGCTTCGTGAATGTTCACAAAAAGTGATTTTTAAGGAGCAACGTTTAATAATGAAGTTCTGAATTGGGATTAAATTTGACGTTTCTCACGTTCTTTGTTCAAATTTTGTACAACGAAACCTTGACAGTATTACGTGTATATGTGTCGATTTTAGTGAATCTATATTTTGTTCACCTCTAAACATCAGTTTTTTTCTTTTCTAGATATAAAGATAAAACTACTTCATTTTATTCATCTGCTAATCTTTGGGATGATGGTATTATCTTACCAGAAGAAAGTAGAGAGGTGACTAAGTTACATTTACTGTCAATATTTGTCGATATTGAAGAATGCTGACATGTTTTCGTTAATCAATTTTTTTATAGGTTCTATCGTTGAGTTTAAAAGCATCAATGGAAAACCGTAATTTGTCAAAGAATGAATTAAACTCTCCCGTCGTGCGAATGTAATCTTTAGATGAAGTTGTATTGTAGTAGATTTGCTTCATCGACAACGACATTCACAAGTTAGTCCTTTCAAACTTAAAAGCAGAACATTTAGCTATCATATTAAACAATCGGACGGTTGTACATGATAAAAACATGTTGAATTGGTTTTTAATTTGTATTCCATGATTTTATCTAATTTTTGGTTTATTTTCCATGGACATCATGTACTTTTACAACAATGACAATCATAACATGTTTGTGGATGAAGTTCACTTCATTTCACTGAAGATGACTAACGCTAAGGTTCTAGAAACGTTAGTCAACATCAACAACAACAGTCCTTCTCAGGACTATACTAATCTAGACGATCTTCATCCACAAACATGTTACGGTACTCCAGTGTTCAAACCATTTACTTTAATGACAATCATGTGACGTTATGACATGTGACGTAAAATAGTGAAGTTGTGACGTGTGACGTTAAGACATGTGACGTAAAATGGTGAAGTTGTGACGTGTCATTTTTTCGCGTGTCACATGTGACCTGTTTACATGTGCTTGTGCCAGCATTGATTGCATATTTTACGATGATGTAAGGCATGTTATGGTCTTTATCAACTCATTGCTATCAAATAATTTCCATGAAATTCAGTCTTGCTCACCCCAGAAAGGCTTTTCTTGCTATTCACTTCAGAACATTAAAATTTAATGATAAATATTTAAGTTTTTGTTTTTTTAGAAATTGTTTGACATTTATGTATGCCTAGTTAGGTAATAAACAAACCTTTTATTGAATTGTTGATATTATTATATTCCCTCCCTTACTGAACAATATTCAGCGTACGATTGAAGATAAGTCGATAACATGTCTACGTCACTCTATGATAAAGATTTATGGTTAGCTCAAAGTATAATGTCCGTATGAATATTAATTACTGTGGTGACTGTGGTGTAGATTGTTTATCCAGTTTATTACATTTAAATTTAAATCAACATCTCTCCGGGTGATCTCAAATATCGAGAAAAGTCGTTAAGGGAGTGCTCTGTTGAAAAAGGGAATTTGAATGCGTGCTCACTTTGAGAAATTTACTGTGTGTCTCGTGTGAATGCAATACTGCCTATTTTTTATAATTTAACCTAAATAAAATAAAAGCTGAAAAATTTTAAACAAAGCAAGCCTGTTTTTACATACTGCACTCAAAAATAAATGACACAAAACATGGAAATGAGTTCTGACCTTTCATTTTCCTGTTATATGAAGTATTTCAAATTTAAAGATGGCGTCTCCTCGCGGAGGACACAAAAGTAATTTTAGTAAGCGAAACTCTTCAAAAACAAAACAAAAATCTATAAAACAGCGAATACGAAGCGTGCAAAGGCTTTTGAGTAAGGTAAAAGAGGTTTTTGAACAAGGGAAATAAGTTTTTTAGTTAGTCTGTTGCAACTTAAAATATTGACATTGACATATTGGAGAGTTATTGCCTTGCTTTTCTTGAAATTTATAAAACGTGTTCTTTTCTTCCATATAACTTTTATAGCCAGAACTTCCAGCAACTGTGAGAGTTTCCCAAGAAAGAATGCTTGATTACTATACGAAAAAGCTTGCAGAACAAAAAATTGACAAGAAAGACCTGAAAATGATGAAAAAATATAAAATGGTGAAGTTTTTTGGTACGTTTTGCACAAGAAAAAATAGAAAATGCCATAAATAATTTTGTATTTTAACTGCATACTTTAATTTCTCATTTTGTAAATTTTAAAGAAAAACGAAAACTCTGGCGCCAACATCGAGCTGTGACAAAGGAGTTAAAAGAAGATAATGTTGATGTTGAAAGGTCCTTTGATTATAATTGTTTCCTGAGACTAAAATGGAGTTTAAGATATTTTTTTTGAATATTTTTCCAGGTCAAAAGAACTACAAGACTTGCAAAAAAAGATTTATCAAGATCTGAATTATATTGAGGTAGCTTGTTTTTGGTTTTTTATTAAACCATTATCTTCATTTGTCATATAAATAATTATATTTTCAAACTTCAGTATTTTCCAAGTGACAAGAAATACATTTCACTTTTTCCTGTTAAATCTTATTGTAATGAGTCCGTTATCTCTGAACAAGGTATATTGTTTTATTTTTTAATGATTTAAATAGTATATTGTTTGTTTGAGTCCCAGGAATATTGAATTACACATTATCTGTAAATCTTAAATTTTGTATAGCATCCCTCCATCATTATATTAATGAAAAAGTTAATGCTGGTGAACTACCACAAGCTTCATTCAGTGACAAAAAGATATGTAAAGGAAGAAATGTTATATTAAACGAAAGTTGTAAAAAAACAAGAAGACATGGTAAAGTTCTGTTTATGTCATTTTGTTCTCATTTTATTCTTCATATATGATTTTATTGATTTAGACAGGAAGAAAAATTTTGCTATAGATGATGATTTTTTCATTGATACATGTGGAGATCAATAATTAGACATTAAAGTTAATCTGACAACAGGTAAATCATATAGAATGAAAATCCATTAAAAGCTTCTCACACACAACTGGGAGCTGCTGCAGCTTATCCGGTGGCAAGCTTGACATTTACACATTTAAACAACTAATATAGATATCATTACATCGCCCAAAATAGCCTTGCTAGTGAGAGGACTAAAATATTACTAAAATACAAATGTCTATAGTGATTTATCCTGACATGCAGGTGCTCTTGTCCAACTGTGTGTGGACGCCACAAGAAAATGTGCTTGATATAACTTATACCACCTAATCAAGCTCCAAGAAGAAAAAATTTTCCACCTTTTCTTTCCTCAGTCAGTGGAAAGTGTTACACATTGATAAGAAAAAGTTTACTGAAAGTTTTGATCCTGCTATGTAAGTTTCAGATCATCATTATTGATTTCTTTAGAAATAAAGTTTTTATTGTGAGTGAACACATAAAAACTTACATAACTGGACTAAATAGTCAGGCTGGTTTTGCCACTGCTAAAAGTTTTGTTAGACATTGTATAATGAATGCATCAATGAAAATGTCCTTCACTTACTATTATTTACGAACTGCTTCTCATAAATTTACTGTTAATAAACTGTTATGATGGTCATTTTTTATGGTTTTTACATAATAGCTTTCCATATTAAATATTTCAAACTAGATGTGTTATTTTTACCAATGCAAAGTTAGTATTTTTGACTTTGACCTTTATTTAACATAAAAAAAACATGAAATTGACTTATGTTTCTGACTTTTCTGTTGGTAGTTTAGCTGAATAAAAATATTTGGTTTAATTTTTTTCTTTCTATTGTATTATTTTAATGAAATAATACTATGTTTGCAGGTTTTATCCAATATTTTTGTTATATCGGAGATTAGTTGTGAACACAAATTTTCATCTCGTTATTTGTGACATTAGTTAAATTGTTATGCCACGAGTCAAACCATTCAAACGTGTACCAAGATGGCACCAAGCGTGGGCAATGCGTCACATGACCACCTTTTGGCGCGAAAATCAAATTCCCGCGTAATATGTATGTTGCAATTTGTGGCAAACAAAAACAATATTAATGCGATAGCTACACCCTGTTCGGGAGAAGTTACTTCAAAACATTGTTGAATCCGTTGCAATCCGGTGTTTTGCGTAAGTCAAATGAAATTATTGAAAAGCAGGGTTTAAATATTTCTCGTATAGAAATGAAAGAGGTGGATTTTATAAACGGTTTTGCTTAATATTCGAGTCTGCCGATAATGTTGGGATAGTGTACGTAACGTACAACACAAACTTACAAAATATGGCTTCACTTGGCAAAAAAAGTATACCACTTGGAAATCGAGGGATTTTTCACATAAGACATGAACAAGATGTCTTTGGCTCCCGAACTACTGGATCAGTGGAACGATATACAATAAATGGGAAATTAAATGAAAGTACATCTTCACTTAGTAGTCTAGATCATACACCAGATGCAACATTTTTTCCCAGAGAATTACACAAAACTATCTCCCTAACTTCTCAGGTAATGTACTTTCACACCGTTTGCTTAAACGAATAATTCCGTGTCAAATGTTGGGAATATGATGGATAGTAATATTTCGTTTACAGGCGAAGCGTAAACTAAATTGGGAATCAAAATGCGAGATTAACGATGAGACCTTCAAGCCACCAACAATGAAAAGAAAAACGCGAATTAAAGCTCGTGCTTGCTCTGAAAAAGGTGTTGTAGGAGTATGATCATTTATTCAATACATATAGCGTCCTGCTTTCATTTTGAGTGAATTTAAATCTACGTAAATTTAACAAATAAAAGAATATTGTGGTTTGATTGTGTCCAATGGTGCGTGCACACAAACAATATAAACTGGCTGTTGTTAAAAATTGTGTTTGATATTAATGTTGTCAATGTATTTACATTGTAAGATTGCTAAATTTTTGAAAAACTCCCATCTAAGATTTTTGGATATGTGCTTGTACGTTTTGTGATAGTCCAGGCAGGTTAATTGTGCATTCAATGTCCAATTAATTGAAACAGACTACGTATTTGGCCAGTCTATATTGTTATGATGTATTGACAAAAAAGACTTGTGTTTTATGTAAATGTTTTTATTGACTTTTATTGATGGTAAATTATCTTGGGACCCCAATTGTCTACATGCTTCATTAAGCTCATAGATGATAAATGGTATCAATTGAACATATACTCAAGTGGCAGTTACATAGATTCTCTTGAAAAACACTGTTCAAAGCTTCCCTTTAGCCCAAGTTGACATGACTAAAAAGGAATTGATTGTTCATCTAGTAAAGTCTCCTATTGAAAAAGCTCGTTATGATACTTCACTTGGTCTCCTAACAAAGAAATTTGTTGGTCTTATCCGACACTCACCTACTGGGATTTTAGACCTCAATGAAGCAGCTGGGTTGCTGTCTGTACAAAAACGACGCATTTATGATATCACAAATGTTCTTGAAGGCATTGGTCTTATAAAGAAAAAATCCAAGAATAATGTTCAATGGCGGTAATTAAATTATTGTAATAATGACATTTTGGAGATTCTGAAATGTCAATTTAGAAAACCTAACTTGAACTATATTTTAGGGGCTCGAGAAGTGCATTGCTTCATGTGGATAATGATGATAATGACATTGCTCCAGTTGTATCATCAAAAATAGTTGATCTACACACTGATGTAGCTGATCTTGAGGCTAAAGAAAACAAATTGGATGAGTTAATTGCAACATGTCAACAAGAACTATGTACATTGACTCAACCAATGAATAAATATCCTTTGAATACATACATCTCATTGAGTACAATGTTGTGATGTTTAATGTACAAGTTTTGTGTAGTTTAAAATTCTATGTTACTTAAACTGTTGGGTTGAATAATTATTATTTCTTGACTTAATGATAAATTTGCTTATATAACATACAAAGATGTACGTCATATTAGTGAATTTCAACATGAAACTTTGATTGCAATCCGTGCTCCTCCTAAGACACAACTTGAGGTTCCAGATTCTTCAACTGAGGTGAGACTCAAGTTTCATGTTAAAGTAAACAGTTTTTATGTCCTTTATTACTTAAATTGTCTGAACTGCTCTGGGTTTTTTGAGGTAATATGCCCAGATAAATATATTAAATTTAACATCTTGCTTTTTGCAAAACAAATTTGCTGGTCACTGGTGGTTGATTACTTTATTGCAGACTATTCAACTATCATTAAAAAGTAGTGAAGGTCCTATTGATGTGTACCTATGTCCAGAAGATTGTGATCAAGTATCTCCCGTTAAATCAGAAAGTTTGTCATGTGAATCATCAGCAAGTGAAGATGAAACTCAGTTAGATCATCAATATTCTGATGGTGATATGTTGCACAAAACTGGAATACATGATGTGACTTTCCAGGAAACATTAGAATGTAGTCTTGAAAGGTTCCCAGAAATGGATGAGGAAAGACTTATTGCATTATCGCCATTTCGTAATGAGACTGACTATACTTATAGTCTTACTGAAGAGGAAGGCCTCATGGATCTCTATGATATTTATGATTTAAAACCGTCATCACCTGTGGAATTTTTGTCATAATTATTTGACACCAAACCCAAAGAAAATATGTTGCTGAAAAATCTGAAATCTTTTCTCATTCATGAATAAGAAAAAATGATAATGACAAATGTTGTAAAAAGTTATGGGTTAAGGTAAGTCTTAATCCATGTACTGTTAGAATAGGAAAAAAATAATCTTTAGTAACCATGTAATTAATTATAGTGTTGTATATTAATTAGTTTCACGTTATGTAGTTAAAAAAATATACCAATTATTTTTAATGTAGTACATTAGACTTCTCACTGTTATATATAATATGTATAGTTTTTGTATTTAGAAGTCTTGATAAGTTTCAATAATTAACGTACCATGTTATTTTAACTGTTTTAGACTTTAAGTTTTTTTTCAATAAAATGTTTTTGTTTCTGGAAATACTCACTGAAATTAGAAAACACTTCTAACTTCAGTTATTGATTTTCAACTGCTCCCTCGCACTCTTTTTCAACACTTTCTGTTCCAATTTTTCCGTTGTCCTCTTTAGCGATGGGCAGTGTTTGACGATCTGCCTCAGGAAGACTTGCGTTTGAATTATTTGATGGGTAATCTATTTCCGTTTCAATTTCTTCATTAAAATCTTTTATGGTTGAGATTAAGTTATTATTTAAGAGAGTCATGCATTCTTCCGTGAAGTTATCACTTACTACCAAAGTCGCGCATTTTTCGTTTCCACAACTTTGAATGGAAACTTTACTTTCCGACTTTGACATTTCCTGAGAAATAATACTCCAACGCTGTGGTTCGCTCTCGCTCAACTTCACTTCTACAACCGGTCGATATTTTTTATATTTATCGATATTTTTTGAATCATTCCACATGAGAAGGTTTGAATTAATGAAAGGCGTGGCATCATGTTCCCCGAAATGTGATATGGGGCGATTGCTGCAGTCATAAGGGTGTTTTCGTTGGCATTCTTTGCGCCTCCTGAAGTAGTAAACTAGAGCTATTATACACAATATAGCTATGACAACAACAACACTTGATACGATGATAGGTAGATGATTGGACGTGTCTGCTACTTGTTTTCTAAGACTTTCTTGTAATATTGTTTCATTTTTCAAGGGGGTCGTTTTTCCACTCATCTCGTGTTTTTGCGAGAAGTCCATTGTACCCTTTTGTGTTGGTGTTGCTGTGTTTATGTTAATCTTATTCAAAGGATAACCTTTCACTTGATAGGAGAAAGCAATCCTCCACTTTGGATTTCTAGACTTAGACTTGAACTTAATTTTCATCAGACCTTTCGTTGATGTGAATACTTTGTTTTTAGTTTTTACGTTGCAAAATTCTCCAACTATAGCGTCGTCTCCATCACCATTGCGAATTATAACGTGATCACCATAGCAATTTCCAGTAATCATTAAGCTGTTATTGCTTTGAAAGTATTTTAGTGTCATAATAATAGTGTCATTATCTCTTGGAGCTGTTATAATCCAACTATATCGAAAGACATTGGAGTGTCCTGATGGTGGAAACACCACTGAGCCGGAGGTTTTATTCTTTTTTTCTACAGCAATACTGTTCACCTCAAGTTGAAAACCAACAGTATTGTCGGTACTGTTACTATAGTAATACATCCATATAGCTCCTCCATCGTAGGTCTGGGAAGAAACCTCGCCTGAATGGCCACAAAATGCCTCCACCAAGTTTACGTCATTCTTGGGGGTAAACGGTAGAGCTCCGTCATAAAATTCCAACATACTATTTTTACAGTGGATTTTAAAGTAAGGAAATTTAAACTGTTGCTTTATCGCTAACTTGGACTCAATCCTCCAGAGGCATTGCAACTCTTCTTCACTTGCAGAAGCTTTAGGTGACTGTATCTTGACAGCGTCATTCTTAAATAATCCACCGCAATTGTAACCACAGCCATAGAGGTCTATGTTAAAGCACGCACGCGCAGTGGTGTAAACACGAATGGATCGCGTGACAATAGGTGACAAAAAGCTTTTCTTTACATTGTTCATATATATTTCGTTGTCTTTGCTGATATAATCAAACCATTTTTTTTCATCATAACTATATTTCAACTCATACTTGCTGTCAAAACTACCGTTCTGTTTTAAAAATAACCCTGTTAAACGGACAAAGTTCTTAAAAGAAATTTGAACATATTCATCTTTAGTTAGGCAGAACATTTGTTGAACTAATGTCTTCTTTCGTGATGATGTGATTTTAAAATCAAGGAAGTTTCCATTGAGCAACGAATGCGAACATTTCTCACATTGACGTGTTCTTTTTGATATCCCAGTACATTGAGTCTCGTTCAAATCTTTGCCTTCTTTATTTAAACATTTTCTATATTTTGTCTGACGCGCATAATCATACACACCACATGCACTCCATGTATTCCAGTTTGACCAAACTAATGAATCAACACACGACAAAACTGTAGCAGTTGTAAAAATAAAAAGTAAGACAGCATAAGACGACATCTCTCTCAATGTGTTCAGCAGTCCTTGACGTGGCAATATATGTTTGCTTATGCAAGTGTTGCGCGATTATGTACTTAAAACAACAACGTTGTATTTACGACTGTCTAGCAGGCGCGTTCCTTTACACTTATTTATTCACTTTTTTCTCTTTAGTTGTCATCAAATTCCTGTTGTACACCTTTCATTCATTGTATCTGACCTTGATAGGTTAATTACCTTAATCATTTATTTGCTTTTGATTTGTGATTATCAGCGACGCACATTGGTTTTATTATGCATCCGATATTTTCTCAACACGTCCGTTCAAATAAAACAATTGCGTGATTCATAAACAATTGTTCTCACAGTCAAACCATACTGTGTTTATCTTGGTAGCTCCATCTGTTAGAAAACACCATATTGACATAAAGTATGATCTTCCCAAGGGCAATACTGAAATCTCCTATATGTTTAATGTTTCAAAATCTTCAAAATGGCTCAAAAGATAATCTTGTGTCAATTCTCTATCTCAGATTTCCTCTTCATATTCAATGATTTAATACCATGGGAAAATCAGAAAATGATGAAGTCTGTAATAACTATTTATAGCATATAAGACTATTACACTACGTAAAATGATAATGAGAATTTTTGATAAGATCGTATCGATGAAAAGTTCAATCACGATTTAAGAGTGATTCCTTCACAAGAACATTCTTTTTTCTTATACATCGACTTTTCATCCAACTTACTTCCACTTGTCGTCATATGGTTTTACAACAAAATACAATTAGATTTTAAAGAGCATCGCTGGTTAATCTTATTCACTAGATATAATGCTTGGAATGTTTAATCCTTATCCTCTCAAAGAAATTTTAAACGGCTTACGTCATTTGTTTCAATTTACCGAAAAACATGTTAGGTCTTCGATAACCAAAGAAAAGTTTCTTGCATTTAAAGAACAACAATTACAAATATCGTTGTTTCTTTGAAATCATTTATAAGGACGTGTACTTTATTTCTAGTGTCTTAGTACATATTTGTTTTCCCTTATTCTCGTAGTACCCTATTCCAAATTCTTCAAATTTCTTTCGCTATAGCTATGCAATTTTGCACGAATATCTCAATGTGAAGTGAATCTATACATACATTATGCCAAAATATTTATTGCTAATTGTTTCTCCCACATTTTACTATAGACAGGAAACAAGACAAATATTGTTTCACAAACACGGCAAAACAATTATGAATGTTCTTGGTGTTTAATTTCCGTGCCAGTAAAACATTGTTTACTTTTCATTTGTGGTGGGAAATATCAGTTTACTGTTACCTGGTGATTGCTACTCAAATATATTTCAATAATATAATTTAAAATATGTCCTGACCTTACTTACCAAAGTACATTGCAGTAAAAAATGGTTGTTTGTGGTAGTGCAGACTGCAAAGTTTGGCAAATCTCACCACAATTCCTGCATAGACATAAAGCGTAAAATTAACGTCTCGTTATAATGCGTAATTTATAATGGTTTGCAGGGACGCCGGAACGGCAAAAGGGCAGGAGGGGCAAGCCTTTGTGGAAGGGCACATTAGTGAAACATACTAGAAATAATCTAATAGTGATAAACAGCAAAGAGATGTGCTACATGCAATACACTGTACAGAAGCACATGTCTGCAGTGTTGGTCGATGAATATTAACGATAATATAACTATCAAACGATGTAACGTCACTAATTTACAATTTGTCATGTATTGTATTTTCCAAAATATTTAATTCTTCTTTCATTTGTAAACTCTTTGGCAATTACGTCTATTTCAACCATATCCATGTGTTGCTTCTGAATGTTGGAGAACATAATATCATTCAGATGATTTTCTTCAGTGTTTGACCGCAGCCATGTTTTGAGACGACGCATTACGCTGAATGTGCGTTCGCACGAGGCAGATGAGAGTGGCACTGTTTAGTATAGTATAATTAGTTTGTGGATCTCTGAGCACCTTTTCTTTGCTGACGGCATGGCATTGAATATCTCTGCTATTGTTGAAATACGCGTGACTTCTGTTATTTTTTTTCTTCTGATCCGCGTTGTAAAGCCCAAGAATGGTAGGAAGATCATCAAGCTGCATTCTAAGAACATCTTTATCAATCAAAAAATTGCTTAATCCATCTAAAGATACTACTCTTTCTTTCATAGAGTTAAGTAACAGTTCCTCAATACATTTGATCTGGAAAGATCGTCGTGTTCAAATCGAGATCCTAGACCTGAGATGATTACATCAAGGGCTTGGGTAGTACGAGCTTTGCATTGGTGTTATATTCGCACTGCATTTGTGACGTGAAGGCTTTCTGTTATCAACATTTCTTCATTATTCATCAGTCTTGGAACTTTTCTTAGTCTAATGCCAGTGCCAAAATTTTCACTAAATTCCAGTGGAAACGACATCATAACACAAAAAACCTTCTTAGCGTCATCAAGTGTACGCTCAAACTCTTCTTCGCTTCTCATCTCATGAAGACGTTGCAGGACATGTCTTATTGAAAATAGAGCGTACTCAGCTGAAATATCAACCGCTTGGAGCTCTTTATAAAACTTCTCGAGTAAAGCCAATAGCTTTCTTCTCGCGTTTAAATTAAAGATGACGATTAAGGAAGACAGCTGTCGCCTTAATACTCTTCTAATCTTTGTTTTTGTGTCTGCCGAAATGTTAGGATCCTCCGGCAACTTTTGAAGGGTTGCATGTAGTTCAGCCGATTTCTCGAAGATAACGTCAGCAGCCTATACTCTTGTTGTCCATCTCGTTGTAAAAAGACTTTGGAGTCGTAGAACTTTGTAATCGTTTGTTCCTGTTTTATTTCTAAAGCCTGTCTGTATTTTTTCGAACAATAAAATACGTTTTGAATGGGCACTTACGATTGCATACAAGGATTGGCATAAATCCAGTGATGTAGACAATAAATTAGATTGCTTAGCTGCATCCTGTATAATAAGTTCATTGCAGTGACTGAAACAATGAACATAAATTGCGTTTGGTGCAATATCTTCCTTGAGCTTTCTTGCGAGGGATTTCATTGCTGAAGCCCATCAAAGCCTATAGCTGCCATTTTCTGACCTTCCATACCACATCTGAGAAGGATATCTTTGGTGTAGTACAGTAATGCATCAGATGAAAGCCCTTGCAAACATTCATAAATTCCAACAAAATCTTCCGATAGTTCGTAATTATCATCACAGGTCCTTACGGAGAAAGACAACTGTTCCTTCTTAGATACGTCTGATGATTCGTCAGCTAGAATTGAAAATGATTCTCTCAATAGAATTTTAACAATTAAATGTCTTCGAGCATTTAATACAATCATCTGTTTCTGCTCGTCCAGGAAGTCGTGTGCAGTTACGTATCGGTTGTCGTCCAGTAAAAGTTTTAGTGCTTTGTCGTTGATAGCTTTATCAAGATTGAACTGATGAATATTAGATTCAAAATCCGTTCTACCTCTAATCGCTATACCTTGGCGTAAGAGTGTTTTAATGTTTGAAGATGCGAAATTAACCCTTTCCGCCTTAACTGCTGCGTTTCAAGAGCAAGTGAACTGCAGGCTATGCTAATAGACAATTGCCCTTTGTCTGATGTGGCACAAGCTTCTTTATGAGCGTAACTGTTTTCATGTTCGTTGAATTTCTCACAGCCTTTTTTCCAGTTATCAAATCCAACTTCATAACTGCCAAACACTCCCTTTATCTTAAAGTGAGTAGAACAAATTTCGCAAAAAGCCTTATTTTTTTCTCGATTGTACACTAGCCACTCATAATTTCGTAACCACTGACCTTGGAAATATCGACCATGCTTCACACTACTTTCCTTATCTTCACTTGTAAAGTCTTTCTCATGTTTTACCCATGTTGTTTTCATGCATATCTTTTCTGTTTCACCAATCAGACTTTTCGGTTTGGACCATTTTTGTAACTCCCAGTCTGAGGCTTTTTCAGTATAGACAGTTATTACAGTGTCAATTCCGCTTGTTGAAGCAGAATCAAAATCATGGCCTGTGTTTCCTTTGCAAACAGCGATGTTATTTTGATTGACCCGGTTTAGCAGCTACTTTCGCTAATGCTTTTGCTGAATCTTTTATATCTTTCTGCTCTTGGCATTGCAGAAAAGCGATAAGATGCAAAAATATCCTTTCAAAGTCATCAGTGTTTAGATGACTGAGCCATTTATGCCAGCAGATGTTTACCATTAAAAATATCTTTGCTATACGTCATGTTCCTGGTACTTTTGGATTTAATAAAATGAAAGGAATTTACAAAGGTATTGTGATTTTAGTTGTTTACATTTAAAAATGACGTTTCACGGTTGTCGAGGGCTCCTCAGCTGGTTCACTAACACTCTTCGTTTTGAACCTGAGTTCAAGCCAAACAATCTACAAGTACATCACTGGAGTATTCTTACGCTATCTATTAGAGTTAATTATTTACATGTTATTTATACTATCGGTAATTACATAAGTCGAGCTTTCCTTTACGTCATTAGCAGTACTCACTCTTTCATTGCGTTTCAAGTTCTCGCGCGTTGCAACAAAAAAGAAGAACTAACTAAACAAACAAAGAACTTACAAAACGTACTTAAAACAAAGAAAAGTTAAAGAAAAACTAACATAGTTACGACAATTTTATGGCTAAGCTAAAAAGAATGCAATATCCCACAACGGTTAAGTAGTCTTTATCTTGAATTAAAAACAATAAATTTTCAACCTGTAGGGCACTTTTGCCCCCCCTGCCCCTCTCCAGAAAAGGCAAGGGGGGCCGTTGCCCCCCTTGCCTGCCCAGTTCCGGCGTCCCTGATGGTTTGTTCGTAGGGGTCCTGAGCGGTGGTCATTCATGAACCTGGTTGTTAGCCAAGAAAATCTAAGATGGCGGTCGTGGGGAAAGGAAATCAAATGAATTGCCGACGTGGGATATTTGTCGTTAACGCATTTACATCTACACCATTTAAAAAAGACCCAGCCGTTGTTTGTCAATTGAATCATCAAGTACTTGTATATACAATTTTCTTTAAGCAATTAAGTTTCCATTTTTATAAAAGTAAAAATCATTGCCAAATAAATTATGTTTTTTAGTATCTGGAATCATCTATCTTTCAAAATATTGCAGCTCAAATGGATAATTTTGATACCGCACTTGTTCAAGTAATGAAAGAGAATCAATACTATA